GTAAGACACTAAATAATGGTGTCAGTCGGCGGGACAGATGTTTAGGGATAGTATCATATATTTTTAATAACGCACATACTTCGCACCGTACCGAGTCGCTTTACCGTCTGCCATTTCCCCGTAAGACATTTCCTCGTCCAAATTATATTTATATCATCTTATAAGAATAATAAAATAAATTTAAAAAAATTTAATCTATAGATCACGTAAATATAATACATATATATCTATATCTATATATATATGAAAATGAATCCCTATTTCCCTTGGTCATCGCATCACGTGAGAACGGCTTGCTCGATTTTAACGTAGTTTTTTTGTAAAATGTTTTTGTAAATGTCCGCATCGTCCGGAAAAGGTTAATAGCTATTGAAATTTGCCCTCTATTGAATACCATCCCCTAAATTCAGATTATAAGTAATTTTAGTTCAGAAATAAAATTTTTTTTTTGAATTAGAGGTTTCCGTGGTAACATGGATAGCAAAAAAATGAAATCCATGTACTGGTGTAGAGGTATCCATGAAAAAATAGATTTATTCATTTCTTAGTGTACAGTCTATTCTATCTGAATATTTATCCAGTTTTGATTTTGTTGAGTGAGTTTTTTGAGAAGTGTTTGTTCATTTCAGTTAGTTCAGCGCAATTTGGTTCAACAAAATGCTACCAATTAGACGTACCAACCAGAGGTCGCAGAGGTTGCGATTTAAAAGGAATGTGTGGTGGTGATGAAATAAATGTTAAATGATAATATATTTTTTTTATCGTATGGTTGCTATTGGTTTCAGATAAAAATAATAGTATATTAGTTATAATTGGTTAATCGGACATGTTTTTTGATTTGTATTATTTGTTTTCAATAATATATTTAGTAAAAATTGTAATAATGATTGATATTTGAACTCGATACCATTGTATTAATATTATAAACGTTATCTTTATATATTCTATAGACAAAAATGTAATAGGTTAATCAAAACGTATTTATGGTAATTATAACGCACAAGATTGAAAATAAAATCTATAAAAAACTGTCTGCTTGAATGTATGGTTCTTACTGGCTGTGGGGCTGGGGAAATGGTCTTATCAATGATATCAACCAATCTATCATTCTAGTTTAGCTCAAATTTTTCGTGAAAATATGTTTTTCTACGACCATAAATAAAGCACAAGGTTAAACATTAAATGTTGCTGGTTTAGAGTTTAGACCTAACTGTCCAATGTTTTTCCTATGGTCAATTGTACGCAGCTCTATCCTGTGTCACATGCAAAAAAAAATTGCTGGCCCCAGAAGGTGAGATACTTAACGTGGTAAATAAATAAATATTTAATGCTTAAGGCAAACAGTAGTTTAAAATTTAAAAATATATGTCATAACAGAATACTTTTAGTCTGCTGAAGGTGGACTACCCACTTTCCACTTTTTTGTTTTTATTCATAACTGATACTGTCAAAACCAAAAAGGAATATGCGTAAAAAGATAATAAAATTTGGTACGGGCAAGACTTGGCGGGACATCTAGTATATATATATATATATATATATTAGGGTGCCACTTAAATTTCTTTTTTTTACATTTTTTACCTTACTATAAGTTTTTATTCACTATAAAAACTATTTTGACGAAGTTTTAGAATTTCGAGTTAAGTTTTTCTGGCCGCTCAATGCATCTTAAAAATATATAAATAGTAATAAACGCATAAATATTGAAAATTAATAATTTATTATTTTCCGTCAACTTTTTACATAAATGTGAATATTTTTAATAAATTTGCATTAAGTCAGATATTATATAGTTATATAATTAATAATATAAACAAAAAAATATTAGGTATTCAGAGATTTTGAAGTGTTTTTTTGTTTGGATCAGGATACTGTTGACGATGTTTTTCAACGACTTGCAGTAAAAACTGTTTTTGCTCCTCTTGATTGGTCAAAACTGAATTAAAAGATGAAATTAAAGACACTCCTCGCTCTGCTATGTCATTCACAACTTTTAAAGATTCCACTGTTTTCTTTCCACTTNCTGATAACTTCTTCTCAGCCAATATGAAACATATGAAACATTGTTAACAAAGAATGATAGACCTACTAATGTGGGGCTCAAGTACCATAAATGACGAGAAAAACATTCTAAAGCTATTTTAGCTATTGTATTATTCTCATAAGCTTTTAAATCATTTATAAAGTTTAAATCATTTGTGGGGGCACTAGCAGCATCAGGCGATGTAAACTAATATTTAATATACACTTTGACAATAAAAACATTGAATGTTTTTAATCCCTCTAGAATTTCGGGTTTTAATTCAAACTTTGATCGAAACATATAAATTTTCAAACAATAAATGATTTTAGACATCCACCTTGTTCTATGGAATGCTCCGGGTGATTGTATTGTAACTTTTTCATCTATAGTTTCTCCAAGAAATATCAAACTTAGATGTAGTAATTCTTTGAAATCATCTCTTGGCTGATAAACTGATAATTGATTTCGAATGAAATTGATTATGTCATTTTTTATGAGTATTATATCAAAAGAAATAGANTGTAACTATTTCATCTATAGTTTCTCCAAGAAATATCAAACTTAGATGTAGTGATTCTTTAAAATCATCTCTTGGCTGATAAACTGATTCGAAATTGATTTCGAATGAAATTGATTATGTCATTTTTTATGAGTATTATATCAAAAGAAATAGAGTTGTCCGACATTGCACTTTCATAACCTTCTTTATTAATATTTGTCCAGAATTTTGAAAATGTTTTAAATAGTAATAAGTCAGGGCCAGATTGATGTTCAATTGGAAGAAAATTAATTACTTTGCTGATTATTATTTTAAATATATGATGTCTACAAGCAAGATCTAAGAGATTTCTTCCGATTTTTTGTTCTAAAATAGTACAGGCCCCTTTTTTTATACCGGTGTTACTAGCTGTGGTATCAAAACACATACAATTTACTCTGTTTACGATATTCCATTCATCCAGTAATTGAAATACAGCATTTGCTTGTTCTTCTCCAGTTCCTCTGGTTAATTTTGGTACTCCAAGTAGTTTCGTTACTCCTCCTGAGACTAAAACTGCTAAACGATCAAATGATTCTTTAGACATTAATTCTGGTAATATTTTACCGTCCCAATGAACTATAAGTGCAACTTCAGGTTAAAAATCTTGTCCAATTTCTTTACCTATATTTTCCCTATGTGTTCGTCTCATTTGACGGATTGTTTCTTTATTTAAAGCGATTTCAGTAGTATTTAAACCAATTGTTTCAGCTGTAGCTGCTAATATATATGTGGCATTACGATCACTAACTTTAGTACGATCTAGTGCTGACGCAACAGCTCGATTAATTATATTCCTCGGACGTTTTCTAGGACATTTTGATAAAATATATTTTACTTCTTCGTCACTATCACTTGTACTTTTCTCACTACTGCTACTACTACTAATACATAATACTGTATGTTTTTCAATTTCTAAACGTTCACTTTCTTTTTTTTTTCTTGATATTATTTTTAAGTTCTTTGCTATACATTTTTTATCTGTAATTAACAATTTTTTATCAAGTGCATCCATCGATCCTCGTCTACCCTTCTGTCTTTGTGATTTCAAAAATTCTTTGTCTTCTTATAATTTAATTAAATTCATAGCATTGGCATGGGCAACATCAAACAAATTGTCTAAATTATTTACAAAATGATTCACTTTCATAACCTGTGTCTCTGTTTGTCTGGTTNAGTTATATGAGCACTCTTTTGTATCGAAAAGTTATCTTTTAAATGCAAATGTAAAAAGCGACCAAGAATTTGTCTATTTGATGGCAGTTTAGATCCAGTTAAATGTTCACTTGTAATGCCAATCAAATAAATACCACAATTTTTCGAATTTTTATGACATTGTATTATTTACTGTACTAATGTATTATATTGAAATATTTATTTAAATAAATTACAGTGTAAAATGTACATACCAATAATTTAAGTCAATACGATTGAAATATGTGCAATCTGCATGTGTGAATAAGTGAATAATTGATTGTCTTCACAAAAAAAATACCGAATTTAACTTCACTTTAATAATAACAAAGAAAATTTAATTCACTGGCATACGAATACTAGTAGAATGACAGAGTATTAATAATTTAATATCATTATGACACTATCGGGGTTACTTAAAACTAACAACTCTGATAAAAGTTGGCATAAAGTCTTTTCATCATTGTTAGCCTCATTTTAGAAGCATACTAATTATTTAAAAAAAAAAAAATATATCAAATATATTGAATAGAACAAAATTTATTTCAAGTGACAGATCAATCATCGTGGAATACCCTGTATATTATCTCAATATTCCTGTTAAGGGGTAAACATAGTAGATTGTGATGAAATGGTTAAATGAATACTAAAATTATAATGTTACCACAGAATATATAATGCAATATAACTACATTTATAAACACACACAAAAAAAAAAAAAAAAGATAAAACAATAAATTATAATATATTTATCGATTATAGTCTGAAAATACATACATACAAAAAAATAAAAGTTGAAATCATATAAATATAAAATCATACAGATAATATACAAGTTTATTTAAATATTATTTCAATTTCTTATTTTTAGAAAATATAATCATAAAATTAATTCTGAAATTGATTATCAAAATCATATTATTGTTAATAAAATTAAAAAAGAAAAAAAAATGTTACTGCTTAAAATTTAAGAGCGCACAACCTCTAAATTACAAATGGAATTACATGCTGCGTAAGTATTTAGTTGACTTTTTATTTATGTTACATACATTAACATATTACATATTATTACATATTATAACATATTATTACATTTATGTTACATACATAAATAGGAAATGATTATTTATAAGTATTAAAGAAAAAAATAAAGATGTTCATATAATAACTTGAGTAGGTATGCAATTCAAAATCAATGTTTTTAAATATTATATCTACAAGTAATACAATTAAACATGATGGATTTTATTCAATTTTAAGAAACCCATTTCCCAATAATCTATTCATAGATTTTAAAATTAAAGATGAATTTAAAATTCTATATATGTTTCCTTGCTGTAAATCTTCTCCAAGTGAAAACAGCTGTTCAAAAGTACCAATACATTCTTCATATTGGTAGAGTCTGCCACCCAAACAAATTTTTATTAAACCATGTATATCTTTTTCCCATTTAACTCCATTGACATATGGAGATAAATACAATTGATAGTGTAGTTTAATGTTTAACAAACGTTGCAATATAGCCATTGAATCATTGAAAAATTCATTTTTCTCTGCATCAACATCAATAATTTTTATGTGGAACATGCAGTAATTAAAGAAATGTTCGCCTTTTAATTGTTTTGTTTCTGATGTACCAAGATTATTAAATAAAACATAAAACTCTTCAGAAAAGGCATAAATAAATTTTTGGAGAAGTTCTTGTTCATTATTAATTTCATACTTCGGTAATTTTATTGGTTCAGATTGTTTTTGAATCTAAAAAAAAATTAAAATTCATACACCACACATTTTTTAAAAATTATATTTAATATCCTAAAAATTAAAATATTATATTATATAACTAAAAGTAGTTGCATTACTATTTTTAAAATTATGCTTTGGTTTAATAAACCATATTAAACCATTTCAAATTTTCTTTTTAACTTTGATGTGATGTACTTGTATAATTTTAGTGCCGTAACATAAAGATAAATTATAATTGGTTTAATTTTCAGCAATTTTACTCTTTTTTAAGTATCAGAATTCATAATTTTTATCATAAATTATTAAAATTAAAATAAAAATAAGTACAAATTCTAGTAAATCTGTAATCTAGTTTAGTGTTTCAAAATATTTAGTTTATAACTTTTTCCTAATTTGTCTCACACACACATGACACTTTTATCATTTTTTTGGGCCATTTTTAGGCATAAATAACCCAAATTGTTTTTTTTTTTTTTTTAAATTGATATATTGGTAATATATACAATTTTTTACTGATATAATCATCAGTTATTAAAATTTTTTTAATTTTATATTTTATTACTTATTATTGAACTTAGGAGAAACTTTACAAAATTTAAAGAGCTTAAAGAATTTTTAAATAAAAATAACCAAAAAGAGCTAAAGTGTAAACACAAACATGAGTTTGAACAGTCTAATATGGAGTAAAGCTTACATAAAAAACAAATATTCATTTCTGATGCTTTCTCTTGACCAAAAGTCATTTAGTCAATTAGTCAAGGTAAGGTTTTATTCGTATTATTTGTAAAATTATTAATTACGTAATTCAATATAATTTAAACAAATTGAATTAAAACTATAATTTATACCTATTATTTAGAATGTTTGGTTACTATGATCCAATTTTTTTATTTTTCAGATTTGATGAGAAAACTCCCAAGAAAATCGAAATATGACCTTAAAGTATCTCTACACAGATTTCATTTCAGATAAGGTGCTACACTTAAAAATTTGAGCAAGAATTCTAATAAAAATATTTTCCACAGAAAAAAAAATAAATTAACATTACAGATAGTGTGGGATTAAAACAGGCACAGTACACAAAAACAGAATGAAAACAGAACAGGTTGATTTTTGCTTCATATTCAGTGTTTGAAATAGGTATAATAATATACTAATATAACAATGCCAAAGACATATGACATATATGACACATATGTATATTTGAAATAGGTATAATAATATACTAATATAACAATGCTAAAGACATAATTAAACAATTTCAGTGTATGAATAAAATTGTTTATATTATTGTGTCAAACACAGAACACTTATGCAAAATCTAGTGTGTGTGGTTGTCCAGTATATGAACAATATGGTCCATTTTAGCTCAAACACTATTCATTGACAAACTGTAGTTTATGGTCCGGTTTCAGAGAACAGACTTAAACGATTTTAAGATAATTAAGACTTTAAGACTAAAAAGCAAATGGTAAATTAATAAAAACCAATATAACCTTCTATTCTTCTACAATTTAAAAATACATTGTTATAAAAAAAAAATAGATTGTAATGCATAGATACTTGTTGAGGCAAAAGATCAACTGAAGAATGGCATTCAGTAATACTGTTACTGTGTGGACATAGCATATTTTTGCTATCAATATTTGTTTGTGCCAAATTGGTTTTTTGCAGTTTCTCAGAACCCGACTCTTTTGCAAATAATGCCATTAAATTTGAACACAATTCCATTTTTGACATATTGGGATGAACTTGAATTCCATTCAAAACCAAAAATTTCAGTATTTCAAGTGCTGGTAGTTTTTTATTGGACAACACCAGCATGTATGGTGCAGCAAACAGTAATTGTTCAGCAGCTAAAAATTAATACATAACAATTAAAAAATAATATTAGTAACCTATCTATCTGAAATATTATTTAAAAAACATAAATTATTTTACCCAGTTTAATAAAAGAGAACACAAATTATAGAAAGCTAGATTTATAGACCATAATATAATTTTATATTTATTACAAAGTTAGTATCCACATTTTGTCAGTTTGTGCACTAAATTCTTCCAATATGGTTTTCATTATCATTTAGAGAATGTCTTCCAGAAAGGTTATATATTATTATATTTATAGTAAGTAAAGAAAAGTCAATGTTTTATAATTAAATCACAGGAATAAATGTAGTCTATGGTTTGAAAATCAGTGAGAGAAATGACTAAAATTTACAATTAAGTGACTTCCATACAAAAATAAATGGCTTACATTAATAAAAAATACACTTATTTAATATAAATAGTATGTAATAATTATAATATTATGATAGGTTGGGATTGGTATAATGATATAATAGGTTAATAACGAGGTTTTATTAAATTTAATAAAATAAAGTAAAAACAAAATTATTAAAATGATTAATATTCGTAAATAAAAATACAAATAAATGAATGAATGGAGTATTATATGTGTATCATACCACCAGTTTAGAATTAAAAATTCATCATCAGGTATATCACTAAGTCAAATGTCTAACGCAACTCACATTTTTGTCAATGGTCATATTATGTATAAATGTATTATACAATTATGTAATAAAACGAAAAATGCTAGAAAATACTCTTTAAAAAAAAAAAATGGAAAATTTGAAAATGGAGTTTCACCTAGAAGTCTCTGATACATGAATCAGATTATGTACTTAGAAAGTATTGTCTAATATCACTAAAAAAAAAAGCATTTTGTATTGAAATCCAGACTCTACTTGTGACACATCAAAATAACATACTACAGAATTGTATATCTTAAAAAGGTCAATAGAAAAGTCCTTGATGGTGGTATATGTTCCATAAGGATAGCCTGCAGCAATCATAAAAGTGAAAGTTTGATAAGATGGATGTTTATTATCATTTTATACCATAACTACCGAAAGGATTGAGTTGAAAATTTGTAAAATGTAGTTCTAGACTAAGAGTAACTTATAAACTCATTTCCCCCCCACAAATCCTTCCTAAAAGAGTCTTACACAAGGTTATTGCCATTTTTGGTATGAAAATCTAATTGTTTTTGTTGGTTTATTGGTTACTTTGTATTGGTTGAAATAAAATTAAAAAGTAACTGTAGGAAATGGTTAAAACATCATTGGAATGTGTTTCATTTGGTAGCGCGGGACAGCTAGTATGTAATAAATGTAAATTTTATATAATTATTTTATATTAGGTACCTAAAAGGTAAAAAGACAATAGTGAATATAATATAATAATAAACTTAGAATACAAGTTGAGTTGAAACTGGACTGTTTTAAAACTCATCTATATTTATTAGTAAGTAAATATTTTCTAACAACCATTTGAAATATATTTTTTTAGAAATTTAAACGTTAAAATAATAACTTATGTACCTACCATCTCTGGTGTACGCTGGTTGTTGTCCAGCGTATACGGATCTAGCGATTTCGCACAATCTTATAGTATCAAGCCCTTCAAGAAATTGCTTGAATAACAAACATTTGCCTTTATCATCGTTCATGTTGTCAAAGTCGTTTAGCCGCTATGTTACCGTATATTTTTCGGGTCACTAGTGAATCGCATTAACTCACCAACAGTCTAATTTATTGTTGACGACGGAAATTTTCATCTATAAAAAGGATATAATAGAAAATAGAATAAAATAGAATCAAATAGAATTTTACTATGGTATACACAAAGTCCGAGTCACTTTTAAATGGTATACCGTACTAAAATTATAAATTAACAATATATTATATAGTAACTTGGCAGTTGATGCGCAATTGCGCAAACAATGGCGACGGTTGTTATCTGTAATCATGAAAAATCAGTTGTTAGAATAATGATAAGTATGTGATAAGGTAATTGTAGCTACACCGGTATTCAGTAACACCAACATCGAAAAGTTAAAATTTAAATCAAAATGTATAACACTAATATGGATGAAAATATATGAAATATGCATATTCGTGATAAGCAGGTGTCCCACGGAGATATGTAATAATTTTTGGTATTCTCTTTGAGTTTTTTTCGTAATAATTACTTAACCCACGCTTTTTTTTTTTTAGTTAGCAGCCGTGGGGCGGTTTTATTGCAACTCTCCATTCTTCCCAATTTTCAGCTTTCCTCTTCATGTGTCTGTAGCCTGGGACGTCCACATCCCTCATTATTTGTTGTAAGTAGTCCAGAGGGGGTCTACCAACTACATTCTTTCCTACTATCATTCCTTCCATAATTCTTTTCAATAGGCTGTTATGTCTTAGTATATATCCTATTAGTTTGGTTCTTCTTTTCTTCAAACTTTTCATAAAACATCTTCGTTCTTTAGCTTTTGCGAATACCTCATCGTTTGTCATATGTTCTCTCCAGCTTATTCCTTGCATCCTTCTTCAACACCATGCTTCAAAAGCCAATAATCTATTTTCTTCTGCTTTAGCGATCGTCCAAGTTTCACTACCATATAACACCATACTCCACATGTATGTTTTAATCAAATTCTTTCGGATGTTAATATCTATGCTTCTGGAGGTGAATAGGTTCTTTTTCTTATTGAATGTACATTTTGCCTGATTTATTCTACTTACTATCTCTTTTTTACTAGTACCTTCTGCCGTTTTAAACTTCCTAGGTATTTATATTCTTGTACTTGTTGCAATGATTCGTTATCAATTGCGATGTTAGTTGATCTTAGTTTTCTTCTAGTACAGCTATATCGTCTGCGAATCTAAGCATGTCTATTTTCTCTCCGTGTATGTTTATTCCGACTCCACCCTTCTCTTTAATCTTGTTAATGGCCTCTTGTACATACAAATTAAAGAGGTATGGTGACAGTGAGCATCCCTGACGGACACCTTTCATAATTTTGGCCTCTTCTTCACTTGCTCCACTTTTGATTACTCCTATCTCGTTCTTATACAAACTATGAATTATCCTTCTGTCTCTATAACTTGCTCCAGTTTTCTTTAAGGTGTCAAACATTATGTCCCAATTCACGTTATCAAAGGCCTTTTCAAGGTCTACAAATGATATAAAAGTAGTTTTTACTTTCCTGTTCATCTTGTCAATTACTTGCCTTAATGATGAGATGGCTTCTTGAGTTCCCATACCTCTTCTAAAGTCAAATTGGTCGTCTGTTAAACTTCCTTCGATTTTAGTTTCTATTCTCATGATGATGCGGGTGAGCACTTTAGATGCATGAGATACTAAACTTAGAGTTCGGTATTGTTCACATGTTTGGGCTCTTTCTTTTTTCGGGATTGGAATTATGAGACATTTTGTGAACTCACTTGGTATTTGGTCAGTTCTGTACATGCTCGATATGATTTTGAAGAGTACGTCTTTTGCTTTCTCACCACAGTTTTTCAATAGTTCTGCCGATATTTCATCTTTCCCTGGAGCTTTGTTGTTTTTTAATTCTTCCATTGCTTTATCAAATTCTCCTCTCAAGATGTCTTCTCCTATATTATCTTCTATATGGTCTTCATTATCATTCATGATGTTTCCATTCATTGGTTCGTCTCCGTAAAGTTTTTGTAAATATTCTTTCCATCTATTAACTATTTCCTTTTCTTCATATAGAAGTTATCCCTTTTCGTTTTTTATTATTGAAGCTTTCTTTTTTCCTTTCCCAAAGAACTTTTTGACCATCCCGTACGCTTTATCTAAATTATTAGCTATTAGTTCTCTGTTGATTNTTATCAAATTGATAACTTCTTGGCTTATCCATGGCTTTCTTCCGTCCTTTTTTCCTTTCAGTAATATTTTGGTTCCTGTTTCTAGTATTATTTTCTTTAAGTTTACCCATTGTTCTTCTATAGGTTTATTTCCCATTTCTTTGTGCTCTTCTACCAACTTATTTGTATTATTTTCAAAATCTACTTTATATCTGGAATTTTCAATTTAGACGAATCAATCCTGTTAGCAATCTTCTTTTCCAGTTTTTTGAATTTCAATTCACACTTTGCCATCACTAGGTTATGGTCACTTCCAATGTCTGCTCCTGGGTAGCTTTTGCTGTTCTTGACTTGGTTCTTAAATCTATTTTTCACCATTATGTAGTCTATTTGTGCCTTTTTTTTATATCTCCCGGTGCTTTCCATGTATATCGCCGTCTTTTGTGGTGTTGGAAGTGTGTTTTTGTTATAATGAGATCATTTCTTGTGCAAAATTCTATAAGCCTTTTGCCTCTATCATTTCTTGTAACCCACGCTATGATTCCTTTATTTTATATTTCACTAACCTAAAAATCTTTTAGATTCCGAGCGTAGCGAGGGAGTTTTTGGTTCTGCAGTGATGTTTATTTCTTCTTTCTTTTTTCTAATCTATGGACACGTTTTTCCTAGTAAACTTGCTTAGATTTTTACGTGTTGCAACTTTTCTGAAATCTCAAGTTGTCCAGATTGTACTTTAAACGGGTCATTTTTTAAATAAAAGCACTTAGGTGGGAAAAAACGTGAGAAAACGTACAATTTCACTATTTCATTATTTTATAAAAACACGTTTTACATTCACGTTCTTTGTTTATTTGATTATAGACCCGGTAAACAAATATACGTATATTAAACAAATAATATACGGATTTAAACAACCTTATTACGTATAATATACGTATATATTGAATTGATGATAAATAGAAGTCATGGATATTTTTGGGTCAAAAGTTCGATATTCAACGTATATTATATGTGTAATACACGTAAATTCTAACGTTTATAATATTAGTGGTATCAATTTGGGATATAATACGATACCATATAACCCTACCTACCTTAATTTACACCAGAAAAAGTATTAGGTTTTATTGTTACGATGGGATATTAGCTTCCTAGAAGTTCTTATCAGCGTCACAGAACGGCTACCATATCTTTTTTTTAAAAAAAACAATTATTAGATGTTATTATTAGGCGTATAACCAAAATTTTAAAATTGGAATAAAGAAATTGTGTATAGAAATACTGGAAATTTGTTAGTGCAAACCGGTGTACCATGTTGATTCCGATTTATCATATTAGTATTCCAAAACGGATCGGTATGATACACATAGGTATGTAGAAAGATCGGTTAAGATGTTGATGTCGATTCGTTCATATCGGAGTGTGATACCGATTCGGATATTATGGTACCGATATTACAAGAAATTCGTTAACTTATAGTTGGCACAAAATATCATTATCCCCTTTATAGTCCATAGTTATTTGTCATCACAGAACAATTTTTTATGTTATCACAGTTTTCTCTGAATAATTCAAACATTACTGAATTGTTTTCTGAATGATTATTCTAGGAATACTAGAATGCTGAATGATTAAGTTTAACAACAGTAAAATTTGTATTACTACCATGATCCGCGTTACCGCTGAAATGAAAATAATGTAGGTACCTATGCAATTAATTTTTATATTAATAATTAATTATATATTCAATAAATAATTTTAAAATATTGTCATCTACATTAAGCCGATTTATGTTTAATACAATTATTATTTTAAAATTAATTTAAAAAATGTGAACGTAACATAGAAAAAAGATAATAACAAGTAGAGGTGGGTAGTGAGTGAGTGAGTTGATTCAAAGAATTGACTCTTCTAGGTGAACTGAATTTATTGATACAGTTCACAATCACAGATGTGTGTTATCACTTATCAGTTCCTGAATTATTTGTGATTTACAGATTTACAGTTATTTAGTTTTAACTGATGAGTACCTATTGATTAATTTACTCCTAAGTACGGCAATTCGTCTATACAATGTACATAATAATAGACGAATTATTCGACTAATAAATGTGATTGAAAATCGCGTCTTAATGAACTGGGAACTCAGGTGTGGATTCACTGAGTTAATGATTCGTGATTACGAGAGTTGAATTTAATGAACTGGGAACTTGGGAGTTGACTCACCGAGTCAACTTTTTTAGAGTGAACTGAGTCAAGGGAACTGATTCATGGCATTGAGTTGAAAATCCCATCACTACTTGTTATTAACAAGTAAAACCTGATAGAGTCGGTCGATTAGTGGTGGTGGTGCGGAGCCGCCACAGAAAAAATGATAAGGTTGGACGAATTTCAGAAGACATCAAACAAAAAGATAACAGAAAAAGAATCGGTATAACGAACCATATCGCCGATATGATCCGAAATAAGATCAGTGTCATTATTTTGCTCACCGGTATGTGCGAAAAAATTCCTCCGATTCACATTGATTTATTTTAAACACACTGGTTTGTACCAACGAATTTCTAGAAAAATTCAGATTTTTTATTCGAAGTTGGTTACACTGGAATAATAGAAGATTATTTTTCGAGATTTGTACATTCCAGACTTACATTCCAAGTTTGTACTTTCAAGAATTGTACGTTCCATATTTTTACAGGTACCCCCATCCATAAATAATAATAAAAATAATAACTGTACTTTTGTATATTATATGATAATAATTATGAAGATTTAATAATACAAAATTCCACACGTTTAAATGACGTATCTACAGATTTGTTTGAAAAGTAAAAAAAAAAGTGCTGATACTGGGGACGGGTGCGGCCACTGTTGTAGGTGAGAAATTGGGAAGGTAGGATACGTAGGGTTAATGTATATCTGTAAGCAACGATAAACTATTGCTGACGAAAGACGATTCCGAGCGCAGTTCGATAATACACGATTTGAAGTGCCGTCATTTTTTTAAACCTAACCTTCCCACGGTTTTTCCAATTATTATGAAAACGAATTCGAAAATCAAAAAGACGAACTGTATCATTAGCAACAACATTAATAATTCATCAAAAAAGGCTTCTTGTCGTTTTTCAATTGGAGCTATATTTGTGCTAGAAAACGTGGTTTGTACTTATTTAAAATAACGAAATCGTGAAAAATTCGCTTTTATTTTAAATGCCGTTTCAAAAATTAAAAAATGACCTATGTATTAATCAAGTAGATAAAATTTAATTTTAAAAAAGTTGCTACACTTATACATCGAAGCAAGTTTTTTTTTGGATAAAAGTAGTCTAAAGTATATAAAGAAAAAAAAAAAGTACTGTTGTAAAAAATTGAAAAAATTCGTCCGATGATTTTGGAAATTTTACTACGTCTAAGTAAGTCCAATATAAGTATTATTACCAAGTTTCAAGTTTTTACGTGTATTTATAACCGAATTGCAGCAAAAAAATTCCCAAAAATTAAAATTCTTTAAAAGCTTAAAAGTTTTGACAATGATACAGCAAGAAAGTGAATCAAAAAGGGAACAAAAAAGGTGTTTTGGGTTTTTCGATTAAATTATTTTTTCTGGTAAAAAACATCGTTCGTGTTTTTATAAAATAATGAAATCGTGAAATTGTACGTTTTTTTCCCACTTAGGTGTTTTTATTAAAAAAATAGCGCCGAAAATAAAAAATGACCAGTTAAAAGTACAATCTAGACCACTTGAGATTTCAGAAAAGTTGCAATACGTAAAAATCGGAGCAAGTTTATTAGGAAAAAACGTGTCCGTAGGCTAGAATAAAGAAAAAAGAAATAATTAGCTACAGCTTCAAAATTGATACTGAATAAGTCATAAGTCATAAAATATATTTATTATAAGCAAAAATCGGATTTAATTACACTTAAAACACAAAAATTGCATATTAAAATTATATAATTGTGTCAAAAAATATGTAAAAATTGCATTATAAAAATGCAAAAGTTATGTATAAAAAAAAAAAAAATAGATAAATGTTAGTTTTTTAATTAAAATTGATAATTAGATACATTTATAAAATTATTGGTGCATATTTGAAACAGTTTAATAAAGTAGTCTAAATTAGTAGTTCTAAATTAACATTTGCTTTACCTGACATGATTTCATAGTAAGACTTTGAAGTGTTATACCCTTCATTTTTTTTAATTACATACAAACATTTTTCTTTAATTTTTTCCTATTTGGACCAGGAATATTTGTTAAAATATCTTACATTTTTCTAAAAATATCCATGCTTTTCAGTAGTTTACAATTATATTCTTACAAATTTTTAAGGTCCATGAATAATTCGAATAAGTATAATTTTATGAATGCTAAACCACATTTGACTGCATTATTTTTTACAAACTGTTTCAGTTTTTCGACACTTGTAGCATCATCTGTTAAACTTTCACATTTTTTAACTCTTCAAAATTATTTGCATAGAAAAGTGCAGCATTTAACCATGTTCCCCATATTCTAATAATAGGTTTGGGTGGTAAAGGTATACTCGGCATTTCTTTTTTGTATTTATTTATTCTCCATGGTGCTTTTAGGATAGCCTTTTTTCCTGAAATAAACGAAATGTTACATATGTATTTAAATTTTAAATAGGTACTTAATATATTACCATTGTTAATCAATTTATTAATGTCGGGATACAATTCTCGAATTTTTTCTAGAATTCTGTTAACTGCACACGCCATACATATAATATGAATTAATTTCGAGAAAAATATTTTTTATGTTTTTGCTACTTTGATCATATAAGTACCAGTATTACTAATAAAAAATAATATTTTTTGTTTAATACCAGAAAATATTTTTAATGAGGAATTAATAAACTAACAAATAGTTTCATAATTGGTGGATTCTAGTTCTTTACATGTAACTAAATATGATTTACTAAGCATCCCATCTAATTTACCAATTAATACATTTGCAATAGCCAAACCTAAACGAAAATAGTGTATTTTATTATATAAGAAATTAATAAGTTATTTATATAAACCTCTTGGATCGGTTGTTTCGTAAACAATTATGTGAACTTAATTATTTCCAATATCACTAATTATTTGGTAAGATTACAATCAAAAGGTATCAACATTATCTACTTTCGTAATAATTGGTCTAACCCCAATTTGAATGATTTATAATCATTATTAAGTTATACTATTACAACTAAAAATATAATAGAATTATCAAGGGGGAGGGTGCCTAATACTATTGCCCCTCCCTTAAATCCATTATTGATTTAGCAGTTTAATGCTTTTAAATAGTAGAAAACATAAGAATAATATTAATTAATAACTAATAACGATTCTTTAAAATGTATCATTTTTTATAATTGGTAGCATTATATAACATAATTACAACTTTTGTAAAATAATTTATTATATTTTATAATTCACTCACAACACATATTGTTAGTTTTTCAAAAAAAATTGTATGTAGATAATAATGATAAATACAATTAATATTTTAAAAATATAATATATAACACCTGTTTAATATAATGAAATAATGAAGTATTAAACTTTTGTTTGTTATAACTTCATAATTTAACTTATATCATTGAATAAGTAATTTGTTTAAATGTTAATTTCAGAGATTATCAAAATTCAAACTTATCAATTCATAATTGTGCCACCTTATTATTTTTAAAGGTCAGAGTGTAAAAATCTATATGATCCAAAGTAATTTATAAATAATACATGTTCAACTCACAATAAATAATGAGTGTACAATAATATTATCTAATATAATTAACTATAATATAAATATATTGTTTAATGTTTCATATTACCATTAAAATAAATGTATGATAAGTGTGAAATTAAGTATTGAAAATTTATAATCAATAATATTGCTAATTAAATATATGAATCTAATTGTTTGTTAATATACAATGGATACTAACTTTGTAAAAAATATTAAAATTAATTATTGCGGTTTCATACAAATATGATAAGAAAAAAATTAAAATTAACATTTAAAAAAAAATCACATTTGTTAAAACATAATATTGATAAATATTTACATTTCCGTCTTATAATTAACTTATACATATACTATGTGTTTTTAATATCTATTAAATTAACTCTATATTTTTTTAAACTAGTAACTTATTTATAAAAATACAATTAAAAAATCAAACAAACCAATAGTTGTCCTATAATTTATAAGAGAATTGTTTTTAATTACATGAATATACTAAAAAATTATCTACCAGAGAATTACTAATAATATACATTTTTATACTAAATAGTATAAAATATTGGACAATGTTGAAATAGTAAAATAAAATATAAGAAAATATAGGTGAAATAGTAAAAATAAATCAAGATATTGAAATCTTTAAAAAATAAAATATAAAATTCAAGTCTTGGGTTTTTTTGAAAATATAATTCACATATCAATCAGATAAATTATAATATTTATGTGAAAAATGGGATTAAAAATGAATTAATATGATTATCTAGTTTTAATGCATTTACAATAATCCAATAGTATTATTACACTCGTAATATTTCTAATGACTTGTTATAACAAATTGCAATCCAATCTGGCTGTGTGGCACCCCATTGAATTTGATTTATTTCTCCTTCTGCTGCTGTATATGCTAAAATTGGATCTTCAATAGCTCTAGGCATTTGTTGGATGTCCCATATCAGAGCTTGGTGATCATCACCTGAACAAAATATTAAAAAATAATAATTTAGTTACACTAAATAAATTTAAATATTATAAGTAGGGTTCAGTTATGATTTTTCATTACATTATAGTCAAATATCTAAGTGTTTCATACCCATTTGTTTTACTATTGTAGGTTGGTTTTACCCACATATACCTATGGTTCCTAAGGAATTTGTTTTCTTATATTATCTAATTCCTTCTAGATAAAGATAATTTGTTCAAGACTAGTTGTTGTAATCTGTATATTAAGTAGGTTTTTGTTTGCATATTTTAATGATAATCAGTGCATACATACATGCATATTTTATGTATATATAATTTTGGACCTTAGTTATAAGGAAATAATTACATAATAAATATACATACCAGCAGTACATATGTGACAAGATGAATGGGGGGCCCATGCAATACCATTCACACAAGCTCTATGATTATTTAGTCGAGCAACAGGCGTACATGGTACTCTCACATCCAATATAATGACCTTCACACAAGGTAATAATAATTCAATTATCCAAAAAAATAGAATAGAAAAGATTTACTAATTACCTCACAGGCATCCATTGCGACTGTAGCAAGATAATTAGGATCTTGCTTGTTCCAGGCGAGTCTGAGTAATGGAGAGTGCTGTGGGTCTTCATAAATTATAGTTGAATGTTCTAAATGTCGCAAATCAAACATTCTAACTGAACCATCAGCACCTTTAATTAAATAAATAATGATTCACTATAAATTAATGACAATTAATGCACTAGCATTTCCATACCAACTGATGCAAACATATCTCGTCCGCCTCCAGCACGACTAAAGGCTATGTCGTACACTTCTTTGTCATGAGCTATTAACTGCGTTTTAACATGGCCAGCAACAGAATTAATTCTACCTACAATCTACAATTGTAATTTTATAAAACATCTGATTTATTTTTCATTCAAATATTAAATTTGATTGTTGGGTAATAATATTACCTGTGTTGTTTCCAGACCCCAAATAGTACAAGTAGTATCAATACTTGATGTTCCAATTAAATTAGGATCAACTTCATTCCAGTCAAATGATGTTAATGGAGCACAAAAGTCAGAGTTCTTATTCTGTTAACATAATAGGTATATTATAGCGATATGATTGCAACAAAATTGTTTAATTATATTTAACTTCCATTTTAAGTATTTTAAAATCATTTAGATTAATATTTTATAATAACTTCTATTATGTAATATTGTCTTAATTAGATATCAAAGGATCGGGTAACATATTGTAAAAATCGGTTACCAAGTTAAACATTTATTATACTTATTATAATAATGTATTCAGAAAACTGAAAATACATTTTTATCAAATTAATAGTTTTATTAATGATTATTGAGCAAAACTTTGAAACATCAAAGTTAATTGCACAATTTATCAAAACAATTGAATTGTCTCAAAAGTACTAAACAAAAATATATCATTTTACATTTTACAGAGTTGATACTTACGTTATTAAGGATACATTCAAGTCTGGTTTCTGGTTCACCCGCTCTCCAAATTCGTAAATAATCACCACTTGTAGCTAATAAATCAGGAAAAACTCCTTTCTATAATATAATAAATTTGATAAGTATTTAGGTACAATGTGAAACATTTAACAAATAATGTAAATATTATAATAACATACGCTATCAGGGATCCACATAATCTTTGTTGTCGGATATGGGTGATCGAATGTGCTCTTGGGACTGAATTCTGATACTTCTTCGTCCAAGGATACAATTTGAACTTTATTATTATATTCCTCTACAAAACTGCCAATAGCTAATCTGAAATGTTTTGAAACTTATCAAATATAATAAGTATTCAGTCATAACAATGATTAAATATCGTTGTTTACCGAAATCGTTTGTCTGGCCGTACTGACCAATTCATACTGTATAATGGCCAAGGTGCTTCATGTTTGTAAATTTCTTTACGTTTGGGTGTAGATCCATGTACAGCCATTTTGGAAGATTGAATATATTTTAGCACTGAAACCAACAAATCGAAATCAGAAAACTTCTAAAGCTAACCGTTGAAACACTATTAAGTACTGCTAACCTTTGGTAAAGGTTTGGAGCTTGAAGATGGGTCAGGTTAGCGTCACGTCGTTACCAATGTACTATATCTGTGCCAAACTGACGGCGTCAATTTCCTCGTACTCACTGCGATCGTAGGTTATCGAATTTCGATTAGTGTCTTGATTTAGTCATTTTTTAATGTTTTTTAACTACCGTTTGCATTTCAGCGTTCCGGCGTTCCGACAGCGGTGTCCACAGCATTATATCGTGTTCGAGTGGGTCGGGCGTACGTGCGTGCGTGCGAGCTTACCTTCGGGTCACGAGACGATCGGGTACGAAACGTGATCTGATATATAAACGATTTGGCCGCTGAATGTGAAATGGACGCGATATTAATTGTATTAATAGTTTCGGAAGTCAGCTTGTTGCGACGTCGGGGACGGAAATTAGTGTCGTCAATTCTTATTGTTTTTTTGTTTGTTTTTATTTATCATTATTATCGCGTCCCAAAGACGCGACGTTAGTGATAACCGCACGGTTGACGAGGTACGGGCGGGGGGAAGACAACTAAACTACGTAACAACGACTCACTGTGTGTACCGTGTGCGTATAGGTGGAGAGGACAGTGACGAAAATAAGCGGAACACCGCTGTGGTGGCAGTGTAGAGGTAGTAGTGGTAGAATATTGATCGTTGTAGGCGGGACGGAAAGACCGGCATCGCGGTGGCGTTGCCGTCGTTACCGAGAACACCCGCCCGCGGACGCCGTAGTTTCGCTGTATCGATCGGCTCCCGGGCCGAGGTTTTGGTGCGGTACCTAGGTTACGGTGGCCGTTACCGTCGCAACGGTCGCTCAAAATGCACCACACGATCCATAATCACCGTCGCTCCTACCCGCCGCCGCTTGGCACTGCGCTGTGTTTTGCCCTGTGTGTTTGTGTGACAGTGTTTGGCCGAGGGTCGAGTTGTTAATATGTGTTCGCGTTCGCGTCGTATTGCTTGTTCCTAGGTCAGCGCTCGTTACCGTTATCAGTCGTCGCTTAGTACTTCAGTCCGTTACCCTTGTCTTTGTAGGCCGTCGCCGGACTAGGTAGTCTTCGAGTTGGTTCTTTACTGCTTTACTGCATTATTACATCCCGTTTGTGCCAGTAATAATACCGTCGCCCTTCAGTAGTAGCATTATGTACGCATTGAAAAAATCACCGTCCTCTACCGACGATTCCGACAGTCAACAGCAAGTTGACTCCTCAACCGAATACACCGAGCCGTCCACTTCGTGGGCCAACAACAACGTCCAAACGTCCACATCCTGTGCAACGCCCCAGAACGCCGCGCCGCCAGCTTCGTCGAGCTACGATGACAACACCCAGCCGTCCACTTCGTACATGCATTCCGAACCTTCTACTTCGTGGGCTCACTTTTCTTCCGCTACCCCTTCAACTTCGGCAGCAGGGGACAAACCAAAAGCCACTTGTAAAAACGAACCGGAGGGTTCTTTGTCGGACAACGAGGAATACCTATCGTCAGATGAATCAGACTCTGATGATAACTTACGTCAGATATTAACCTTATACATGTACAAGAGGAATATAAGAGTAAGTCCCGTGCTACTACCCGCCCGCCTGTTCAACAGACCTCCCTTGAACAGCCGGGATATCGAGTATTCGGTGCTCATACCCAACCCCCCTCGGCCTTTCATTTCGGATCGGTAGCCAGGAAACCTATTGATTTTGTTATCATCATTATCAAGACGTCGTTATCATTATATTAGAACCAATCGGAGCGATATATTTTAAATTTTAACTTTTATTTTAATGATAACGGATTATCTTTTAGATTTCGAGTGGAGCGCAGACGCTTATAGTTGTACAAAGATGATTTATTTTTTATTTTTGTTCTATATACTAGAAGATTTGCTTGGATTTCTACATGTAGCACCTTTCCTGAAAGGAAATCGGCGTGGGGAGGTAGTTTAGGTAGGCCATTTTTCGATTTTCACAAGAGTTATTTCATCAAATTTGAAAAACTGGGGTAAAACATGAGAAAATCGTAGGAAACTGGGAAAATTGGTACAACATTAAACAGATTTTATTAAAGGAAATTTATAAAGGCTATTTTATTATTTTACTGCAAAATGACATGTATATTGTTGACAAAGCATCACTCCGTTCAGAATTGTTTTTTCGTTGCTCACAGATATACATTAAATTCCTGTCTATATCCTACCTTCCTGACTTTCCACCTACACCAGTGACTGCACCCATTATTTTATCTTTTTTTCAAATTTGATTTCTTGCAAAAATATCATCAGTCCGTATATTTAGTAGGTACTTATTTAAATTTCAGATTTAAATCAATTTTGATAGGTAGGTACAATCATGTTTGATTTTAATTCAATATAATTAAAATAATTTGATAATTACTTTTTATTTCTCTTGGTTTTAAAAAGGGTTTTTATTTTGAAACTGAAAAAGTTTTTAGTGTCATCTACATCTGTAAATTTTTGATTAAAATAAAATCTAGATCTTTGGGTACAATAATATGCCAATTATCTTTATTTATTTTCCTGCGCTCTGTTTGACTAACATACTGTGGTTGAATTTTTTGATTTTCCCATTTTTTGCAGATGGTTTAGAAGTGTGCAAAGGTAGATTTTGAAAATGTTGACTGTTACTGACACTGTCTGTCTCTATACATCAAAATTAAATTTAAAAATATTTAGAAACGCTGTGGTTTTTTATTCCAATAGTGACCTAAAACAACATCTAACAGTCAGAATTTTAATTTTGTAACCCTTTTAGACGATATCTTAAAATCTTGCATATTTTGATGAGATCTTTTGGCGAAAATTCTGATTGCCGAATAATTTTAATGTTATGGAAGGAAAGAAATATACCTAATGGGATATTTTTCAATATTTTGAAATTTGTTTTGACCATCAATAGGTAGCTAATTACTTAACTGATCTAAACTTGTAGACTTTCTTTGCTTGTATACATTTTAAACACACATGTGTTTATATTTTTATTATTTAGGTTTTTGACAGGTATCTGTTTTATTTAGTTTATTTATTATAATATTGAAACATTAACTTTTTCAGGTTTCCGATATAATCGATGCAAACAATTCAAGTCAAGCTCTTATTGAATATGTCAATTTAAAGTACATTGAGAATAATTTTAAAACTATTGGATTGAACACGGCATTTGACAAAAATAACATTGAGGGTGCTCAGCTGGAATTTGAATCGTAAGCCAAACATTAGGTATATACCTACATGTTGCATTAATAATAAATAAAACAAATTTGTTTTAGTTTCGAAAAATGGTTCAACCAAATTAAAAAAAAATTTGTTGGACCTCAACGTATCAAAGATCTTTGTGTGCCAATGTTTTCTCATCTCTATTTAAGTCTCTATACACCACCAAACCAGGAACGGCTGTTTCAATTATTGGACAAATTTAAATACTTATTCCTGAGCAAAAGAGGAAGTATATTCCTTCAAGAGCTGAAAAAGGTTACGGACATGAACCAATTGCCACATCGTATTTCCTTATTCAGGTAATTAAATAATAGTTTGTAATTTAAATATTTGTGTTAATGATAATTGTGGTATTCAATGTACTGTTTCAGAAAAAACAAATATGTATGCTTTGTTTCTCCGGAATTTTTAAGAGATCTAATTGAATTTTTTCAACATCACCGCATGCTGAAATTGGTTTGTATTTAAAAACTTATTATTGTGTTTATTTTTATTATTTTTTTTTTTTTTGTATACTGATATCAGAGAGAATCTGTTTTCACAATTCAAATATTAAGTGATATTTTATTACCTTTGTTTAAGTATTAAGATTAATTTCTAATATTAGATTTCTGATTAATTTTTAAATAATTAATTATTAAACTAAAGATTTAAGTTTAATGTTTGAATATTAAATACACATATAAAATACAACATTAATTAAGTTGGCCATAGTTTAATAAATAGTACAAATACAATAAACCTAATATACAGAGTATAACATGAAGATATGTCATTTCAAATAACTTGTTTTATTCAATATTTTATTTATGTATATATTTTTGTATTTTTAATAATTAGTATGCTTACATAAATAAATAAATGCATCGTCTGGAATATTAAGATATGTGCATTGTACAACTGGCTTCGAGTTAAAAATTCATTCACTCAAGTCATGTTTTAATTTTTAACATTGTGATTTACCTAATGATAAATTTTTAATATTAAACAGGTTGTATAATATGTACAATAATTATTTATTTATATATTTATGTACGAGTATTAACTATTTAATAATTTTATTTTTACTTTATTATTTTATTAATTAGTATGCCTCTGTGCTACAGTTTATATATAGGCTTTTTATATTTAGGATATTATTGAATGATATTAAATATTGAAAAAGAAAATCCTTTTCATTTAATGTACTCTGAATACTGATTAAATATTATAATAAATTTTAAACCACAATAATATTTTTATTTGTCAAAACTTCAAAAAAAATTGTAGAAAATAAAAGGCCATACCAAAACAAAAGTTTCAACTACTAACAATTTTTTAAAAAAAATTATAGTAAAATTTAAAATTTTTATTTTAATTTCTCCCCCGCCCCTTAAAAAAAAAAATGTAAATTTTTAAACTGTAGCACATAGGTATTCTAGTAATAGAAAAAAAAATTATATATACTTTTATCCATTGTCTTTGTCTGCTTTTGACTATACTAGTAATAGTTCTCATAGTCTGATAGTTTAATTGTACATTTTAATATTGTTATTGTAAAATAAACTACTTTACAATGGATGGACATAGGATTACCCTACATACCAAATTAGATGTAAAATCCTATACCAAATCTTCACAACAAGCTACCTTCAAGATATCTATTTATAATTAGAAATATGATATCTAATATAATTTTAAAAATTAGTATTGAATCATTATGAAACCATTATTTTGTAATATAATAATGATAGCTAGTAGATTATCATCTATCTAAAACAATTAATGGTATATCATAATAATGTTTAATTTGTTGGTTATAGATTTTTCTAGAATGGTTTGACATTAATTATATTACTGAAGAAGATGAAAAGACAATTGTTGAAGAATACTTGAGCAGAGATCTACCACAAAGTTATTATAATAATACAAACAATTATAAGCAATCAAAAAGTAACAATTTGAAGAATATTTCTACTATTGTTAAGAATAATTTAAATACTAGTGTAAGTAAAAATGATTTCATCATTATTTTTATGATTATGTTATGTTTTTGATTATTTTTATATAAATGTATTTTATGAAATTTAACAACTTCTTAGTTAATTTACTAATCCCTATAAAAGCAAATAGTTTATCAGTAAAGTATTTTAAATATTGTCATGTGTTTGTTGTTGGTACATCTATAAAAAAAAAAAAATCAAGAAGTCTACACCAACTTTTAGCATTTAAATCACTTAAGTAATAAGTAATGCCCTTTACACCATAATCTTAGATATTTGATAAAACATCATACAGTAAATTTAGATACAATTGTTGGTGCAATAGATACTTGATTTTGGCATTTACACCATATTATAAAAAGGCGATTTTGAACAAAATCTGACTAGTCCTTTTGGTTGAGAGCTATCCTTCAATAATCAGTCTTGATTTTTTTTTATAGTAGTGGAAATAAAGAAAAATACATTTTTGTAATTCAAAAATTCAGACATTTAAGGAATAATTTGGTTATAAAATATTAAAATCTAAATTTTTATTTTATTAGAAATCAACTTCATTACAAATTAAGAAAGACAGCCAATGTGGTACTTATTCTGAAAAACGTGTAAGTTAAGATTGTGAATAATTTAATTTTAATAAATAGGTAATTGTTAATGATTTTTTGTAAATAAGTGTGATGTTGATGGACAGCAGCTTACAAAAAAAAGATTTCTTCATGATCAACAACCTCAGTCAAGCGATAAACAATTAACAGATGATAAAGTAATTGCTTAAACTCATTAATTTACAATTGATTAAACTAAAATACAATTTTTATGTTGTTTCTCAGTATGCTGCTGGACCTAGTGGCCTAAATACTCAAAAAAAACATTGTGGCAATTCAAAATCAAACGTGGTAATTATTTTCTAATATTCTATGCTGTATTATGTAGTGATGGGGGTATAGGAATAATCTTATGATAGTTAATGGGAAAAAATTATATAATTATAAAAACAATAAATTGAATAATTAATTCGAATGAATTAAGATTTAAATTTCTTTACTTGGTTATATGTATAAATAATCAAATGATAATCTATTAGTAAGAATTATCTTTCTTTATATTTTATTTCATATGATATAACAATAACTTAAAGATTTACACAATTTAATTTTAATTTTAAATTGTAAATGAAATAATGATCTGATAAGTATCATTTATCAAATGTTAATTATGTGGTTTTATACATTTTATCACACAATTTATCAGAGTGATTCAAATGATTTGATTTTGATAAATATCTATAACTATTATTTTGATTATCAAAATTATTTGATTACTCCCATCATTAGTATGATGTATAACTTTTATGTTTAATAATAGCGATCTGGAATATGGGCTGATGATACCATGGACTTAGATTCATCAATCACTGGATGTTCAAAGGTAATTTTTATTATTAATATATATATGTTAATAAAAATTGATTTCTTTATTTTTAGATAACTTCTCTAAAATGTGTTCTAAATATTGGTTTCAAAATATGAATTCTCATTGGTTCGTTTTATTTAAAATTGAGTATATTATTATATATTACAAAGAATTATTGTTTATGATTTAAGTTAATATTTAATTTTAATAAACCAAACATCTAATATATACATTTAAAATTTCTGCACAGATTATACATAGTAGTACAAGTAGTTTATCTAATCTAATTAAAAAGAAATTAAAAAAAGTGCAGTTATTTTCAAGCTTTTTATATATGTTTTGTAAACAGAAAAATAGTTATAAAGGAGAATTTTAATTTGTAATAGAATATGCACTAAAGAGATTCATATAATTTAATATAGTATAGTCTAATATTTTCATAACAAGTTTTAAAAATTAGTGATGGTAATATGTGTCAGCTTTAAAAATTTTATGTTTAATTTTGCATTGTGTTAGGTTAGATGATACGACTAGAGAACAGCATATAATAATGATAAAAATTTATGAGTCATAGCTAAATGTAGTTATTTACAATTTACATGAGTTTTACTATTTTTATTACAATATTTGTATATTATTTGAATACAGCAATGAGTATTTGTTTTTTTATAAAATATATGTATAATAATTATGTACTTTAATTTGTTTTTAGACAATTGAAGACAAAAGGAAACATCAGATAGATGATCAGCCTTTGTCAACACTGAATGGCCGACAATCTAGAAGTCTCCATAAGGTATATTTTAATAATTACTACTTATATATATATATATATATATATACAATATGAATTACTTGGAAATATTTTATAATATATTTTACTAGAAACGCGCTGGAGAAGATACTGATAATTCCAGTTCACAAAATGAATCTTCAAATCAGAAAAATATACATAAACATACAAAAGTAATTATCTATTTTATAAATAGCTATAAAATATTTTTTTATTTAAATTTGTATGATTTTTTTTTATTTGATCATAAAGCTACATAAACAGGGACACACTGTTAAGAAAAGAAAAAATATATTACAAGACCCAACAAGTAGTAATGTAATTATTATAAATTGATTTACATTAATCAATTTTTTTTCTTATTAAAAAAATAATATGCTAAATACAATTTTACCAGTCTAGAAAAGGCTTATATAAATATTATTATTTTTAACCTAATTATAAAAAAAAACAATCATACATAATAAAACTATTGTTGCTTTTGTGGTTTTTCAATCTCTATCAAAAATGATCTTTTTAATGTAGTAACTAGATCCAAAATTCTAAAAAGAGCTCATTTGTTGTTTATGGATGAAGCAAGCTTTCTGGAGAAAACTAATTCTCATACATTTTTGTTTTTTTTTTTTTTTAAATGACTTAAACCTAAAATTCTTTGTTTCCTTTAGAATCTAAAAAAGGAAAAATAATATTTGTAAGATTTTGGAGATATTAAATATAATGATATAATAATAACATTACCTCAAACAATAATTAAACTTGACTGTTAATTGTATGTACCATATAAATTTTATATTTTTATCTCAACTTATTGTGACATTTATATTTAATTTTGAAAAAGGTTTTCAATATTAAGAAAGGTAAAAGTAAGAATGTGAATTCTTCCAATCTTGAGACATCAAGTGACTATGAACAAGTAATATTTTCTTTAATTTTGTACTTAATTATTTAAAGTTTTAATTAAATATCTATTTTTTATTTTTTATTATTTATTATAGTCCAATCAATAATTTGACAACTCAATATTTCTTACCTATCTTTTTAATGTATTAATAAAAAAAAAAAAAAAAAACAGTAATATATATATTTCTAAAAATATTACTTGAATTTTTGTTTGTTAAATTTATTTAATAATTTCTTATAATTTAACAATTATTATTTTTATTAATTAGTTATTTTTATTATAATTATTATTATTTTTGATCATAGTTATAGCTAGATGAAATTTTGAAAATATATTTTTGAGCTTGATTTTATTTAGTTGCTTTATATTTAGTTTTTCTTTTCCTCAAAAAATCAACTTGTAATACTGGACAATTTGCATTTTTTTTTTGTTTGAACCAAAACGTTTTTCCATAGAAAGAAATATTTGCTTTCTCTTTCTGTTAAAATATTTGAAATGCATGAACATTAAAGCAATTCTTATTTTGAAAACTTAGGTGTGATTTGAATAGTGGACAAAATAAGAGATAATAGACTGATGATTTGGGCATGTCATGAGGAGAGAGGATTCGGAAGCATTAAGAATTGTAATGCAAATGGGTGTATGAGGAAAGAGTGGGAGAAGAAACCCAAAAAATAGGTGGTTGGATATAATTGAGAATGATGTGATATTTCAAATTGTGGGAATGAAGGCAAAGAAGAAGATAACTGATAAATATAAAATGGAATGGTAATAATTATAATTTATACTTTATTTTAAAGGCTACAAAATATAGCAGGAAACAAAGAAAACAGCAAGCTCATTATAAACTAAGTGGCAGAAGTAAATCAATGGGCGATAGTAGAAGTTCTAGTGATAGTTCATCTGAAGTAAGAGTAAAATTACTAAATCACTTATTTTATTTGATTCAATAAATAATTATAATTTAAAGAGTTCAGAGGATTCTAATTCTGGAACCTCATTTTTTGATGAAGAATCTGCCATGAGAAAATATTTTAGATATCAAAGAAAATCTGGGAAGCGATTACCAAATGTAAGTTAAATATTTGTTCTTGTACTAATATATACAAGATTATTTCAAAAATGTAATAATAGTTTTATATTTATATTTTTAATGTATTTTTTTTTTTGTAGTTATCACTAGGTCAGCTTTAATTTTTATAAATTTTTTTATTACTTTATAAATAAAAATTAAAGATGCAGATGTACATTAAATATTTTTCCCTGATCCAAGGTAGCTGTTTTATATACATTGTTTGTGTTTTTAATACTATCATCTGTAAGGTCATTAATTTTTAGATAATTTTGATAGCTTGATAAAATTCAAATTTATTTCTTGCTAATTTTACTAAAAATAAATATAAATAATATAAGTTTGTATATAATAAACATTTACAATACCAACAACTTAAATTTATATGATAAAAATATTATAAAATTGTACAATATTCATGAATCATTTGAAAATGTAAGCCTTACTAACATTTTTCTAAAAATCGAATTCCTGAGTATTATAATTTAACAAAAAATTAATTAAATTATTAGTACCAAGATATTAAATTAAAAAAAATTTTTAAAATATCAAATAGAAAAAAAATTATTACATTTGTTAAATTGGCCTGTTACACTGTTTGTGTGTGTGTGTGTGTGTGTATTACATATATACTTTTTTTTTCTAAAAAATTATAATATTTTATTGCTTGTATGTTTTTTTTTGTTTAAGAAAACATTACATTTTTTGAAGTATGGAAATACATCTAAAATTGAATTGAAAAAATTAGAAGGTGATATGTATCTTTATAATACCAGACAAATTATGTTGAAAAATGTTAATAGGTAAGTAATAAATTTAAACTTGAATATTAATCTAAATTGATTATAATAATATTGTATACATTATAGTATATATATATATATATATATAATTATATTATTTATATATTTGTTTACAGATTAACATGTACTCTTATAACTATAGACCATAAATATGTTGCTGCTGGTTCCACAGACAGTTTAATTTACCTATGGGAGAGAACTAATGTACCAACAGAAAAAGAAATCAATAATCTCTCAAAGAACATAAAAAGTTCCTCAAGGAAAAGTATTTATTTTGATGAAAGGGAGAAATATACTGAATTGTAAATAGTTTTATCATAAACTCATAAACAGTATTATAAACTGAAGCAATTTGATTATTAACCTTTTTATAGCTTGGACAAAAGTGCAGCAGATGTTTTGCGTGGACATGGTGGATGTATATTTGATTTAGCTGAATTACCTTCTGCTAAAATCTTAATTAGTGCATCCAGTGATAAAACATTCAGAGCTTGGCATTTGGAATCCAAAGTTTGCTTAGAAGTGTATGAGTAAGTTAATATTAGACTTTAATAATATTTGTTATATAATTTAAATACATTTAAGATTAGTGTGTAAAAAAAGTGAATTATATATTTACTAGACACCTCCCTCCTCTGTTTGGCATATAATGTAGAAAATGTAAATATAAAAACTGTATTACATAACAACAGAGATAAACAGTTTTTTTTTAAACCTGACTAAATGAAAAAAAAAAAAGAAACAAGCAATCAAATTATTATTTTCATTTTATTTTGTATTTAATCAATTTATTATTGTATGTTTATATATATATATATATATTTTTTATGTAGTGAATATGAACACAGAACATGGTGTATCACTGCTTGTCCATATAGTTTGCAAGTAGCAACTGGTTCATCCGAAGGCTCAAGCTGTTTATGGTTTTTGAATTATAAACGTCCATTAAGAATTTTTTCGGGCCATCTTGATGATATTTTGGTAAGATAATTAAAAATAAAAAACAATTTCCATTAAATTAATATTTTTATTTATAAATTATGTTATTAGGTAATCAAATTCCATCCAAATATGACGATGTTAGCAACTGGTTCAGCTGATAAAACTATACGTGTGTTTGAGTTGGTAACTGGCAACTGTCAAAGGCTTATGTTAGGCCATACAGATTATGTAATTTGTTTAGAATTCCACCCGAAAAACCCTAAGATTTTAGCATCTGCTGGTATGTCATCATAATCTATCTTACAATAGACAGAGGCTAATTTATAAAACTGACTTGTTTTAAAATATAAATAATTTATATACATTATATTTTGCACCTTCTTTAAGAAAAAATTACATTTTTAAATTGTAGTATAACAATTTTACAATGCTAATTATTAATATATAATTTTTAGAACTAAATATAAAAAACAATATTAAATATTTTTGATTCTATTAATAGACTTGCTCCATCATCAATTTCAGGGGTAGTTTCCTAAAGTTCCAAATTTGTTCTAGTAAATGGTTTGAGTATGTCTTTTTTTTAGAATTGTAAAATAATAGTAATAATATATTGGGCATAATATTGGATTCTGTTGATAATTTCAATTTAGTTTTATTTTGTTTTGATTCAGTTAAAAATAATCGTAAAAACCTGAAATTTTCACAAAATACTTATATTAGCCCTTTCTGGATATAGTCCATTTTTCAAAACATTTTGGGGACTTATGAGTTCATAATATCTATTTGAAATTGTCAAATTATTTTAAACTTTTATGTAAATTAAATTATTTTTGGCTTCTCAAAAATGCCTGAATATTTGTTACAAAGTTCATCATGTGATGACAGGACTACAAAAATGTTAAAATTTCCTTTATAATTTTTTTTTTACAAACAAAAGTTACCATTGAAAATCATACAATCTATAGTATTTCTGATTATGTGGAAAAAATTTATCATCGTAAAAAATTTGAAAAACAAATTATTATTATACCTTAATACAATTTTCAATTTGAGATTATTAACACATGATTAATTAACAGAATTTTTCTTAAAATGGGCTTTTCATTAGCAATGTAAACCATTGCATACAGATATAGTTAAATTATTCTATATTACCTTCCCAGCTCCCCACCCAAAACAGTGACCCATGATTAATAAATGTCATGTTATTTATTTTATTACATTAAACTATAATGTTTTCTAAAATGCATGGAGTTAGCCTCTGTTTACATTTCAAATATTTTAAATCATTTTATTTTGATCTTGTTGAAATTTGTAATTTTAGCTGGAGGTGGTGAAATAATGGTGTGGGATTTACCTACTGGTTATACACTTTGGACATTACGAGTGGGCAATGTGGCATTTTCAGAACTTTCCTGGTTGGCTGATGATATATTGTTAGCTTCATTACTAACTGGTATTATTTTGAAATGTAATGTAACAATGTAAGTATACATTATTTATATATTATTTTTTAATAATTTTTTTTTGTTAATATTATTAAAAACATTTTTTATTTTAGGGATTATGTAAAAACACGCAAATCTGTAAGAGGGTTTCAAACTAAATTTCAACGTTTAATGTCTTTATGTATAATCGATACTATAGTTTATACCATAGGCATTGAAGGTGTTTCATCTATTATGAAACCTAATATAACAAAGCTACAAAAAAGGGCATCAATTAAATATAAACAGCAACAGGAACGGGCCACCTTAAATCGTTATCGAGAACCTTCACCATTATCTAAATTGTATTTTCCAGACCATATTATTGAGAATGACGGTAATTCAATAAGGCCATTACTTGGGTTAAGTACCACTACAATGAGTGTTCCTAAGGTTGATTTAGAATATCAGTTTAATATAGGCCCAAATCAAACAACACAAGAATCAACAGAATTTTTGAGAATGAATTTGCAAGGTTTTCCATTTAATTTGTCCACTGATGATATAAACAAAATTATTTCTAAAAGTCAGTCATCACATATTAGTCTTATTGAAAAACATTATTCAAAGCCTTCGACTAAACAGATTTTAGAAAATGCCTTACTATTGCCTACACAATCAGCCAGTTCCTCACTAACAGAATTGCCATCAGCAGATTTGAATTATTTTGAAGAATACAAACAAAAATATAACTTCAGTCATGAAAATACATCTCAACATTCCAAAGCCAATGTAAATAGTTATCATTATTCATTGCAATCTCACTTGATAAATATAAATGCACATCAATTCAGAGAGCATGAGTTGGTTAATAGTCTATTGAATATTCATAATACAGCACTTCAAAATCTAGAAGAACAGAGGATTCAAACAGCAGACAGGGAAGCTAAGGAAAAGTTATTGTTTCACTTAGCTAGTAATATTCACATTACCAACACGGTAGCTCAGGAAAAACTACATATGATGCACGAAGAGCATCATCAAAAACTAATTTTTCATCCCCAGCAACAGCATCAACACTGCCAACATCAACAACAGCATCAGCAGTGCCAACATCAACATCAATATCATCAGTGCCAACATCAACAGCAGCATCAGCAGTGCCAACAACAACAACAGCATCATCAGTGCCAACATCAACACCAGCATCAGCAGTGCGAACATCAACAACAGCATCAGCAGTGCCAACATCAACAACAGCATCAGCATTGCCAACATCAACAACATCATCCTCTACAATTACAACAGTTACATCAGCAACAGGAGTTACAGCATCAATATCATCAGCAACATCAGTTACAGCATCAATATCAACAACAACAGCATTTTCAACAACACCATTTACAGCAACAGCATTTACAGCAACATCCGTTACAGCAACATCAGTTGCAGCAACAGCAGTTACAGCAACAGCAGTTACAGCAACATCAATTGCAACAACAGCAGTTACAGCAACAGCAGTTACAGCAACAGCAGTTACAGCACCAGCAATTACATCAACAGCAATTACATCAACAGCAATTACATCAACAGCAATTACATCAACAATATCAACAACAACAGTATCAACAGCAATTACAGCAAAAACTACAACAAATACAGCAACATCAATTACAAGAGCAGCAACAATCACAAGTTATGCAAAAATTACAGCATAACAAGCAGTTACTATCAAAAGTGAATGTACAACCAACTCAAAAACATATTCAGTTGGCCAATATGAATGTTTCAAAACCTTTTGGCGGGTCTGTGGATGGTCATTCCATGCACATGGGTACAAGACAACAAAGACCTACTACCACAGCTGGTAGATCATCAGATATAATAGTGACTAAACAAAATTACGAATATATGCGCCAGGTGGTAATTGATAACTTTCGTAAAACAAATCCGGAAATGTTTATTGGAGGTAGCCAGCCTGAAGTAAAGATATCACAATCTAGAAATTCCTCCCCGACAGACCAGTTAAATCCAGTTAAATCAGAACCAGAATCTGATTAAAAAAAAATTTACAAATTAATACTACCTAATTTTAGATAATGTATTTGTGTGTTTCTGTACAAAATTAATTTGTATTTTTATTATTTACACATGACATTTAAATGTTGTGTTAAATTATAAAATTGTAAAATTAATTTTTTATATTTTTTTTTTTATTTTACATTTGAGTTAAAATTAACTAAATTATTATAAAATATATGTTTTAAAATAATATATAAGAATATGCCAATTACTTTATACTTATTGAGTCTTATCAGACCTTTAGAAAGCTATTCAGTTTTCAACAAATAGTGATTTTTGTAGCAGTACAAGGGTATTAAATAATACATTTTGGAGACTAAGTGTTGTCCACAGAAATGTTTTTTTTTGTTTGAGTATTATCTTATTTATCTTGTGAATCTAGCCTGAAGAACTAACCAAAATAAAAAAAAACCTAAAGGTGAATGATAATCTATCTACTTATAAATATTCAGTGTTGAGCCCAGATATTTATTTTTTATCTACAAAAAAAGGTGATTGAATTAAAATCTATATATAGATAACAATATATAATCAGATTTAAATCAATTGTGTTATTTATTAAATCATTGGTAAGGTGTATGAATACCTATTTTATATTATATATCAGTCACATAATTTTAACTTTTGTTTAAGCAGGAGAGGGGTATAGAGTATAGAAAAGTTATATATTTATGCACATTTTGTTACTATAATTCAATATTTAGAATATTCTCTTATTTTTTGATTTTTATTTATTGGCAACCAATATTACTGGACAAAATAAAAATGTATACAATATTAATTCTGTCACATTTTAGAGAATGGTTTATTTTTCGAATACATTATTAAGCTTATGTGCATAGAAAACAATTCAATACTTTTGGCCCACTTGACACTATAAGTTTTATATGCCTACTCTAGGGGGTCAGTTTATCTTATACTACCTATTCAAATTATGTTATATACTTAATGAAAAACACCAGTTTCTTGGTGATGTCTTTGTTATATATTACAAAGAATCATATGTTTAAGGGATGGATATTGGAAAATAAATGAACAGTTGCCTATGGTTCACACATTTCTGTCAGAGTTCCAGCCTCTAGTTTCAATTTTATCAAATAAATATTATATCAATAATAATTATAAATATGAATAAATATCAAATACCATATTGGACCATTAATGAGGAATATTAAACAAAATTAAAAAGAATTTAATCCAATATTGTTATACATGCAATCAGTTTAATTTTTTTTTTTTAATATTAGAGTAAATTGAATTATTATACCATTTTAATATATAGGCATTTTTAAAGGTTATATTTCAAATATATTTATTGAATTTGAAATTAATATATCTAATAATATATTTTGACAGTAGTATGAGTAATATCTTCAATAATAAGTTATTTTATTCTAATATTAATAAAGCTGTAATAGTTGTTGACAGAATATCTTGGTGTATATTTTCTCATTTTAGAAAATAGATAAAAATACAATACTTGGTAGTTCGTCTGTCTTTATGAAGTTTAATTATATATTGTAATAAATTGAAATGTTAATCAATTTCTTAAGTTTATTTGCATAGTCAATCATAGTTTGATTGCAATGTAGGTATAAAAGCGTATAATAGTAATAAAATATGTTAATAAATATTCGTGCTGGGTATAAGCAGATAATAAATATAAATGGATCAGCACAGTTTGAAGTCCTTCAGATTCAGTTATAGGGAGACAGAGTTATTTTTTTAGACACCATAGAGTATCCATTAAAATCGTCTAAATTATATAAAAAACATTTTTCTCATAAAAAGTTGTAAAATATTCAATATTGAATTGTATTGTATTTCAAAAGTCACACATACAGTTAAAATATTAACTTATAATGAATTTAACTTAGATATATTTTGGTATCAATGGACAAAAAAACAACTCTAATTATTATTATTATTAAATTAAAAAAAAATAATAAAGTAAAACAAAATTATTAAAATGGTTAATACTCGCAAATAAATTTATAAATAAAAAATTAATTAATCAATAAAGTGTATTAAACAACTAGTTTTGAAAATTCATAATCAGGTATATCATAGTCAAAATGTAAAACGCAACTGAATATAAAAAATTAAATGAATGAATATATAGAAAAAAAAATTATACAAATTGGTCATTAAGCATATTCCACGTAATCTAATGGTTATACATACAATTATGATCTTATGGGTTTCGAGTTCAAACCCTGTTACGAACTCAATTTTTCAAATTTTTTTTCCCTTTTACCTACACAAGGGAAAACAAANCCATAGTAACTTATTTAGATTATTAGATTTTTCTAGCGGTTTTCATAATATCTGTGAAAAACAAGAATAAAATGTCGGAAAAACGGAAATTGAACGAAATGTAGGTATTAGTAAACAAATATTTCAGCCTTATTTTTTTCTGTGAAGTTTTCTACTATCAATTTTGCTCAGATTTACAATGATAGCATTTATTCTTGAAGTAAATCTTACTTAGAAGGTACTTTGGGAAGTTAATTTTTCGATTTTCCCAGCAAATGTGAAAAATTAGGAAAAAGGAGAAAATCGGTACAATATTAAACAAATATATTAAAGAAAATATATAGAGCCTAAAAAATTATTTTAGCATATGACATATTTTGTTGACAAAATATCATTAAATTCTGTTCAGAATCATTTTTTAGTTAGCAATGGTTTATTGTTGCTTACAGATATATATCAAATTACCTATAACAGTGGCTGCACCAATCTCCATTTTTCTAGAAAGTCTTTTAAATTCTGAGTAGACAAAGAACTTTATGGTTTTACAAAGATGTTATGTAAGTAAAAAAATATTATGGACTTTCTTTTTTCTGTGTACAACTTTTCTACTAGCAATTTTGCTCTGAATTACAATGATAGCACTTTTTTTGAAAGAAAATCTGACTGCAATGGTACTTTAAGACCATTTTTAGATTTTCTTAAGAATTTTCCCCCCAAATTTTAAAAAAACCAATCAAATAGGGACAATATTATACAAATATTGTTAAACAAATTATATTATGCCTATTTAATTTATTTACCATAATATGATACATAAATTGTTGACAAAGCAATATTATAACTGAAATTTGCTCAGAATCATTTTTTGTTAGCAATGGTTTATTATTACTTATAGATATATATTGAATTTCTCCTCTGCTACCTTTCAAACTACTCACTTACCATAGTGGTCCATCCATGAGGGAAGTTGTCTTCCTTTTTACTCTTTAGTTTTCAATTCTAAAATTTCTTAAGTCTTCTTCCATCACACTAATTCATCTTTTTTTATGTTTTATATACTAATAATACAAACTTTAAAGTATTAACATACAAATATTGAAGTTTATATAAAAAAAATAAATACATTTTCCAATACAATTTATTATTCTTATAGACATTAGGATAAGAATACAATCATTAAAACAATAAAATGTTGAATATTTTGGATGATTCCAATTATATTTGTGTGTTTGTATCAATGTTTATTATTTTAACTGCTTGATTATAACTTGAGAGTAATAAATAATTATGATTGGTTACATGGAATAAAAAACAATTAGTATAATTAAAATCAAAAAGCAAAATGCAAAGTTATTTAAATTGATAATATGTAAACAAAACTACATACATGAAGTAACATCATAGACATATTTCTTAGCTATTATAATTATTATAAAATATTGTAAAAACAAAACAAACTATTGAATATCAATGCAAATAATTTATTGTCTACAATAATATATAAAATCTGCTTATGATAGCTTTATTTTGAACTGCTGATTTTGGTTATTATTAAAAATGTTGGATTTTGAAATGTTCATGTCTTTTCCCTGGGAGTCAAATTTGAATAATTGCTCATTTTTGAGTTACAAGCTTTATTTTTCGATAGAAACTTAATAATAATAATAAGTAGCTACCTAGTAATAGAATTAATAGTAGTTCTTGGGACTAGTTCTGAGTAATCTAAATTTTAATTACATAATTATCCAATAAACTGGATCCAATCTATTCATTTAGGCTAGGTACTGAAAAAAGTAGAAAATAGATGGTAGATAATAATAATAATAAAAAAAAAACAACTTGGAACAGTTAAACATACATTATGTTAATTAATTTATAAATAATTGATTTAAATTATAAATTATCTAGATTAAATGGATTGTAACATCTATTTCAATTCTGAATTAGATTGACTCAGATTTGATACTCAGCACTGCTAAAGGCCATAGTAACCAATGTTTTCTTTTACTATTGGATTACAAATCAGTTATCACGTAACTTTGGTATTTATAGACATGAGGAAAAGACATGTGCAAGATCGCTAAATTTAATCAGTTATTAATAAAAAATGTCATTCTTATAAAATAGTGATTTCATAAAATCTATAGTATTATAAATAGTCATTATCATGCTGTATGTGTGCTACATTCTGACAAAATATACAATATTTTATTGGCTAGAAACATCTTATCTTGGGGCTAGAGATAGGTACATGGGAAGAGAGGTTGGCACCCCTAAATTTAGACCTTTGAGTCAGTAATCTAACAATTATAATTTTTAAATTTTGCTAACATAAAAATGTCTTAATTTTAGGTTTCAAAACATAAGTTAAAAATACCTTATATTTTTAATAATTAGGAATTGTTCACTCTTATAGAATGCGCTTTCCTAATATTAAAAATTCGAAAATATTTGTTATTGGTAAATATTTGTACCTTCCCCCCTAGGAATTTCCTATCATTATTAAGGAAATCATTACAGGTAAAATAAAAAATTATCTCAATTCACTAACTACAAAGGTACCCCGGATAACAAAAAAAAAAATGGAATAATTATTATTATATTGGTAGAGTAGAGATGGATTTCACATTTATTTTGATTATGATACATTTTAAATCATACTTTAAACTTATATAGGCTACAAAAAAAAATAAGAAGGGGAAGAAGGGAGAGCTTTCAAAACTAATACTTAACTCAAAAGTTATCCAACCAATTTGAACAATTTATTTCCTTTTTAATTGCTTTTTTTTTTTTCTAAAATAATATTGAAACCAAACTGACACATGTTAACATAATTCAAAAATTCAATTTGTAAATTGTCTACAGTGATATACTGAATCTCTTGATATCAAATGGTGATTGTTAGCAATTGCTGTTTGAAGTGCTAACTGTTAGCTTATAATCTGATGTAGAACAAAAAATGTAACAGAATGAAAAAAAAAAAAAACTTAAGTTCTGATATTATTCTTAATTATAGTGATTAATCTCAATTTATTTAATCTAAGTATATTTTGCAGATAAAATGCTTTGACTAACCTAGATATTATTTTCGTTTAATATTGATAAAATAAAATGATATTAGAAAGGACATATACAGAATGGATGATTCTAAATATGGGATAACTTCATATAACACAAGACATATGGAATCTCAATGGCACAGTCAATACTGTATTTATAATATATTAGTAAAGCACATACAGCATCAAGTAAACATTGATAAATACAAAAGTATTGAGTAAGACATCTTATGATGGGATCAATGACTGTATCATTCTAGAAAATAAAACAGGTTAAGTCAACATACAATATGAATTAAATTACATTCAGTGTTAGACATTTAGTGAATCAATTAAATTATTAAATTACATTAGTCATTAATTATTTAATCATTTATCAAAGTAATCAGTTATCATGATTACATATTTGTAATCCATAATCATTATCTTTAATTTGATCACATAACTACAGCAATGAACATACAGCACTCTAGAGCAAACATCATGTTTGGTGTTTTAATTTGGTACCTCATACATTTGTGGTGCTTCCATCACCTTAAGACAGTTTCCTCTTTGCCCCCCTCTTAGTATGGCCCTATATATAAATAATTGTAGTAACTAAGAGTATAATGATGAATAAGTTAATGGAATAAGATGTCTATAGGTGTTACAGAAAAACCAATATTTTCCAATAGCATATGTTTTTTTTGGAAATAATGCCATTTTCTCTATTATTCAATGGGAAAACCTCCAAATAGAAGTCACATATTTTAATTACAGCTATAGATGATAATAATATATTATTATGCTAAAATCTATATAATTGTGGTTTAAATCTTAATTTAAAATTCATTCAATAACTTATGGATCGAAAACATAAGATTATGAAAAAAATTAATTTGGGGATAGTTTTTGTTGAATTTGTTAAAATGTAATCATTTCATACCAAATTGAATATGCTTGATTAGTACTTCCACCAAGTAATTCTCATCAGACTGTTATCAGTAATAGTTTAATTGTTTGGATCCAAACAATTTAATTGTAAAAACACAGATAATATATTTACTCATATCATATTAAAATATGAGTATTTACATACTAAGATTTGACTATTATTAAATAGTATACACTCAAATGAACCGGTTTGCAATAAAATAAGTATGTAGTACATGGAATGTAGAATATAAAAATTATACAAGTTATTTTGAATTACATTTGTATGAACCACGAACATGAATTAAGATATACTTTTATTAAGAATATCTTAATTTGTGGTATGTACATTTTTATTTGTTTGGGTTCAATTGTACTTAAAAAGGATTTTGATCAGATAATATGACAGCACACTAATCATGGGTATCATTATGTATGTATGTGTTTTATATATTTAATTAAAATACACACATACTTACATATTAAAACTATTATATAATAAAACACTAAATATATACATTAATACGTATATATGATACACAATTAAATTTAACTAAGCAAATACATATGGTGACTGAGAGTGTCCTCTATTAAGAGGTTTTACTGTATTGTATTAGTTAATATACTATTTATTTTTAAAAATATGAGTTTACAAATTGTCAACTATGTATAGAGATTCTAGAAATGCAGGGCACTTATTAATAGGATCAATAAGCTACATTTATATTTTTATCCAATTATTTTCCAAAGTTTTTTTCTACAAACCTACTACTTCTAACTTATCCAAATTTACCTGTACATGTACAATAAAATATTGTGTATTTATTAGTGTATTATTGATTGCATTTAATTTTATTCCCTATAATATAACAACATTTCATTTGTATACCTATATATTCAATTTTAGAAAAAATCAGATAGAAATAAAAAAAAGAAAGTGTATAATTTTTTATTTCCTAAGTAAAAATTGAAAATTATACTAACATTTACATTTAATAAAATACAGAGCCTTATGGGAAATTAAAATTTCAAAGCCCATTTCCCAACAATCACAAAATGTGACATTGGCCTTGTTTGCACTAAGCAACAGAAATATATTATTATACAATTTTTATGATTTTTATATTATTCAATATTATATTTTTAAATTATTATTGTTAGGTACCTATTAAAACCCATCTTAATTAATTGAATTTATTATATTTATATTTAATTTATTATTAAAAAATAGCTTTTCCCGAAGCAAAATGTTTTTGTATTGCTAATCTTTATTCCATTATCAAATTTACTCATTATTTTTTTTAAATTTTTGTTTGACAAATTATGTTTTTCAAAATATAGCTGTTATTTAACCCAAAATTGTTATTGGAAGTAATAATGATTACAGATTAAATTATTTTGTAATCCTAATCAATACTATGATTACATTATTATGTATTTGAATTATTTAAAATAATATTTCATTGTGATTAGCAACTACACATTTTAATTGTAATTTTTTTATCATTAATCGGATTACGATTTGCCCAACACTGACTATATGCTTCAATAAACCAATTTGACTTACCCATATAAATGGTAGAAAAATGAAAACAAATAAAATCCCAATTTTATCCAACCTTCACGTTTATACTTGTTTAATTTATCAGCATGCATAATAGTAGTAGGATCATAAAGACCAAAACCAGACATCAGAGGTCTATTTTGATACCTGTTAAAGTAATTAAAATAAACATATTATCAAAATAAAAACCAATTTCATATTTATTATATTCATACTTATTTGTTAATACACTTACTTTAAAATATGATAAGCCATTAATGGTACATTAATGGCAAAGGACAACCACTGGCTTCCAAAAAAAAATAGTAAATTGGATAAGAAATGTAATATATATTCTGGTATCACCAACTGAAATAAAAAAATGTATAATTATTAAGTAATAAAATTGTACATTTAACTTAAAAAATTATAAACAATATACATTTTACAGATATTAATTCAACTAACTAAAACAGTAGATCAATTTTTTTTGTATTTAAAAATTTGAAAGTATATAAAATAATAAAATTAAAATTATTGTTTATAAATCATTAATTCAGAGGTTTAACCAAGAGCTCACTATTTCACATGCACATGCTTTCATGTATTTCTGTGAAATTGACATTCCCAATTCTTAACATATAATAATCAAATTTATCAACTTCACATTAGCAGTAGGTACCTAAATTCCAGTTATCCCCTATTTATATTTGCACTATAGTACTTAGATAGTAGGTACAACATACCAACTGTTTAATATCTATGAATAAATGAATAATATCAAAACACATAAACATAGATATTAAATCCACATATATTAATAATACACAAATACAAATTTTTTATTTACATGTACATGGACTCCTTGTATTAATTCATCTTTAAAATTGAGACCTTCATGGTTTATCAGTTGCTATCAATTATTAGTTCATTGGACCACAGACTATTGACCATTTAGTAGCTGGCAGATTTTTTATATAAAGTGTAACTTTTGATTGAAGTCACAATATATATAATATATTTGCACAGTTATACAAATGTTGGTGTTTTTTTTTTTTTAGTAAGGTTATATCTAGTAAAACATATTTTTCCACACTAAGAATTTATTATTGTTTATTAGATATACACATACACACGATACAACTTTTTTTAATTAAATGCAAGCCCTCTTTTAAACATTTATTTTTTCATGAATTTAAATGCTCAAACAACTTTTTTAAGCCCAAAATTAGCTGAGATGAGATAATTTAAATTTTAAATATGACACCATTAATTAATGTTTATTTTATTGACAGTAAGTTTAAACTTTAAAATGTCTGGTATAGTACTATAAATGAAAGAGAATAATAAAATCTAATTTATTTACTTTCTCCTATAATAATTTTAGTAAGTATAGTGAAAAATAATATGAAATCACATATCAGATCAATTTTTTTTTTTTTTAAATGCCAAGGGACTTTATTATTTAAATAACCTGAAGGTCTTTATAAATATGTTTAACAAGATATATCTTACATACTAGATGTTAATATATATATACTTTAAATATAGATAAAGTCATACTTCCAATGAAGTAGCGCCTACCCTTAATTTAAATTCTTAAACTAAGTCATATGGTTTCAAATACTTAAGGTTATGATTACTATGAATGTAAGTTCTGATTTCCAAAATATTCTTCAGAACAAGGCAGTTACTCCGATATTCTGATGGTCAGTAAGTTTATGTCATTCAGCAAGGATGGATGAACTTTATGAATTTTATTTTCTTGAAAGTTTGTTAATAATTTATTGTTAAATATATAAATAAATTAATAAAAATTGAGTATTATATGTGTATTGTACAACAGGTTTTGAATTACAACAAGTTATTGGTGTTAAATGGTAGAAAAACAGAGCAGGTCAACTAATTATTTTCTAGAAGAGACCACAAAGGAGAGTTTAAAAATGTTGTATAATGTTATATGATAATTTTTGTCACTCATATCCTACAAACACCTGTTCACATACAAGAGACTGATCAATTTATCAGAATCTGGTTCATTAATCAAATTGGTCAAATTGATTAACCAAATCAAAAAAATCATTCTCATTGGAAAATAGGCATTTCTTTGTTTGGACAAATTTGTCAGAAAATGCATCCATTAATTAAAGCTTATTAAATCTTTTCTGAGATCAAAAATGAATAATTATGCTAAATTGTCTAAACATATAACAGTTCCCTTTTATTATTAATAACCTATTTAAACTTATTAATTTTTATACTTACTGGATTTAAGCTGTTGCATTGATCAATAGGATTTTTGTTATCATTCTTCAGTTCATCAAATGTAATAACCTTTAACAAAATATAAATACTTGTGGTTATTAAAATAAACAAATCTAAAAAAAAAAAAACCATACAACAAAATAATGTATATCCAGTTCAATACATTATTTTATTTTCAAGTATCCAACCTGTAAGTAATACAAATATTGTTAGTTTGAATGACAAACTAAATTGTAACTATAAACAAATCAACCTGGAATATTAAAAAAATAGCCTGTCCATTATATAAAGATGTGTGTTCAAATTTCCATCTTAGCAGGAATAAAACAGTTACATTACAGTCCATGAAACAATGATGTTTTTTTTTTGTAACTTAACACTAATGTTACTCCAAATGCATGAATGAACAAATAAATTGAAGTTTATTATCATTGTACAGACAAATTATTAAAGAAATAAAAAAAATTAAAAGTAATTATAAAGATATAAAATAATTTGTATGTATGCATAAATGTACTCAAATGTATACAATCAATTATCATAATATTGTCTGAAATGAATATTTGATAAATTATATTAGGTACCTATTTTAAATACTATGAAACTATATAAAAAAATTGAATCATAATTTCATACGGGCACTATAGTTATCAATTTTGGAAACAAAAAGTAATTATAATGAGGGATATCAGTTGAATTCTGGGAAAAAATATCAAATGATGAAAAACTAATTACATAAGATTTGTTCAAGTATCCACCCACCCAGAATTTATAAGTGATCCAATTTTGGAATTTTTAAATTAACATCTCTTTTTGACACAATTGTGACTAAGGCATTTGTCTACAAGTATTATGTATTATTTTCAAGATAAATGCTGATTATGTTTGTAAAAAAAATATAAATGATTCAATTTAAGAACCCTTTTAAAAATTTGAATTTAGATACCTATTGCAAATAATGTTGAAATATTGGAAAACTTCTTATGTAATATTTGTTTAAATATTTAATATTAAAAATGAAAAATTCCAAAAACAGATCACTTAAAAATTGTTTGGTCTTACATTCACAAATGTTATATGAAACATTTTTTAACATTTTGAAATTGTTTTCACATTACCCAAAGCTAGACTTTAACCACATTTATAAATAAAAGTTATAACATACCAACTATCAGTGGCTATTTTTTCAGACTTTCCATAGCGCACATACATATATTTGAGTTTGATATATGGGGCATTGACGAAAATTAAAGATTTCAACATCAAAATTTATTTTAACTATTTATACAATTTTTAATGTATACTGCTATTTAAAAATAAAGTGGGCAGTGGTTTTAACTCCAAAAATAATGCCACAATGTGAAATTTTTGTGGCTCATCTATAATAAAAACACAGATTGTAGGTGTATATTTTAATTTTCCGTAGTGTATACAGTAGAATCCGCTTAATTGGGACACATTGGGCGGTGACCTCTTTGTCCCGATTAACCGAATAACTATTAAATTGCACATAATATGTATATTATGTATAAAAAACCATCCCGAGTCACTCAGTAAAATAAACTAGTTTTGTCGGCATTATAAATGTCCTGAGGAGAAAATTTTTGAAGAATTTCCAGTAATTTAACTATAGACCATTCATCAGCTCCGTTTGTATCAGCACTTGATTTTTCTCCGTGAAATTGCTTGAATTTAATATTATTCCGGTCCTTCCAACGACTTATCCAACCTTCTGTGGCCTTAAAATTACCATGTCCAATTTTTTCAGCAAAAAATTCAGCTTTCTGCTGTAATATGGAACCCAAAATACAAACACCACGTTCTGTAACAGCAGAAAATCATTCGTTCATAGCTTTGTCTACTCCGGGATCTTTGCCTTCTCGCTTTCTTTTTCTGTTTACAGGTGCACTTTTGCTGTCGTTTAATTTTTCCCACTGTTCACGAACAGCTTTTTCATTATTTTTTAATCAACTTAGTACTGATTTAGAGGTGCCTATTATTTTCTCTAACTCACGGAGACTGGAAGAATGAGGTTGAGCTTTAATTTTATCCAGATTAGAAATTTTTGGAACGTTAAATTTTTACGAGACATAATTGTTACGTATTAACACAAACTGAGATCAATAAAAACACACATACGTTAATACGCAGAGATGAAAGAATGCGAACTAAAGTTTTTAAATTGATTACCTATATAATAGAGCTATAAAGATTAATACGCAGAGATGAAGGAACGCAATTTTGTATGTAGGCTAGTCGACTCTTACCGTGGTAGTAGATGAAAAATAAATGATTACCTAAATAATAGAGCTATTTATAAGATAAATGATTGACATAATTGACATTACCTATATAATAGAACTGTAAAGATTAGATAATTACTGTTTCGATAAGAAGTAGATAGATAATTTAGGTCAGAATATCTAATTAGACGCTTTTATTTTTGTCCCTTATAACCGATGGTTTGTCCCAGATAAACGAAGTTAAATTGCCTTAAACGAATACATTCGTTCGGGACTATGCCAATTCGTCCCCATTAAACGGTTGTCCCCTTTATGCAGTGTTTTAATTAAGCGGATTTTACAGTATTTGGAATTTTGTAGTGCACAAAGTGTGATATTGTGCACACAAAAACAACCACTTCCAAATATGGATTATAGTAACATTAATTAAATAATAATACCTAATTTAAAAAAAAATTAAACAATTTTCACCTCCAAAAACAATAATTATAGTCTTAATTCTAAAATGAAATTATATTAATCATTCCTACATTTCAAATAATATAAAAATGATATAGATACTCACATGAAATACTGTAAAAAACAATAAAAAGGCATCAGTTATCATGGCGACGATGTAAGTACAAGCCGGGAAATTGAAAGCCATGATTTGCTAGTTTATTTTTGATTTGATACTCAAGTATAAGAGTAAAGTTAGTAGGAAATTTTCACAACAGTGATATGGTCAGACTTGTGTACTACATATATAAGTTATAGTTGATATAGTAATAGTGTATCCAAACTATAGATTCAGAATAGGTACACCTATACCTAAAATAATAATATGGTAATATTAGTTGTTTATAATTTTAATTATTTATTACACTTACAATGAATATTCGACTAATATAACATTATGTAGGTACCCGGTTTTTAAATAAGGAGGTATTGGTACACAATAATTGAATGAAACACAAAACTCGATCGCACTACTCTAAATCACCGGACGAACAATATATCCTTGTGGATTTAACGAAATAAAAATCTACAAATATAGGTAGTTACACACCAAAAAACTGGAAGTACAAACTAGTAACTATGACGAACGACCGACTGTAGAAAAATGTTGTAAAATAATACGCCGGTGCACGTTTCACTATCAATGTGAAACACGATAATGCGACCAACCACCGACTGTAAGATAACGATGCGTACAGACAAATTTTAAGGGGTTATGAATAGGCAATTTAAATGCAAAATATTTTGAAGAAATAAAAATATAGTCTATGAAAAAAATGAATTTCTATTTTTCTTTTGATAACAATTCAGGTTTACTTTCAAGTAATCCCCACTTTTCAGTGTGTTATAAGCACAACTTACAAGTACTTGTTGCTTAGTATTCATGTAGTTTGTTCGAAACCACGTCAAAACAAAACAAAAAATAAAAATAGGTAGATCCTTTATCAAGTTATGATAATATAATACAAAAATGCATTTTCTGATGTTGTAAGGGGGAAGAGTCGATGGCAGGGAGTGCATAAAAAATTGAAAAGAAATCAGCTGAACAATATTTAACCGAAAAATAAATCAATCCGTATTCAAGCAGAAAAATATATAAGCAGATAGAATTTTATCCAAAAATATGACAGTCGACTGTAATAAAAAACTAGGTAAGGCCAGATTTTCCAAAAAACGATAACGCAAGATAAAAATACTTAAAAAAAATTTCGGAGCATGACCAGAACCTAGGGAAATTCAAAGTGCAGACTAAGTCTAAGCAAAAGTAAATGCAAATTTTCACAACGTTCTATTACCCTTCTGAGTCATTTAATATAAAATAAGAGTATAAGTCCAGATCTTGAGAGACTGAAACTATTGTTGGATTTATCTCCACCAAGAGATGCATTGTTACTGAAGAGAGTATTAGGCAAGTTTTCACATTATTCAAAATGGGTACAGGGGTTATCCAATAAAATTCATAGCCTAATTGTATGTAAATCCTTCCCAATACTTCCATCAACTGTGGCTGATTTTGAAAACTTTTAACTGGATATTTCCAAATCTGTCATACAGACTATTGATAACTATCAATATTTAGTTGTTGAAAGTTGTAGTCAAATTATGTCCTGGCTGCTACATTAAGTCAAAATTGTAGGCCAATAACATTCTTTTAAAGGACTTTGAGTGAATGTGAGAAGAAGCATTCATCAGTGGAAAAGAAGCCAATGCGATTATGGAAGCAGTCAGGAAATGGAGACATTTTCTTATTGTTAAGTATTTCAAGTAAAATTAAAAATGACAAAATAAAAAGGTGGCAATTAGAACTCTTATACTATAGTTATGATATAATTTACAGTCCTGGTAAAAATAATATTGTAGCTGATACTTTTTCTAGAGTATGCGGTGCCACAACTGGTAGTGATAATCTCAATAAGCTATGTAACTTACACAAATTGTTCTAACACCCGGGCATTACACAAATGTTCCATTGGATTAAAAGTAAACAAAGGCTGTCCAGTATGTGCAGAATTGAAACCAAGAGCATACTTTAGTCATTTATAAATGATTATAAAAAATATTTGTCATTATCCATTTATATTTGAAACAAAGAATGTTCAAGTTATCTATAGTTTTTATTTCGATTTATCCAGGTTGCACTGTATTTATAACACTTTTAATGGGTCTAAGACAGGTGAAAATTATTGTTAAGTTATAAATTTGTCAAAGGAGAGGGTTATATTTAGTTTAAAAATAATATAAAATATAAGAATTATAGAACAAGGCTCTAGTAATTATTCCAAAATAAAAAAAAATTTTAAATCTTTAACAGAAAAATATATTACATTTATCTGTGGGACACCCAGAATATAAATATAATTCAAATTTATCTACATGTTGATTTTTTATATTCCAAAAATATTTTATGTAATATTGATAGAATAATTTTAGTAGATATTGTTTAATTAAAATAGTAATTCTTAATGCATTAAGAATGTGATGTTATGGCATTGCGTGGTTTGTCCATTTGCGTCAATACTTGATCGAGCCATTGTAGAGGTCCATTTAAATGTATCTCAATCCAACATGGAGTACTGGTAACATCCTGGCGATGATAATCCGCTCCCCATCCCTTCACAAATGATATACGTATAGCACACATTTTGGTCAACTCAAAAACAGCCTCGAACCCATTGTTCACTGTTTGTATCAGTGTATTAGCAAAATCTTGATAGTTAAATATACACAATGAAAAATTTGGTGATATTTTACAAACAGTGGATGGTTGAAAACCATGGCTTATATTACAGTTGTATGATTGAACAAATATAGAATATTTTGATAAACATTCAACAAAAACTGCACTGCCATTATAATTTAGTTGAATACCTAAAAAAAATAAAATAAAATTGATTTATTTCAACTAGTTTTATGTTGTTAAATTTTTTACTGTACCTTTGCTAATATGTAGCCGTGTATGTTCAATGGTTGTGTTACGATTTAAATTAGTTAACTGGCCAAGACTAAATCGATCTAAATCATTACCAGGATTAGTAAAACCATCAATAATCACTTGATTGGAGCGACACTGAAATACTTCACCAACTCTACAGTTTAGTTCATAATAAACAATACTAGCCCAACTAGGTGGTTCCTGAAAAATAAATTAACTATAGGAAATATACATTTATGTATATGAAATAGCACATCATTATTTTCTAGACTATTGATAAAAAAGTATTTATGTTTCACCAAACCAATTAAAAAACATATTTAGATTATTTAGTTAATTATAATATTTGAATAAGGGTGATACTGGGGACGAGTGTGGACACTGTTGTAGGTGGGTAGTAGGAAGGTAGAATATACAAAGTTATTTAAATTATATTTGTAACCAAGGATAAACCATTGATAACGAAAAAGGATTTGGAGTAAAGTTCAATAAAACATATCTTTAAAACTCTTAGAAAAATACTACATTAAACTAAATTATTTTTTTTGACCACTAAGTAAGACTTATAATGAACTTCCTATCAAATTTTCAAGCATTTCTATTAAGTCTAACAATTTATCTGCACAGTATCTATCAAATAAAAATCACATAGAAAAACTCTCAAAATTAAAATGTCTATAAATAATTAAAAAATGACTCAAATGTTCTGAAAGTTTTACCACGTCTAGAAAAAGTAAGTCTCTACAAATATTTTAATCTAAATTATAATGAAAAACAAAATTTAAAATAATAGAAGAATTATTTTCTTAAATGTTCTCATAATTTCTATGTATTTTTTCGGTTTTGGTTAATTATTAAAACAAATTATAAAGAAAATCAAAAACCGAATAACTTACTCATGATCTAGATTAAAAATTCAACAAAAATAGTCCCTTGTAGCAATATTTATGGTAAAAAACAAGCTGTATAAATTTAAAATAGGCAATGAAATTATTGTTCTGTAATTTAAAAACAAAATAGTATATTTCGGTTTGTTTTTTGGTTTTTCCAAATTATTAAGAAAAACTACTTTTAAAATCAAAAAATAATCTCCTCAATGCACCAACTAGAGAAAATTACCTTTCAGAAAAAGTGTAACAGTGCCAGCACTCTATACTTTGGAGCAAGTTTTCTGTTAGAAAGAAAAAATAAAATAAAAAACACACATCATAGTAAAACCAATAAATTAATTTCTTCCTATGTTGAATTTAAAAAAACACTAAAATCATATTTAAAAATAAATTACTTGATATATTACTGGGATGCTGTTTGTATTTCCTATGTTGATATCTACTTCCATACTTCTAACTCTCATTGGATCATCTGACAAAGGAAATATTGGATTTACTGAAATGTTTATAGTTTATATCCAAATATATTATTATCAGCATACTGATTGTAGTGTAGTTTATACAGTAAAGGATATTATATTATAAATACCTATTGAAGACATTGATGGAGATAATAATACATTGTTTGGCATATTAACACAAGCCATTGGAGGTTGAACAAATTGTTGCATTGTTGGTGATGGTTCTATTTCAAGTTGACGAGGAACCAGGACTGGTGGTAAAACTATATATATAACATATACAAATTTAATATAACTAAAAAATAAACTGACATAGAAATAATAATTATAATATTTATAACAGGGGAAGATTTTGGTTCAATTTGCCCAACTTCACACTGGATAAAACAAGAAAAAGTACTTCAGACTTTGCTCAATGGAGATGGGCACAACTTAAAATGCTTGGGCAATCCTACTATTGTCCAGTCACAAGGCTTTGCTCATAATATTAACATAAAATATATAAAAAATATACTATTATTAATATGCCCATCTTAAACACAAAAGACCAATTTATAACAATAATATGTTAACTATGTGTAAAACTCTACTACCAGTTTATCTCACCAGGAGTTTCTACTCTTCGATAATGATAAGGATTAATGCAAACTTCTTTTTGTTTAGATGAGAATGGAAATTTACATCCATCAACTGATTTAAGTTCATGATGTGACTGAAGATCTGGCCATCGCCAGACTCTACAATATATAACATGGGGCATAGATTTTCTGTAAGATACCTAAAAACACAAACTCATTAATAAAATAATAACCAATGGCAATTTTACTCATATTAATTTGATGTTACTTGTAATCGGCCATCCTGATTGTTTGGTATAGTTACACAATTACTTGGTTCTCCAGGTGAATTTAAAGCATTTTGTAGTTCTTCAAATGCCCCTTTATTTTTTTTTAATTTTTTCTTTAGTGTTTTTATAGCCTTTTCATCCCACAGTTCTTCTTCATCTGGTTTTTTCCATCCAAATATTCTCTTTGTTTGATTTGAAAATAACAGTACATTATTCAAAATACCTTTAGCTGAAGTACTCATCTTTTCAACCATTATTAGGTACCATATATTCTGAAAATCAAATATACATTATAATACATGATATCATTACAAATAATAATAAAGTAATTAATACAAATTATACTATTTACAATTAATATATAGGGAATCAGTAAATAAATTTAAAATGAAATACTCTCTTTAAACTACTGAAATATATTTTTCTTAATTTAGGTTGCCTATTATAGATTAATATGTTACCTCAGGAAAACTAAACAACTTTATAATTCTAGCTAAATGTCTATTTTTTTTAAGAACTTAATCTTTATGCAAATTTTTTTGTAAAAAACAATCTTTACTACCAATATTAAATTCATTTTTTATTTTGTTTTATAAAATGTTAAACCATAAATATAAACTAAGAACCATTAAGAATCTGAAAACATAATCTAAGTTATCATGAGGATATCCTGAATAAAAATTCTATTAATATAAAAAAAAAAAAAAAAAAAAAGAGCACTAAGCTGTCGTAAAAAACTGGTCTATTTCAAAAAACAAAATTTTAAGTCCATTTTAAGTCAACATTTTAAATATTGTAAACATGAATAAAAGATATTCAAATATAATGATTGGTAAATTCAAGCATATAATTTTAATTAATCATTAAATAATTTTATAAAAATGAGTTAATATATGTCAACGTGTTTGAGATTTGTTTATGATTTTAAATTGTATAATTGATCATATGCACATCTTAAAAAAGATTACAAAAATTTCTTATTTATATATGTTTTATTGCAAATTATTATACACAAATATTGATAACTCAGATGTAAAATAAACACCTAATCATTGAGCTTTTCAAAAAAAAGAAACAATAATATATTTAAGAAATTTAAATGTTTTTAATTTAAAAGAAAAATTTTAATTAAAAGTACTTAAAAGTCAAAATGTTAGTTTTCTATTTTAGAAATATCAATGGTAATATATTATTTATATCTATCATAAATAATTATCTTACAACTAATTTTACCTATATGTGTTTTTTAATTTTTCATAAAATTATACTTTTAATTGTTATATTATATGAATGCAAGTGATTAGTTAATTAGTAGATTTACAATTTATACAAAATAATAAGTATATTATATTTTCAACAATCATTTTATTATCAGTATTATCATTGTATATCAGTTTATTAACTAAAATTTAAGTACCTAGTTAGTAATCATTTTTTTGAACATACTCTTTTGCGATATTGTTTTATTATGAGATAGTTGAAGATTAGACTTATTAATAAAAATATCCAATTTAAAGTTGGTGCATTTTTATAGCAATAATGTAGTATACAGAGTGTCCCATAAAGATGTACATATTGCAATATATCCTGTGATATTAAAGATGATCAAATTCTGTTTTTTTTATTTTTTTAATATTACTTACAGGGATAAGGACTATAAATATTTATATTCAAATTAAATTTTTATGTTGTGATTAAAAAATATTTATTTATTTCATTATTTTTGAAAAATTTGTAGATAGCCATTTTATATAGTTTATTTTTCTGAAAATTTGGATATTTCAAATTTTCGTTTATATTAAATTCTTGATTTTTTATAATTTTTAATATAATTTATGTTCTATTAATTATTATTTTAATTTCCTAATTAGGGTATAATCACATTTGTTAGATGACTTTTATTATTATGGGTAATCCTATAATAATGAATCCTTTTTTCTCTGAACTTTAAAAAATTATAAAATCACGTAGTTAATAAAAACAAAAAGTTAAAATGTCCACAAGTATATGGATATCTTCAATTTTGTTGAAAACAATAATACATTTTTTTATTTTATTTTTTTACCAAAACATAAATTTTCAAATTTAATTATAAATATTTGTAGTTCTTGTCCCTATGAGTAATAATTTTAAAAAAAAACCGAATTTGATTTGATATTGGTATGGTATGGAATGGATATATATTTATGGAATACTCTGTATTATCTATTTGTAGAAATAATAACAATAATAATAATAATAATTGTAGAAAATAGTTGATTCTACCTAGTGAACTTTATAATCAATTATTATTGATTATGAAGTTATATATTATGTTTGTGTAAGAACTAAGATACATTATAAATTAAAAATTATAAAATAACATACAAATTCGAATAATGTGCTCGTCTATTTTTCAGATTTCAGATAAGTAGGTATGAATACTACTTTGTGGTTATGTCTACTTACTGTGGTATAGCGTATTGTATGTCAAACTACTATTTACTTTATATAGGGATACAAAACAATATATTATTAGCTATACCTCTATTTAACCGCGTTAGCATTCAACACAGTAAATCGGTATCGTTGTGAGCTGAACGGACTGCAGATTGTACAAGGTCGTCTCGTTGTACGGGGCTTTAGATAATTAGGTACATACAACACATTAGAAGAACGGATACGAATTTTTTTTAAAAAAAATGGACAAAACACGAATTGTTCAACTTGCAAAGTGTAAATTCAGAATTGGGAACGTGATAAACATAATAATAGGTAGGTATGTTATCACTGACAATAAAAAAAAACTGGTTAAGAACATTGGACATAAGAATAAGTTGGTTATTCAAGGGACAATAAACAGTTTTGATATTATATTATGATCCATAATATTTCTTGTGATCTATTGTATTCGCACTATTATTGGTAAGTGGGAGAAAAACGGACAGGTGTTGCTATAGATCGCAGGTGTCACCGGATCACTCGGCGGGTGGTAGATATACAGGCGGGTATACAGATAATGGAGTGGTGAAACCACACAGCAAAGTAACAAGATTGTCAAGATTACACGAAGCTGACTCGACAGTGTATTTCACCAAGAGGCGAAATAAATTGTACACAAGTGCTGCCCTGTTAGGAGAGATTAGAGGGAAGAGAAACGACCAACGTAGACCTGATAATATTTGTTTATAGGTCTATGACGACCACGCATACAACCTTAGATCATATTATACTAATAAACGACTATACAATTTTAAGGTTATACTTGTATATAATAATTTCATTGACAGCCTAGTCAGATTTTAAAATTGTTAAGATAATACAGCCTTATTAAAATGTTAGGGTTTTTTTGTTCTAAAATCGTACAAACAAAGTTTTACTCGGATCATATAAAATATTTCTGTTGAGCTTAAATTATAAAATATAGGTCATAAATTAATTTTTTTAAATAAAATCCCTACCTCACAAACCTATGTTGCTTAGTAGAATTGTACATACTATTTTTAATATTTGTTATTTTTTTACATAATATGTTAATATCATACTGGTATTTTGAAGTTTAAAATATTAATATTTATATAATTCGTTAATATTTTTATAAATTACTTGTTTATAATAACAAACATAAAAACCAATACATCCCTCACTCTACTCAGAATCTAAAAACTGTGTACTTAGCCCCCTCAAATATTTCAATAGATCCCCAAAATCAAAACTTTATTGGGAATGTTATTATTACTGTTATTTGTTTTAATAATTATCTGTATATATTTTTGAAAATTGTAAAATAATATTTAACCAAAAAAAGGACGCAAATAAAATATTATTAAAAATCATAGACAATGACCATTTGTTTATTTAGGAACCAATCAAATCCAGCGTCACCAGCGGCAACCGAATTCATTGAATTTTCGAATATGCGGTCACGTGGATATCTGATAGACGTCTTGTTATCGGTATGGTGGACGGCGGCTAGTGTGGTCATAACCGATGTGACGATAAAAACGGTTACTCACATGCCACGCTGACAGCGACATTGTGATAATAATAATAATTAGTTAATAACACGATTTAAGATATCTAAAATTATGGTTGATAATAAATAATTTTTTTTTCAACGTTTTTGTGGTTAAGGCGGTTAAGTGTTGAATACAACTAATAAAAGTTCAAGATATTGAATTGCTATGTTCATTGTTCGGTTGAGACTTTAAGTGTATTGTTTTTTGAACATGGCAAATTTATTTAGTATTTTAAATGTGAAAAGAGATTTTAAAAAAAGACAAACAAAAAATGAAAACAATATCTTGATCACAATGACGACTTAGATGACTTAGAAAAAGTTAATAACGAAATCAGTGATCTAGGAAACATATTAAGTGGACCAGTGTGTCCAATTTTGAAGGTAAATGTTGCTATTTGTTACCTATGAAACATTAAAATCAATAGATTTTAAATTTAAAAGTAATATATGCTTAAGTCTACATGCCATCTACATGTTATTTAATTTTTAACAAAATATATTTAATATTGTTACGGACGTCACTTCATTCCTCAACAATATATTATATTACATAGTATAAGTAAGGGCCTGTAGTACAATAATTGGTAATTTATACCTCCGGCCATAATAATTTAGACTAGAATATTATACCAAAAAATCACACATGTGCACCGTACATTTGCATATTTGGAATATTAATATAACTGTATGTAATTTATTATAAATATTTGCTTTATCCTTAATTGTTTCTATTATAGCTAAGTGGTTCAAGGGGTGTTATGGTAAATAAATTAAGTAAACTCATCCACTTGCATGGTTAAATGAAATTCACATAAAAAAAATTAAAAATTATTGGAAGTGTTCCGACTCAAATATTTTCTCAGCACAGTAAGCTTTTAGCAATGAAAAGGAATTATATGCGAATGTTGATTGATATATCATTATTATTAACCCGCCAAGAAATTAGTTTTTATGGTCATGATGAAACAGCTAGTTCTTTAAATCAAAGTGCATAATACAATACAATATTTTAATTTATTACACTATAGTAGTATTTTATTTTTTATAATAAAACTACCATGCTATTTAATATGTGTAATGTGTAAACTGTATGAAATTAAAAACTTTATAAAATGTAGGAAATTTTAAAGAAATGGCAAAACATAATCCTGACTTTGTTGCAAAATATTGTGAAAAAACTAATTATTGAAGTCAAATAATTCAGGATGAAATTATTGTGATCTGTTCAAAACATATTAAAGATGCTATTATTATTCAAGAAATTAAGTATGCTGGTTTATTTAATATACTGTGTGACGAAGCAAGATACATTTTAATTTATAATTAAACTACTATTTTTTTTTTTTTTTTTTATATTATTAACAATTTTATCTTACATTATATATTTTTTCTTTCTGGTTATAATTATATAGATGTTTCAAACAAGAACAGATGTCTTTATGTGTGAGATATTGTAGATACAGTAAAACTTTCATTAACGGTACACCTTTGTGTAACGGTAATTTTTTTGGTCCCTTCAAGTGTTATGTCTCTATAGAAAACTTCTAAAGGGCGGTCACCTTTAAATAAGGGTCATTATTTTCGGTCCCTTCGGTGACTGTTATATGGAAGTTTTACTGGAATTAGTGTTGGCGTTTGGAATGAGGAAAATGTTATGAAATGGAGATATTCGCAAATGGACTTTGAAATTGATTTGGGATAGCAAATATGGAAAATCAATTTGGTTAGTTATTAATCCACGAATAAATTTTAAGTTTAAAATTCTTCTATGTTCAGCAAGTGTCAGCAGATCAACTAAATTTTATGATATTAGCATAGACGTAAATAGGAGGGCTTAAGAGGGTTTAGCCCTCCCTGAGCCATCTGAAACCCTTCCTAAGATATTTTAATGTATAAGTAATCTTTATTATAATAAATTATATAATTTATAATTAACGATATTAGCTAGTTATACATATAGTAATAGCATTAATAATATGTAGGTAGGTTTTCATGAATTTTCGTTTTAACGATCCAATTAGTGATTGGCCAAACTGACTAGTTTTAATTATCAATAGTTTAAAAAACAACCTAGTATTTTTCGACTGAATAGATATTATTAATAGAATAAACTAGTCCGATAGTTTCATAGTATAGTCGACAGTAGCATACGTAGGGAGACTAAAGGGCTGAAACCCTCCCATTGATCGTATATATATATATATTTGTTTATATTTTTCAAGTTTCAAATGTAACAATAGTAAATAAGGACTTTTTTTCATAAAATACGCTGTTTACATAAGTAAATAATTAAATTTAACACCACTGTCTATTAATAACCTTACTATACTACTATATTATCGTCAAATAAGATTTTATTAAATTTATAAGATTATTTTGTATTATTTATTTTAACTACGGTCATACTCGTTATAAAGTATAAACAATGGTTTTGTTATTATTACAACTTGTGTGGTTGGTGTTACTATGCATCGCGGGCTTCCACACAATCTCAGATAATTAGATTAGATTGATTACAAATTACAATCCTGAACTTACTGAACTGATGTTAACAATAACAATAAACGCATCGTTAAGTTGTTGTACGGATGTTGTAGATAATAACAATATAACCATTAATTAGTGAAAAACAGTAAGGTAGATAATGCAGATAATTTTGTTTTTACTTATTTCTCTTGAGTATTAAAGTAATAATATTTTGTATAGGTTTTTCGTTTTTCGTATAAAACGTATCTCATAGTTTTGCACACTAAAATAACTATTTTATTATTATGGGAAAAAAAATTGAATTTTTTCGACTTAGAAAAAAAAAAACGGTAGGTAAGTATACAATCTACAATTCATAAAATTCTAATTTTGTTCGACTTCTGGCTTTTTTAATCCTCTACTAGTTTAAAAATTGTATTTTATTGCCCAATATATTAATAGTCACCTAAATATTACTTTTTAGATTCTGAGTTTAGCGAAGAATGTTTTTGTTTTACAAAGATGTTTAATTTTTTTTTTTTTAATGTGAACACTTTTACAACCAGAAATCTTACTCAGATTATCAAATATAAGAACTTTTCTGAAAGGAAATGTTTTCTGGGTGGTACTTTAGAGAGGTCATTTTTTTGAAATTCTCATTAATATTAGAGATAATGAGGAAATATTGGTTCTTTAAATTCGACAAGATTGATAGATAAAAATAAGGTTGTCATTGGCAACCGTCTTTATTTGCTTTTTGTTTATTATTAAGTTTTAATTGTTTTAATTATTTTTAAACAATCGTTGTCATATTGTAATCATTTTAACATAATATGACCATATGAATTGTTGACAAAGCAGCACTATCAACTGAATTCCGCTTAAAATCGTTTTTTTCGGTAGCAATGGTTTATCGTTGCTTAAAGATATACATTAAATTTCCATTTAAATTCTACCTTCCTAACTTCCCACCTACAATAATGGCCACGTGCGAAGTATGTCTATCATTTTTTTAAAATATTTTTATGTCCCTCTATTTTATGTTTATTATCGGTCAGAAGTAAGAATGTACCTAATTTATTTTTCAAACTTGTGACAAACCTACTGATTAGTTATCAATTTTCAAGCCCCCTACCCCCCGAATGAAAAATTCTGCGTATGCCATTAATAGGCGATAGTTTCGATAGTCAATGGTTTTTAGAAACAACCGAGTAAATTGATAGTTTAAAAATATGGAGTAATTTGACAGTTTTCACTGAGTAGTGGCCATCACTAGTTCGAATATTCCATAAACTATGATTAGTTGTTGGCCTATTATATAACGGCTTACCGCCCAAATGGATAGTCGTGCAGCTATGCGGGAGCTGGGTACAATTACGTCGCATCGTCGGAATATATAAATATTACTCATAATTTATTATGTATGAAATATATGTATATAATACATCAAAGTTTTGATATTAGTATTTTTGGATCTATAAATAGATTTTCCATTATTATTATTTAGATAGGCGGTTCTTTTGGGCTCTAGCCCTATGTATTTAGGGACTCTATTTACGTCCATGGATTAATATTCATTATAATTGTAAGGTAAATGGGAGATGCTTAACACAAAACTTAAGTTTTATACAAGTTGACTGGTGTCAGAAATAGTGCAAAGATCCCATATTACAGATCTGTATTCTAAAATAGGAAGAACTAAAGCACAATATAAAGATCTTATCAATTATACTAATTTAAAATTCTTAAGGCAAAACTATTAATCTTAAAGCTTTAAATGATCTACAAGAAATCATTGTAATGTGTGGACCAGGACTAAGAGTTTTATTAAGTCTAAAACCGAGATCACCATTCAACATGTGCAATTTTCGTACCTGAGATATGATAGTCATAAGGAATAGGAGTATGAGTTCGGATAAACATCATGCCAGAAACATGATAGAAATATTTAAATTTATGAAATAATATTATAACAAAGTACATATGCATCAAAATTTAAATTCGAATACATAGTTGTTATCGAACAACTCGATGAGATGTTGACAATTGAAGAGACCTGCGTACTGATGATATCAATTATTTATCTATAATCTATATATATATATATGAAATCATCAATAATACTTATTCGATTACAATTTATCAGAAGTATAATATTGGATACCAAACATATATCAATATATTTGATGTTGTGACACGAAATTAATATTTTATAAATTATTTATTCAGTTACGGGCTTCGTATTTGACATGTCTGTCTTAAGGGAACGATGCGACGCGGCGTTCGGGGTAGCATCACTATACAACCATGATCTAAAAAAAGTAGAAACGAAATTGATAGGTAATTTTTATTTTTATTTATATTTTTTTCATTGGCTTAAAAAAATCACATAGATTTTAAATGACTACATAATAATAATAATATGTATATTGTCAAGTTACTTCGCGTAGTGTTTTAAATATTTTTTTTTGATTTAAAGAAATTATTACTATAATATCATTTGTGTCCATAAAGTAATGAGTACTTAATGAGTGGTGAATAAAAAAAATAAAATGTCCACTCGATTATCCGATGAACAAATACAGGAAGAAGCGGGTGGACTGTCTACCTATCTGGCAGAGAGCGATACAGATAATATAATTGAAGAACAGAGTATGGTAGAAGTAAGTAGTTTTATTTTTATTTTATAGATTATTAAAATATTTCATTTTAGACAAAATACCTATTTTGATGTGAAATATAATTTGTTTTAAAATTAATTATATTAATCTTTACTTTTATTTTTTTCTTAAATAACATTATTGGCATTAGAATAGAGATTTATCAGAAGAACAAATAAAAGGAAAACCAGAAATAAATAAAAGTCTCAGTATTATATTATCTATCCATCAGGAAGAGATAGAAATTGACGAACAAAATATACCAGAAGTGGGTTCTAATTTTAGATATAATAAAATAGTGAAATATATTTCATCAATTTTATAGATACTAATATTATACATCTATCTAATTTTTACTCATTTTTATTTGTTACTTTTTTAATATTATCAGCAAGAGCAACAAGATAAAAATGGATCTGCTAGTGTTATTTCTACCCACCTAGCAGAGAGCGATATAGAAAATATGGAAGATGAAAATATTTCAGGAGTAATATTATCTATTTTAATATTAAGCAAAACTAGAATATTATACCTATTTAAAAAACTCATTTAATATATTGAACCTAGATTAAATAATAATAATGTTATATTTAAACCTTCCTGATTTTTCTTCTTTTATTTACTGAAACATTTAGCAAAAGATATCGTTAAATTATGATCGAACACAAAACGAAGCACTTAAAGGAAGCATTTTATCATTCCACCCGGAATTGTCCAATGAAGCCGAAGACGAAGAAAATTTAATTGAAGTAATTAGAGAAATAAATTTAAAACAAAATACTCTAATAAATATATATTAGATGAAAATTATATATACCTACCTTATCTATAACATGTAAGGATTAAATTTGAACATTTCAAAGTCTGATAAAATTTGGCAATTATTAGAACATACGTTACCTATTTTTTTTTTTTTTTAACAAATTTCGAACTATAATGTTAAAACGTATTCTGTTTACAAATTTGACCTAGGTAGATAAGTAGTTTTCAGTACTTATCTTGTACCTAATTACAATTTTGTCAGTAAGTAATGGTGAATTTGAAGAATAGAGAGGTATTCTCTTACTTATAAAAACAAAATCAATTATTTTTATTAGATAGGTTTAGGTAACAATTCATGCCTCTAGTTGCAAATTGTTTTTTCACGAAGAAACACACCTATGTTATGTTTATTACTGATCTAGGATATAATAAATAATTTAATAGAATACGTTATTTCCAAAATAAGATTAAATAAGACTAAAAAAAGATGGACATGCTTCGCACGGTGGGTGTGCCACTGTTAAAGGTGAGAAGTTGGGAGGGTAGGATATTTGAAGAACAAAACTTACAGGTAGTGCTGCTTTTACTATGAGTTTTCCTCATTAGACCGATGTGGAACCTGATATTTTGATAATACACTTATTATGATGTAACAAAAGAACGAAATAGGTAGTTTTTAGATTCTGAGTGTAGCGAACAATGTATTGATTTTACAAAGATGTTTTTTTTTTTTTTCTATGCTGTGTACAAAACAGTCAACAATTTGACAAAATGATGGTAATTTCAGCTATAATTGCCAGCAATTAATAATCGGGGAAATTTTTTGTCAACTTAATGATTATACTGTTGTTGATAAAAATGATAGCAGCACTTATTTCAAGAGTAAAGTTGTGTTTTGGCGATTAAGTAAAAAATTACGGCACTTCAAATTATATATTACCGAACTGCGCTCGGAATTGTCTTTCGTCAGCAATGGTTTATCGTTGCTTACAGATATACATTAAATAGTCTTATGCATCTTACCTTCCCAACTTCTCACCTACAATAGTGGCCGCTCCCATCCCCAGTATCACCTCTTTTGTAATTATAACTTTTCGAAAGTCATTATGGAAGAAATTATGAGAACACACTTGAAGGTGAATTTTTTTAATGTATCTTTTCCCATTCTCAGATTAATTGCCTATATCTGTTATCCATCTTCTAAGTCTTCTTTTACACATTTTTAATTCATATAACTTGTATCTCATTTTTCTTCGTAATACATGAATCTAATATTTGTTTTGATAGAGTAGAATGTTTTACATTCAAAAACCTCACAAAAAATTCTGCCTGTTCTTGAAACTGCCATACATAATTTATATAAGTATACAGTATACTCAGGTACCTTAATAGAATAGTTTAAAATGTGTCATCGTTACATTTATTATAAATGTTATAAATGATTTATAACATGTATACAAGTACTTATATAATAGGTAGTTATATTATTAAATTTGAAAGGTAAGATATATAAATAATTTACCTTAAGAGCAATCAATTAAACAATAACCCACCAGTTCAAATACCAACAAAATGTGCAAATTTAATTCAATACTTTGTATTTAATAACCAAACAAATTTAAGTTACATACAAATTTCATTAAAAAAAAATTGTTTTACGTTTATCCACATGTATTCCGTGCTTATCAGTTCTACATAGGCTAGTAATATTTTTATCCACCAGACCAAGTATTTTAAATTTATGTCAGGTGTTATTTTATTAATCCATAATTTAAATGACGTTTTCTTATCTTATCCTGAGTTACCTGTAAACAAAAGTGTTGATATTTTCTAACTAAAATCGTTTAAATACATTTTTGTTGTTCTAGCTGTCTCTACGATAATTCGTATTACCATTTTGCTGAGGTGTGTGTGCATACAGGGGTGTCATTTAAATTATTTTATTGTTGGTGGCAAAATTGTTGCAGGTCATTTCAAATCATTACTAGGCTACATTATGGGTACCTTTTTTTTTGGAGGGGGGAGAGACGGTCAAGTGGAAACTACCCTTTCTGTCTTCTTTTATTTTGCTTTCTCTGCTAGTTATATGGGATCGGCCACCATTTTCATACACCTCCATAGTGTTCTTAAATACTAACTCAATATTTGATATTATAAAACACTTAGGTATATATTATTTTTAGCAGACCAGAGAAGTCGTTTAAAAACAGTTGATGTAAATACACACTATGCACCTCCCCCCAAATGACGCACCTGTATGTATAGAATTACACATCTAGATAGAACATTCAACCTGAGGATCGGAAGGCATGGTCGGACCAATTGGATCAAAAGAAATATGCTGATATAAAGTCTAGTGTGAGTGAGAGTAAATTTGCACTCAGAAGACAGCCAATTAAAACGCTCAGTTTATTATCTCTCGTGTTTCTGTCCTCGAAATTAAACTCCCTCCATCGGAATGCGTTTTATGCTGAATGTTCCGTCTAGTTGTATAAATCTCTATGTGTATGGTACACTAGTCTTATGTTTTATACCATATTTATCCAAAATATCTTTGACTTCAGTATTCTTATATTTCAGAACATAGTTACTTCTTAGCGGAATTAAAGAAATATTTTTTACCATATACAAAAATAATTAAAATTTTTCTTTCCCTTTAGATTTTTTGCTAATGAAATACACATACGTGCACTTAGAATAGTTATCCTTAAATATGACAAAATAACGTTTTTCTCCAGTTGATTTATCTTCCATAGGTCTACACACATCAATGTCGATTATTTGATCAGGTTTTGTTGTATTGATACTGCTCAGTGTAAATGGCCCCTGTGTTGTTTACCATAAATGCAATCCTTGCAAAAAATTTTCATGTACTTCAAATACTTTCACACACATTGGACATTCTGATGAATTAGCTTTTCATGCGACGGTTGTAATGTGAACAATTTAGTGGCTACATTTGCTTGTTCTAGCGTTTTCAAAATCCTTTTTTTGATCACTATCAAAACCATGTTATTTTCGCGAACTCCAACAGCAGCTACATAATCGTTTTTTTTTTAATATACAATTATTGTCCGTCATCATTGTTACGACATATTTCACTCGAAAAAAGATTTACTTTGAGCTCAAACACTCGCAACACATTTGAAAAATGACTGTCAATCCATTTAGCACCGATTTTTGCCTGAACATTTATATTATCTTTAACAATAGGCATAGTATGCTTACCATCACTGATACATACTGGTAATTGAGTTTCGAATAACTCGTAGCTATTAAGCTACTCTTTCTGACTGGTCATGTGATAATTTACTCCAGAATAAATATACCATTTTTCTAATTTACTGATTTCATTCTTAGTTGATTTCGTTCCAATTAAGGTATTTTCTGAGTTTGAATCATTTTTGAATATTCTGCAATCTTGTTTTTAATGTCCTGGTTTTTTCAATAATTGCATTTATCTGGTTTATTATCACATTTGTGTTTTTCCATACCATAACCTTTTGAGTATTTTTGCTTATACGTCCCGAAGAGCTTTTGTCCTCTTTTTTGTGGTTAACATAACACTTTCGGCACTAATAGTGTTGGTTTCATGCCCTTGTGGGTTTTGCAACATTAAAAATTGTTTACATTAAAAACGTTCAACTCGCAGCACCCAATTTTATAGCAGCAACATTTTAAACATATTTGCTCAACAAAGCTAAACACTGATAAGGTAGAGTTGGCCGATCTTATCTTCTAAGACCATGCTTCTGATGAAGCATTTTTATCAAGTCAAACACAAATTTCCGATAAACTATAAATTATTGTATCAAATAACTCAAGGAAAATAATTATTAAATCAAGTAGTTCTATTCATTTTATTGGATATAACTGTTTAAAAAAAAAAAAAAAATAATGTGAGAGGGGGGTGGGGTAAAATTCCAAAACTCCTCCTTGGCTACTCTACTGTATATATTTATAATTCTTATATCTATTTTCCAACGGAAATATTATTTAAGATTTGTTATATTAGATAGAAATTGAAACTCAAATGAATTATTAATATATTCCTAGGAAAAATTCATTAATTATCAGAACACTTACAGAATGCAATCTAAAAAACCGTTCAATAAATTAACCGTATTAACTTTGGTGAACGAAGAAATTAATAACAAATTTAATGAAGAAACTAAGTATGACCCAATCGCAGCCCCAAAAATATGTGTAGCTATGGCTGATAGTATTATGAACAGTATTTATAATATGAATTTTGATAGGTAAGATGTATTAGGTTAGGTAATAGACTTTACAATGTATAATTTTTAAATAATTTTATTTATTCCAGGTATAAAATAATTGTTACTGTGGAAATAGTAGGGAAAAAAAGACAAGGTATATATTCTGAAATAAGATTTTTGCGTGACCAGAAAAAAGATAAATATGTTAAACGTCTGTTTGAAAATGTTAATTTCATTGTTATCGTTATAGTAGTAGGATTGTATTATGAATAATCAAAACCTACTTAATCAAGATATTTACATTTTTTTTAAAAAAAGAAGTATTAGGAAATTAATCTACAAATAAAAACCATTAATGTTTTAATTAATATTATAAAATAGTGAATTCCGGTTAATGTGGGCAAACAGGGCTGATCCCAACGTGCCCACATTAAGCGGTTGCCCATAAAAACCGAAATTAGTTAAAAAAAAAATGTATAATAAAAAGTTTTTATTTTTATAATCATATAATTGAAAAAAATGTTAAATAATTACTATATAAATAAAACTAAATATAATAAATAAAATAAAATAAATATTTGGATGTGGAAGGTATAAAAAACGTTGTAATTGTTCGTTGTCTTAACAGTTTATTGTGGATCTGATTGACAAAATGTGCGCACACTTCAAGCTTATCAGACGGACTATTTTCGTTACCCTCTTGCATGAAGAACTTCTGCAACAAATCAATGCACTTTTTAGCCTCTCTAGCTGTAACTGGTGGTTCGGTATCTTCTTTTTAATCTTCCAACTTCCTTTTTTTAAGAACATTTTGTACTACAACATCACAAATGTCTTCATTATTATCAAATCAAGGAGCATTTTCATCAATGTTTTCAAATTCGTTATGGATTTGAATAAGTAAAAATTGTTCAGTCAACTCAGGTTGTGGACCAATAAAATTATAAAATCCACAATGAGCGAAACAATTCATAACAGTTGTGCTGCTAACTTCTCCCCGACTCTCGGATACAAACTATCGCTTGCAATATGTTTATTTTGTCACTTATTTGATTAGCAATTGCAGATGGATCAAACAGGTTTTCCTCAATCATTTCTAGAATAAAATTAATCAGTTTCATTCTATATCTCACCTTGAGGTTTTTATTAATACCCATATCTAAGGAAATCAAAACTTTCTAACCACTTTTGAGGTTTTAAGGAATTTTAATTTTAAGGAGTTTTTTGCTGTAATTGGGTTATAAATACATGCAGAGACTTAAAATTTGGTAATAATATTTATATTGCACTTACCTAAACGTGGTAAGATTTCCAAAATTATCGGACGACTTTTTTTTTTTTAATAAGCGTGTTTTGAAATCAAATTTAAACGAAAATCGCAATAAAAAATTACTTCACTTCAAATTATGTATTACCGAACGACGCTCAGAATCGTCTTTTGTCAAGTAATAGTTTATTGCTGTTAACAGATATAAATGAAATAACTTTATGTATCTTACCCTTCCAATGTTACCACCTACAACAGGGGCTGCGCCCGTCCCCAGGATTAGCTCTTTGTTTTAAATTTATTTAATTTTAAACGTTCGAATACTTCGCGTAATTTATAATTATGATCCGTTATATTTTTCCCATATACGATTATATCATCTAAATATTCTAAACATTTCATTCCGATTATTCCCGGTAGTATATTATTCAATAATCTTTGGAATGTGGCGGGCGAAGTTTTCATTCTCATTATCATTCGTGTAAACTCATAATGTCCAAAATTTGTGGAAAAGGCTGTTAATTCGCGTGATGATTGTGCTAATAGAATTTGGGAAAAACCTGAAGCTAAGTCTACAACGCTAAATAGTTGAAATTGTCTCAGCTAGTTTAATATTTCGGTTCTATTAGGTAGTGGATGAAACTCGTTTAACGTTACTTCGTTTAAAGCTCTAAAATCGTTCACTATCTTAAATTTTTATTTCCCCAAGCATTCTCTTTCTTTTTAACTAAAAGTAAAAATGGAATCCAAGGACTCATGGATTGTTTTATATCATTTTCCTCTATTTTCCTAATTTGAGAATTTATTTCTTTTTATTAACTTTGCGGTAATCCATAAGGTCGTCGGTCAATTAGGCGTTTCATCTTTTTTTAAATTGATTACGTGTTCCGCCGCGTTTGTAAAGGTTAGGCTATCCCCCTCTAAATGAAATATTTCTTCATATTATTCACATATTTCAAATAAATATTGTTTTTCCTTTAGATTCATATGTTCGCTTCTAATTATGTGTTTTATTTTATTTAATCGAGTTAAGTTATTTTTTATATTGATTTTTGGACATGTATTTGAATTTATCGTTGTAATGTTATGCTCACATAACATAATATTATAACTGTATAATTATTTATTATTTATATCATTACAAAAATGTAACTAAAAGATTCAAATATGGCCGAGTACTTGGTATTTCACAAAAGGTAAATAATTTAATAAATCTAACGGATGGTTCGCTATTCGAGAGGGATGCAAGCTTATCTACAAGCAAAATAATTCCAGTGGTTTTCTATCACTCGAGAAGAATCAATATCCGACTCATTACTTTCATTAAGAACATTCAAATATAAGTCAAATACAATTAAGCAATAGATACATAACATCAATCGGTCCTTTGATGATACCGTCGTACCGTCATTATTTTTTCGCACTATATACCATAATAATTATTTCAATACAAATTTCAAATCAACGCATAACACTATTTTTTTTTATGGTTGACCTTTTTTTATTGCCTTATATAAACACATAAAATGTAACGGTTTTTTCTATTGAAAATTAAGCGTCTTGATCCCTCTAGAAATCCCAAGACGAACACTGTCGAGAATCCCACAAGCAGCAACAACTACGCACCACCAACTTCTTTCGAGGATCTCTCTCGAATAGCTAGGAGGCTGAAAATCGTCGATATTAGAGAGCACAACGATTTATTTATTAACACACTTTATAATTCAACCTTTAACTTTCCTAGTTTATAAATTAGCATTTTTTTATCTGAGTGCACACAGATGTTAAGTGTTAATTAATTAAATTAATTTATCCTAATTAAATTGTGATTGCCGTCCAATGACTCCAGGTTCACGTGAGGTTATCTATAAGTATACACCCTAGCGTTCCAACACCGTGGGCAGGTAATATAATTACATTTTTCTTTAGTTATTCATTTCGTCACCATTCTCGGATTCACGACTCCGAAACCCTTTCAAACATAGGAAGGAAGGTAGTAATACAACTAGTAGGCTGAACCTTTATTATGATTAGAGATAAATTATTCTTTGTAGTACCAAAACTTAGATCGACTGTTTCATACTTAGGCACATTTTTATACCTACTCCTTTATGTTTCATTCTTTATAGGTGTTTCTACGTGATTATCCTATAATCTTAAATATATTTGTCTTCTATTTCTATACTTAGTGTCCTAAGTTTACTATTATCCCCCTAACCGCGACTCTCTCATTATATCATCGCCCGTCTTAACCTCTTTTAACTCACCTCTTATTTCCCCCCCCCCTTTCACCCCATTCCCTTTAATTATTCTTTACCTTTCCTATTTTTTGTATTACTATATCGTCGTAATTAATAATTTATCTACGCGGGATTGTTTTCGGTAAATTGTTTTTCAAGAGTCAATATATTTAACATGTTGACTGTTATTTTTCCCTCTCTAACCTTTCCTACAATGTTTCCGCAATATACGTCTCTAATAATTTCCTGTTTTAAAATTAATATGGTTTTATTTTACACACTAGGGTCGGCTATTGGAATTTGGACTATTGTTTCTGTTCTTGGTTTTAATCAAATCATTTCGTTATTATTAATTTCAATTTCGTATTAATGTTATTTAGAAAAAAAAAAATAATGTAGGTATATGTAATGATTAATATTAATTAATGATATATTTTGTATGTGTAAGAAAAAAAATGTAACAGGTAATTTATATAAGCAAATATTCAATGTATTATTATGTAAATAGCAATTGTACACAGTATTATACATTATAAGTATGCGTTTCATATTAAAAAAAAAAATATGGTTATCTTCTTTGTATAAGCGATAATTTAATCTAATATAATCAATTGTAACTTTGTAAATTGTAAAAGGTGCTCAAACGATGGTAAAAGATTTCTGTTATTTTTCAAAAAAACATAAACCTTTTTTAGTAGAGTGGTGTTACAGGTATCGTCCCGCTACCTGATATTATATCATAAAGTATGGGACTTACTGTAGCACAATAATAAGTTGTTTACACTCTAGATCAAAATAGTTTATACTCGAACAATGTAAAATGAAACCACGAAATAATAACTGTATATTTAAATATTATGAAAATTAATGTAACGTGTAAATCAATGCAATAGCCAATGGAATACCTATGCACGCATTTAGCAAGACCCGCATTAGGGGCCAAATGCGTGAGATTATCGTCCGACTACGCAATAATATTATTGTCGAAAAGAGAGGACTGAGCATATCTAGCTGAGAGATCTAGGGTATATGCTCTTATACCGACCGCTGAGAACAACTTTTCAAACGAGCCATATCACTATCATCTACAGCAACTTCACGCCATATAGATTTGTACTTTAATTAAAAGTATTTGAATATTTTTCGACTAAATAAATACACTTATAAAAAACTATTGAGTACATTATTTCCGACTTTGGTCATAAAAATACCTTATAATTTAAATTTGAAAATACGTCTGCAACAATTGTCATCCAAAGAAAATTCATTGTTTCATTATGATCAAGATTATTAATTACAGAAATTTTTTTTATTCTCTTTAAATTAGGATTGTTATTTTTTAGTTAGTGCCTAAATTTTAGACATTTTATTTATCAAAAATAATGGAAAATTAAAAAAAAAAACATTTTTTGCTTATTAAGTAAAAAGTATTTTAAGTACTAAAGTATTTTACATATTTTATAGAAAATAGTAATGTATTAACATTTATATATGGTCGATAGGGTTAATTATTTTTTTAAACATAAAAAATAAATTCAATCTCGATTTTGTGTAAAATATTTATTTTTTTTGTTTTTCCCGACACTTTAAAAACTCCTTACAATGTTCTAAATTCAGTTTTATTCGCCCAAAGTACCAACTAGATTCATTTTACAACAAGAAAAAATACAGAAGTTTAAATTGGAAACATTTTTTGTATTATAAAAAGGGTTTACACGCATTAAAAAACAAACCACACTTCATAGTAAAATCAATATATTCTTCACTTCACTCACATTTTAAAATCTATTTATTTTATATTTGAAGAGAAACGAGGAATGTATTGGTAATTGGTTTTACAATGATTTTTTTTTTATTTTGCGAACAACTTTACGAGTTTTTTACGTAATTTTTATATGTAGATTTTATTTGGTACTCTGTGGATAAAGTTGTTAGACCATACAGAAATACTTAATAATTTAACAATTGGTTCATTATAAGTTTTAATTTGGGCTCTACAATAAAAAAATTAATTGAGTTTCATGAAGTTTTTTTTTTATAAGAATTTAATATCAAATTTTGTTGAAATTCGTAAGTATTATGGCCTTTCAAAACGCTTATAATCGAACTAGTTTTCCCTCTCAATGCGTAGTCTATTTTAGATTTTGAGCGAAGCAAGGAGTGTATTGGTTTTACAATAATTTATTGATTTTCTAAAGGGTTTTTTTAAGATGAGAAAATGAGAAAACCCGGAAAAAAACGCAGGAAAAATCGGGAAAATATATTATTTGCAAATAGAGGCAGTAAATATTACGGTCTTTCAAAACATACAACCGAACTGCGCTCAGAATAATTTTTCATTAGCAATGATTAATAATTGTTTACAGATATACATTACCCCTCTGTATCCTACCTTCCCAACTACAACAGTAGCCTACCAATCGTGGAAAGTATGTCTGTACCTTTTAAAATATGCCAATAGTTAAATGGAATTGTGTAGGACTGCGCAGTCGCTATGTCTTGTGACATACTTGGCAACATTGTAACTCGATATATGGTCGATAATGGGCGGCAACTGGAAAGTAGGTCAAAATGGCGCGAAGGGTAAATTTATGGCGCTAGTGTCGCACAAAAGTCTAATCAATACGTGTTTATATTGTTGCTCTTTTCTGTATTCTTTCACTCTTCACTGTGACCCGAAACCCGGAACCATCCACCAGCAGTCGTCAGGTACATTACACTTGCACTACATTAGCACTTTATTACCCAAACATTTTTAATAAAGTAGTATATTTTTTCTTTCATTTTTTTCAGTTTTGCTACTTGTCGAAATAATTATATTGTTGACGCACAAATATCGAAACTGTATACGCAATGGACAAAGATCTTGACCCTGAAATGTAAGTATACTTATAAAGGTATTCGATTTATTGTATTTTGGTATTTATTCAAAAATATAGGAACTCGGTTTTTATATACAAATGAAAAAAAATAAGTTTTTTTTTTTCCAGACTAGAGTTGATAGTTCGTAAAGTAATGTTGGGCAAGATGAAACTTCCGGATATCAAACCAACTGGTTGTTTACCACTTCCGTTGAAATCTCCGCCATGTGTGGAGAAGTTGAAGTGTCCGTATGAAAAGCCGCCATTGCGTTCTAAGAAATTGAAGATAAATAAGGAAAGAAAACTGCCGTTTTCCATGGGTGCGCGACCAACTCGTAAACCATATTCATCGCTTGATAATCAACTTCCTAGTTATTTGTACGATGTCTTTGGAGATAAAGCTGACGAATCGCATGCGCCAGTGCCCAAAAATTACGATAGTCCGTAAGTATATTAAGATAGTTTTATATTATTGAACGTGAATTTGTTGAATAGTTGTGAATCGGTCGTACTTGTGTGACTATTTAGGGAAGAGAATTTTTACATGCGAAATGGTTCGGGAACACAATTTGGCGCGTAAAAACTATTACAAATTACTAGTTTACATAAAATGATTGTTTAACATGTTCTTTGTTTGTGTCGAGAACTATTTATTGATTTGTATACCAACTCTTTCGATTTTAAAGTTGTATATTATTTATCGTATTATTTACGGGCATATTAACTTCACGGTTAATATGAAGTGATCATCCCATTTATGCAGTCAGTATCTAGGTCATTCTAGTTTTGCTCGAGTAGTCATATTGCTTTTACCGAAATGAAATCTATTGGCTCTATTTAACTATTGAGAATTCCGGAACATATCAGAACACCAAAAAAGTGTTTTCCGAAAAAAATAAACAAACTTTTTATAAAGTAAGCATTTCGAACTCTAAAAGGAGACTAAAAAAAAGTATTCTTTATAAAAAATAAAATAATTTTATATAATATATAATATAATTAATTTAATAATATAGAATGCCAGTTTTATCATGGGGCTTTACATCATTTTATTTAGCTCCCCCCCAAAAAAAAATCCTGGGTGTATCCTTGGGTGTATCCTTGGTCCTAAATCTTTTATTACACAATAAGCCACTACCCTAGTACATAGGGACTTATAATTAATGCTAGAATTGCTCATATAGTTTATATAGAAATATGGAGAAAAACAGCTGCCATTAATTTCTTTATTGTACATTTTATATATACCTATGTATTGCATAATTTTATATTATGTCAACAGTTTACCTGTAGGTATTAATAACATGACTTACCTATATTCTTTTATATTCTATATACAGGGTTGCTATCGAAGCAGCGGAAAAATCTATTCCTTTTTTCGAATCTATAGATTCGGTCATTCAGGCATTCACTACAATCAGTACGATGTTGGAATCTACAGTAACAACCATGCAATTGACCTATGAAATATTGTTGGATGCGGCTGACAATTATGTTTCTATAAAAAAGTTCATGGTGAAATTATATTCAGTCATGGCTTCGTATAAATTAGTTCGATGGTTTTTGAACAAAGTCTATTTCTTATTAAGTAATTCAATTTTGATTCAATGATTTTAAAAAATATAAAAACATTTGTAATTTATTATTATTTACAGTATTATTACCTATATATTATTCTAATAGGAATGGTTGGAGGAAACAAAGGATTGAGTGCTGGCGAAAATATTTTGCCATCTATAGCGTCTTCAACTCAAATAGAAACTGATCGTTTTGGTAAACAAAAAAATTGGCCAATAGCGGTTTTTGCTGGAATGGTATTCGCCATTCCTGTTATTTCATACAAATTACTCAGTTTGATGTTACCAAAAAGTAAATATTATATATTATGTTTCTAGTTACACAAAAAAGTACAAAATTATTTATAAAGTTAATTTTTTACGTATTCCTCAGCAGAAACAAAAATATTGCTTCTAGCAGATCATGACTGGTCGTCATCCTTAGAACGTGAACAAACACTTCCTTTGGTCAAAGGACAGATATATTTGGCTGATGAATTGGCGCTGGACAACAAAAATAATGATGGATGGATCAAGGTTACTGCCTCTAATGGAAAATCAGGTTATTCGCCAAGGAATATGTTAAAACCACTACAATCTGCAGAAAATGCTAATGATATTGTACTGTCAAATCTCGAACAAAACGATTCTACACTAACCGTAGATGGTGATGCATGTCAAAATGAACCAGAGCCAAGTACTTCAGAGTAGCTATTGAACTATGATTAATTGGAAAATGGAACTATGCCACACAAAATAATTAATTTTCTCTTTTTTTCATTATTAGTTAAATTAGTAATAATGATAAATAAGTATTTTAATATTTTAGATATTTTAATTATTTCTTTAATAATAATTATATTTGCGTTTCTTATTAATATTTTATGGGAAAACGATATTAAGAATATTGAATTTTTGATTTATGTCACGTTTTTTTTTTCATTAATATTATTTAATAACAATATTAAGTTTATATAGATATATAAATATTAAATTATTAGTAAAGCATTTATTACCATATTTTAACTCGGCTATTATAATATTTGTGAAGATATTCAGTATTAAAAATGTATAATACTTATTTAATTAGTTATAATTTAGTTATTCAATTCTATATTTAATCATTTATCTAATACAAATATGATTTAAAATAAGTACTAACTTGTTTTATTTAATAAATATACATAAATATCTAAGGTTTCAAATACAATTTTAGTCATAATTTAGTAATTTTAGTTCTTAAACAGAGTTGATTTCAAAATTGATAACAAATCTGGATTCCATGCGTATCTTCTGAAAATATTAGAATTAATTTATTGCATGCCTTGTAGAAGTAAAATTTAAAAGATATTTATTTCATGTAAGTTAAATATTAATTTCTAATAGGTTTTGCTTTGCTCTAAAAATGAAGTAGAACAATAGACCATACAGGGAGGAGAGGGAATGATAATGCGGCCTCCCTCTGGTTTAACTGAAAGCAAAAAAAAACCTAACAGTTAGTTAGGAAGCCAATTAATAATAATTCTAGTATTTTACTGCTATTTATTGAGTATTTGAACACTTAAATTTAAGATAGTTATATACATACAAATTTTTATTAAAATGATAAATACACTTTTAACTGTTTAAGATTTCACAATAATATTGAGTTTAAGGGTAGCTGTCAATCATATAGATACTATATTTTAATACCATTTTAGTGTAATTTTTTTTTAAAACTTAAACACAATGTTAATTGTTGTTAAATTTTGATTTAATAATTTAACTATTCAATAAATAAAAATATATGTCATTTATGCTTAAATTATGTACAGGTCATTTAATAAAAAATAGTTATGAAAGATATTTTAGTTTTAAAGAATACAACTATGATCAAATAAATGAGATTTAGTTTTAAAAAAATCTCATATTTCAAGTAAATTATTTTAAATTTTACAATAAAAATAAGAGTGATAAATCAATTAACCAAAATAAATCAAAATTAATTGAAAACCTAAGTGTAAAAATTAATATAATTATTAAAGATTGGGAATTTGATGAAGTTGTTGTACATAATTACAACATTACAATTACACCAAAATATATTGTCTAATATGTTATTAAATATTAAAATCAATTAATTACTTTTATAGGGTATCTACCTAAACAAATGTTGAAACACGTTGGAGATTTCAATACTTGTAAGTCAACTTTTGTAACACTACAAGTTTATTCTGAACAAATTTGTTCTTCATTAGTTAACATGAAAACGAAGTGACAATTGATAATAAAAATTTTAAAAAAAATGCCAAATTCTCAAAAACTTAAAATACCTATATATAAAAATAAACCTTGTTAGAATACAAAAATTCACATCGGTACTTGTTACTTGTACATTATTCATTCTTTCAATCAAGAGTAAAACTTTGAACATTTAATTGAACAATAAATTGTCAATCTAAGTTATTTAACATAATATTGCTAACGAAAAACGATTCTGGACAGAATTCAGTTGATAGTTATACTTTGTAAACAATATTTATATCATATTTTAGTAAACTAATTAAATAGACATTATATATTTTCTTTAATATTTGTTTAATATTTTCCCGATTTTCGCTTTTTTTTACATTTGCTGGGAAAACTCCTGAGAAAATCGAAAAATTACCTTTTTAAAGTAACTTTCCAGTCAGTTTTCCTTTCAGAAAAAGTGCTTTCATTGTAAATTTGAGCAAAATTAGGTACTGGTAGAAAAGTTGTTTACAGGGAAAAAATGTTTCAACCAATACTTACTTTTGTATATTTTCCCATTTTTTCGGTTTTTCACATTTGAAGCGAAAACACATGAGAAAATCAAAAAATGGCCTCCTTTAAGTACCACCCCAAGAAAATTTCCTTTCAGAAAGAGCCTACATTGTACACATTGGAATAAGTATTCTGGTAGAAAGTGATCATATAAAAAAAAAAAAATAAAAATAAACATCTTCATGAAATCAATACATTCTTCGCTCCACTCAAAATCTAAAAAGACAACATTTAGTAGACATATTGTAGTCGGCACTTTTCAGACTTTTCAGTGCCCGTCCCTCATGATTTTCATCTTTGGGACGGCCCTGGGTAAATCTGATATTAGTGTTATGTATATCTATCAAAATTTCTAGAAAAAAATTCTCTATTCTAATTTGTGTTCAAAAGGGGAAGTTCTATTTAAAAACAAAAATATATACTTATTTAAGGTAAAAAATTTAAATTAAAGGTTAACTAATTCCATGATTTAAAAGATCTCCCTGTATATAAAAATATTTATTTTTTTTTGATATACACCAAGGTTAAAATTTAAATTATAATTATTATCTATGTAGGGTTACAAAATATATTTTTTAATCCAGTTGTATGTTCAATAAATTTTTTATAGACACATTAGGAAGAATTAAAATTCAGGTAAAAATATGCAAACTTAAATATAAAGATTGTAGATTTTAATATTATTTCAGGCACCTAGAACACAAGGGATCTAAATGATATTTTTAAAAAATGTGAATTAAGAGTACAGCTGAACTTAAATTATTCAATTTTATTTTGTAGTAAAGAAATATAAGAAAATTATCCGTCATATGCTGTGAATCTATGATATAGGGTCAAATACTAAATTTTACTGAAATAGTATTCAAATGAAAATGTAATAATATATTAGAAGTAAATAGGCACAAGGGTCCACAATAGTTGTACATACACATGTTTTTAATGCCAAGTGACTAAAATATTTTTATGATTGGAATATCAGTGATGATATGATAATATGCTATAATTATATTGAATACAAATAACTTTAAACTTGCATATAATTGACTTGTAATATCAAACCAGCACAATTTTAACAATGTATTAATTATATACTTCACATATTTTACACAACTACAATATCCATTTTTTATTCAAGTCTATAAAATAATATTATTATACAATATTCATGTGTCACTTAAAATTTGCAGTGCATTGAGGTTTATTGTTTAAGTATTTATAAAAATTATACAAAAATACACACATTTGGTGCATTTGTTCTTTTAAGTACTATTCTAACTACTATTTACTCCCACTTAGATTAACAGTAAAGTTAGTTTATTTTATTTTTGTAATGGTGATTGATAAAAATAATATTGTTATAATTATTTAGTATAACAGCAAAAACATAAATAGTAGAGTTGCCAGGTAGGTACCTGTTTTGTTGTCAGGCAATTACTTTATGATTAAGATAGAACTCGTAGCACTGAAAACAAAAATATTTATGTTAAAACAATGAAAAAAATATCCAACAAATCTTTAAATTTTTTAACTAGTGCTATAATAGAGAAAGGTGAAAATATGTTTTTTCTACTACAAAGTTATTAAATCAAACAAAAATATAAATAAATACTATATAAAATGGCTAACAATAATACATTTTTCAACAATAATTAAGTACTAAAACAAATTAATATAAATTATAAGTGTGTGATAATAAAATTAACAATCATAATATATAAGAAGTAAAAGTATAATAAAAAAAATATTAAATACTAAAATAATTTTTTTTTGTTGTTGTTTAAGTACTTGTATGCGTTTTTCTTTTGGAATATACGGAAGTGTGTTTTGAATTCATAAACGAATATGTTCGAACAATTGGCTGTTCTACACTGGAATGCTGTAGAATTTTGTAACAATTTTCCAATGCACACATCATTGATTGTGAAGTTGCTTTTATCATTAACAAGTCAGGATCAGTGTTCCGTAAACGTGGACCTGTAATCAAAAATTAATATTATCACTTGATTTTACAAAAATTAAAGTAATAGTTGTTATTAGTCATTAGCAAATGTTGTTTAGATTTAATAGAATCAATTAAAACAAAGGAAAGAAGAAGAGTTGCCTAAATATAAAATGCAAATGATACATTGTATACCAGTAGTAAAAACATTAGAAAAATATGTTACACCACTGTCAAAATAATTTTCAATAGGTTCTCTATTTTATTAATAGATAAAAAATAACAAATAATTTAGTAATTTAGAAATTATCTTTTTCTTAAAAAAATTTAAAAATTTAAAATTAATTCAGTAGAATATGGTATATTGCTTATTTTCATGGTACATAGTTTTACTATTTTTTTTTTTTTTTGTAAACTAAATTTGAAAATAAAATATTAAAATATTTTTACCCCCTCCTACACAGTTAGATCTTTCAAATTTTAAAAAGAGAGAGCTGAGCTTGAATATTTCTTTTTATTAATTTGTTTATGCATTTATATAGTGACTTTGCTAACACTTATTGAATGATACATAAAATAAACATACTTCTTAAGGTTTTTAGTGAATTCAGAAAATCATACATTATTTTACTTTTAATAAACATTATAAAGTTTTAAATTTTAATTTTAGATTCTGAGCGGAGCAAGGAATGCATTGGGTTTACTATGAAGTTAGTTTTTTTTCTGTATTCAATTTTGCTTCGATTTATAATGACAGCACTTTTTCTGAACGAAAATTGTACTGGGGATGTACTTTAGAGGTAATTTTTTAATTTTCCCAAGAGTTATCTGAAATAATTTTGAAAAACTAGAAAAAAAGTAAAATAGGTACAATATTTGAATTGTCATTTTTTATAATATGAGAACACTGTCAAAAACAACATTACAAAAAATTATTTACATACCTAATATGTAATATAATTAAAAATAATACTTTAAAATCAAATATTATTAATTTGAAAGTAAATTGATATAGTTTGTTCTGAGAAGTTTGCATTGCATGTTTAAGTACATATTATTGAGCATAATTACATTCATACAGAGATTATTTTAGTGTATAAACTATCAAGCCTGAATTAACAATAATACTTCAAATATGATTTTCAAAATAAAAAATTTACTGTGCCAATTGTGCAGTTAGTTTTTTAATGATAATATGAATAAATTTTAGTTTATATTTCAACCTTGAGATGGTAACTTTTCTATGACTCGAGCCATATCAATGAAACTGTTTTCTGCCTGAGATAAATGTTGTCGTGCATTGGCCAATGATCTTTTCACTCCACTTAAGCAAAAGTCATACACATAATTTTTTTTTGAATATTTTTGTACATTCTTCTACAAACAGGAATAATATTCAAATATTAAAATTTGTATAAATAATTATGGAAATTTAATAAATACTTGAGAATGATACTCTGAAGTTGCTCTTAAACGATTCACCCAATCTTGTCTGGCTCTTGCATCAACAGCTCTGAGCTTGTAACATTCCCCATTCCAAGAGTTTACTGAAAAAGTATTAGAATCTTCGTCACTAGGAGACACCACTGCTGATTCCAAAAAAATAAAACCACGCGGTTGTAATTTTGTATCACTTTCACTCTGTAAAAATTAAAATAATTAAATATTGTTATTATAATGTTAATACAATAAAACTTCCCTTAATGGTCACCATTAAAAGACGATCACCTCTGTAAACCAGTAATTTTTTTTGGTCCTTTCAAGTCCTATGTATTTATAGGAATTCTCTAAATATCAGTTATTATTTCCAGTTCTTTCAGTAACCATTACATGGAAGTTTTACTGTAGTAAATATATAGGCTGATTCTTTTATCATGACCTAGTAATTATCTTGGAAGATTTTTAGTGAATTTGATTTCTGTTTTTTTTTTTTAATCATTATGGAATCCTTTAAGATTAATTTTAACATTACTTTTAATTTTTTACTTCTAATCCTAATACCTGAATACCTGATACTTGAAACGAGTATATATTTTTTATTTTTAAATGGCAGCAACCCCCTTTTTTGAATGCAGATTTGAATAAAGAATATTTTTTTAAACATTTTTATTGCATAGCACTAATATCATATTTACAGTTTATAACAATTTTATTTACAGTATAGAATAAAATAGAATAAAAAGTATGTAAAAAACTCATAAATATAAAATGTTTATTAATAGCTGAAAAACGACTCTAATGTTTTCAAAATTATAACACATATAGAAAAAGTAAATATAAGTTTCTGTCTAAATTTCAAGTCTCTAGAACATTTTAAACTGAAATAAGACCAAAAACAAAATTGAAAACAATAAAAGTATCATTTTTGTAGATTTTCTCAACTATTATGAAAACTGCTTGGAAAATCAACCTTTCTAAAAGTATCAACTAGATAAAATTTCCCATTAGAAAAAAATTTGCTATAGTTGATACCTCTGGCAGAAATTGTATACACTATATAAATAAGAAAAATATATATAATAAGTAAAACTAATACATTCCTTGTTTCACTCAAAGTATGAAATTTCATCAAGACAATAAAGGTTGTTTTTTATTAATTTGATCATGGTATGAACCTATTGAATCAAAAAAGATTCAGAAACACTGGTGTAGATGATAATATTTTCATAATTAATTTGAAAAATGCAATTAGCTTGTAATATTTTAATATCAGACTAATAAACATCTTTACGTTTAATCTTTTAGTGAAAAATTAATTTGTACAGAATTACAAATTACATAGATACTTTATTACTAATATCATAAAACTAATCTTTTACTTATTTTTCACCTAATGTTTCAGAAAATATTTTAACAATGCCGATAAGTTTGTAAACAACTTATTATCTACTTGTTTATTTATTATTATTATTTATTTATTATTTCTTTACTTACTTATTCTAACTTATTATCTACTTAGAATATTTATTAAAAAAGTTCATACTCATAATGTGTATTGACAATAGATACCTAATTACAATTAAAATTATATAATATATAATATACATATATGTTTTAAAAAGAGAATTAAAACAACTCTTAAGGTTTTTGATGTGATATAAAAACAATGAATGAAAAAAATAAATATTTTATTAAATCCATAGAACAATACATTTTACTGGTATGAAAATCACAACATTTATGAAAACCTTTAAACTTTAAAGTAGGTATACTAAGACAAATTTATGTGTTTTATTTAATTACCACTTGTGTTTATTAAGTAGTTAATCTCTGAGGCATAAGTTTATAAAACAAATTCTCTTAATGCAATGTTTCTCAAATTGTGGGTCACCCACTTGTTACGTCCCGAGTCAATTTTAGTTTAGTCGCAAAAATTGTTTTGAATTATATAGATACCAAGAAATGTATGTTTTTAGATTCTGAACAGGCAAGGAATGCATTGGTTTTACAATAATGTTATTTTTATTCATTTTTATCTGTGAACATATTTTATAACAGCTATTTTGCTTCGATTTTAAGGTGGTAATTTTTTGATTTTCTCAGCTGTTTTCATAAACTAGCCATTAAAATGTGGAACCATATGAGTCACGGTAGTTTTTCGGGAGAAAATTTGGGTCGCAGTCCTAAACAGTTTGAGAACCACTGCTTTAATGTATGTGTCATTAATCAAAAATTATGGTCCAGGTGAAAACTACTATTTATCAATTGCAAAGATGAATAAATATGTAATATCATTTTGGCAATAATGTAACAGAATATTGTGAACATGGTCAATTTATGTTTAGAATATTGTTGCAATATTTAAGTTTTCAATTATGGTCTTTATTTATTATACTACTAAAGACTTATATGAACTAAAGAGATACAAAAAAACATACAATTTTGTTTTGTTATTTACCAAAAAATAACTCAATGTTCCTTCTCTCGGGTCTAGTATAAACCATCTGTGTTGCCAGCCTTTGACGACGTTTGTGTATTTGTACAATTGTCCTTCTTGGATTTGGGATAGAAATTCAATTCCAACCAAATTGTCCATGTTGCGAGTTCTATAACAATGACAATCTATAACATTTATACAAAGTATAAATGTATAAGTATCAAGTACCTATCAAAGTTATAATTTTCTTGTTGGCTATCCGAAACGGTGTCTTTTGTACACGTTAAACAATGTGGTCAAAATTGTAATATCGGTAACGCGATGTTATTTGCAAAGAATTCCATTGCACGATACATTGTATTGTTATTACTTAAGCGTGAAATACCTATGAAATGAATTAAAATAATTTCCAGCCGTGACTTAAACTGATGACATAATAAACATCGTGCGGATAACAAACAACAAAGACGATATCATGGATGATATGATCACCATAACATTGTGTAGGTGCCTTATCAGAAGTGATCGATGAATTTAATCTACAACCGTAGACAAGTTGATACTGTAAGTACTGATAAACGATAGTTACTACGAGGTGACATCGAGGGTGTCTGATGTCAGCTGTTATACGCAGTATAACTAGTCCAAGGTGGATTTGACTTGACGAAGTCGATTAGAGCACCATCGTTATCATTTTGTTGTTATCATTCAAAATGTACAATGAAGAATATAGATGACGAAAAAAATTTTGATTTTATTTTTACAAGCGTGATGATTTTTATACCAATAAATGTAAAAACGTTGACATAGTTTTTATTTAGCAACCTATCGATTTTTTGATTTTTTTAGTTTTTCAAAATGTGTGTGTTTGCGTATACATTAAGAATGTAAAAATAAAAGTCTGACGAACTTCGTTTGGAAGTTATCGGGTAAAACTTCATGAAATTCGGGTTTTCTATTTCGTGTATATTTCTTAATTAGAATTTAAAATGTTCAAATTGTAAAAACGTTTACACATTTTTAAATTGAAACGGTTACAACATTTTGTTTTCTTATGAATTATGATGTACTGTATTTATAAATATTAAAATTGTAAGTACTTAATGTATTATCCAAAACATTGAAAGTATGTCAAAATTAAAAATTGCATACTAAATAGTTAGGTAATATAATAATTATAAAAGGCAAAATTATAATGGGAAAATTAATTGACACCAAATTAACGTGTAAGACACATTAAGTATAAATAATAAATAGAACAATTATCCAAATGATTCAAAATTCAGTAATTAAAATTGTAAATTTTATTTTAAATTATTTTTTTATGTGATTTAAGTCCAATAATGTTCATGAAATCTAATTTATTCCCATTAATATATTGAAAAAGATATAAAATCATTTGTTCCCTCTTGAATAGAATTTTTATTGATTTTACCAATAATATGATTTATCTAAAACTTTTTCAAGACGATTAAAATATTCAATGTTGTCTATTTTCAATAAAAATGATTAAAAAACGATTTAAAAAAAAAAAAAAAAAAAAAATGTTTATCATCAAGGCGTATTTTATAATAGGTATTAATATATTTTACATATATATATTATATTATAAAAACGTATAAAAAAAAAATCTGTGGTATTATATATTTTATATATAATACCAGGGAGGTACTTTAATAAAACCATTTTTCGATTTTCTCAGGAGTTTTCTTAGCAAATGTGGAAAACTGACAAAAAACATGGGAAAACCGGGAAAATCTGTACAACATTAAACAAATATATAAAGCTAATAAAATATACATAAAATATATAATGCCTATTTAATTATTTTACCATAACATGTCACATATATTGTTGACAAAGCATCACTATTAACTGAATTTCACTCAGAATCGTTTTTTCGTAAGCAATGGTTTATCGTTGCTTACAGGTATATATTCAATTACCAATAACAGTGGTTGCACCCGTCTCCATTATCCTTAGGCGTCTTTTTTTTTTTTTAATATTAAATATTTTATTTTATTCAAAATAAATAAATAAATTCCGTTTCTTACCAGACGTGGTTTTACACTACAAATCGAGAAATATTTTCGTTAAATCCATTTAAAATCTTTATTTTTCTTTTGTTACCTATCTGACATGGTTAATGATTTTGTACAACAAATGGAGTGTTTTTTAGTAAAAAAAAAAAAAATGAATTATTTGTATAAATACTTTTGTGTTACGATCCTCCGAGCTGCCACGATTACCTCCTTAATTACTTGAATTACTTTTAGACTCCGAGTGTAGTGATAGTGTAAGAAGAATTTATTTGTTTTACAGAGGGCTACATGCAAACTTCTATAGAACTGACCTTTTTACCTGTATTTAAAAAAAACATAGTTGAAACTCCTACATAGTACCTTTTTACCATTCAAAAATAGATGGTTTAATCTCTTATACAGACTTTACCAGTCATAAATAGATAACGTAATCTTCTATACAGACATTTTTACATTTTAGATTCTAAATGTAGCGAGGATTTATATTGGTTTAAGGTTTTGCAATGATGTTTATTTAAGATAATTGCACTTAAGTGGGAAAAAACGTACGATTTTACGATTTCATTATTTTATATAAACACGCACGACGTTTTATACCAGAAATAGTTCTTTAATGGAAAAATAATAAGAGACCTTTTTTGTTGTATTTTAGATAAATATTCGTAGAGACTAACGAATGTAGGATGTTAAAATGTAAAATAGAATTAAGTAAAAAATAATATTAATATAAGGATCGTATCGGAAATTCTCGAACATTTCGATAACGTCTACGTTATTTTCGTAAATTGAAAATTTTTTTCGTCACTCAATGATAAAAGGCTTATGAGTATTCATACCAGTAATCGCAGAACAAAATAATTGAATAACTGTATTATTCCTGATAGTGTTGTTTGTTTTCTCCCTTTGTACACGTGTTTTTCGGTACGTAGTTAATATTATTAATTCATTACACTTATTCATTTACTTCATTTACTTATTTTAATAACTAGAAAAAAAAAATTGCGTTAAAATATTTTGCTTTTGATTTTTGTAATTTTTAATTGATATCTACTTATTTTAAAATACCTTAATTTATCTTTTACAACTTTAAAACTATCTAGTGAGGAGTGACACTATGTCAACAGAGAAGATTGTCTACTTTTTTAGGAGTTTACCATCCCCCTTACAAAGTTGTTGTTTTTTTTTTTTTTTTATACTGTGTACAAAAATTCTTACCAAAAATTTTGCTTCGATATAATATTTTACGTGTGGCACTATTTCTGAAAGAAAATATTGTCCAGATGGTACTTTCAGGAAGTCATGTCTTTATTTTCCAAGCGGTTTTCCTAATAAAAGAGAAAAAGTGAGAAAAAACGTAAGAAAAACGGTAAATTTACGAAAATAATGTTTTATTATTTTTTAAATTTTATTATTTGTTGTAACTCAGTTAAAAATATCCGTAGTGACTTGACATTCGGACAGAAATATCATATTAGCCTTTTCTAGACATGGTTATGTTTTAAAAACATTTAAGCCATTTTTAAGCTTTTTATATAAATATTTATACTTTTGTTGAAATTCAGGTAAACATATTCGTATCGACTCTATGGACTTAAAATTTGAGCAGTAAACTTATATTTACTTTTCCTTGACGTGGTCAAATTTTCAAAACGTTTAAGCCATTTTTGAGCCATTTATAGAATTTTTAATTTTGCGAGTTTTATACGAAATTTTTATTCGGTAGGTACTCTGTGATAAAATTGTTAAACTTAACAGAAATGCTTGAAAATTTAATAGGAGGTTTATTAAGAGTCTTACTTTGTAGTGAAAAAAAAATGAGTTTATTATAGTTTTTTTTTTTTTTTTTTAAAGGGAATTTTAATATCAAATTTTGACGAAAATCGTTTTTTATAAAAAATTATGTGGAACAAATCTAATTTTTAAATGTTTTGTTTTAAATATATATAGCAAAAATATTTATGTACCAAAAATATTATGTAATGCATATGTAAATATTTTATCATGCTAAATAACCAATACGTTTTTTGTAAATCAAAACTAGTAATAAAATAAAAAAGTAAAAACAGAATTATTAAATAGTTAATACTCGTAAATAAATATATAAATAAATAAATAAATAAATAAATAAATAAATAAATAAATAAATTAGTAAATGCGTTGCCTGGATAATTATAAAATGTGTATTGTACGATCGGTTTCGAATTAAAAATTCACCGTCAGGTAAAATCACAAAGTTGAAAAGTAAAACGCGACTGAATATGAAAAATGAATGAAGGAATACATAGCGAAAAAATATACAATATTGGTCGTTATTCATAGAGATAATTAATTTTAATAGGAGAGATTATTTAAAATGGGTTATTATTTAATTAGACATAGATATGTTAAGAAATATAAATTATTCTGTTATTATTTATTATCTAAAATTTATTGATATAAGATATTTTTTGTAAAATAGATCATTTAAAACATTATTCAAATTATTTTTCTTTATTTCATTGTGTGTGTGTGTAATTTTTCTCAAACTAAATTGATGTAAATGTTATTTTGGGTATTTAATATTCCTAAGTCTGTTTATCAATATCGATAAAATATTATCACGTGAACCTGTTTTGCCGAACAATTTATAATATCACCGGGTTTTAAGTATTTGGTAACCTTACCTGTGAGTATTTTGTAACAAATGTTGCATTGATCCCCTCTACTCTTACATCCTGATACTAAGCATCCTGTAGTCATTAGAATTTTTTTTTCCCTAACAAAATTGTTGTTTCTTCTTGTAGAAAAAATTATCATTTTTATTAAAATCATAATTAAAATATCTATCATCACTATTACCATACCATCAGTACTGAACCAGATTATAATTGTTATTAACACCGTAGTTATTATCGTTAAAATGTGGTTCAAAAGTCGCATTATTTTAATTTCTATTATTTTGAAAATTTTCATTTCTATTTTTTCTGTTCAATTCCATGCCCGTATTATCATTACCTTCCCTAAATTATCAACCTCACCAAAGATACACTTGATCCATTCTTTAAATATCACAACACAAGGTGGTGAGGGAGGTACTTCAGAATCGACACTTTTAGAAAACATTAACTTTCGAAAATTGGGAATTCAAAGACACGCGCTTTCACTAATTATTGTAACATCCACTCTCTTAATTTATACGGTGGTGTGTTGCAGTGTACAAGAGTTTTGTTTATTCAATTTTTACTTTTATTGTTTTTTTTTTATGTTATTATTATTATTTTCGTTGGGACTAAATAGTGTAAATTATAGGGGTTGCTATGGATAATTTAAAAAAGTACCTATTAAATAAATACCAAACTACCTGTCTGCTTATTTGTATTATTTTGATTTTTTCACCAAGTAAATTTATGATGATGAATACTGATTCCGAAGAAGAAAAAAAACTTCCGACTGAGATAAATCTGGTACACTTCGATGTACCAGAATTGATAGTCAATAAAATAGTGCCAACGGCAAGTAAAAAGTAATAATTTATAAGTACCTAATAAGTACATATATTCTACATTTATTGTATTTGTTTAGAGTGAAGGCTTATAACACCTATAGTTAAATTAGTTATATTAGGCTTGCTTACATGATTCAAAGTCAATATAATTATATGCCTATTGTTAGATACATAAATAATTATGTTATATATGCTGCAAATAGTTCAAATGACACTGGGTGTTACGAAGAGATATTTGAAGGACTTAACGCAAAATTCGTTCTAAATCGTATACTGCCGCTCAGAGAATGGACGACTGACGATGATAAACATTGGCGCCAAAAAATATCCAATAAACCAGTTTCGAAAATGGAGTCGAAGGAACTCGGTGAAAAGTTGGACACTTATTTGAAAACGTACGAAGCCAAAGTGGTAGGCATTTGTCCGATCAAACGGGAATTATACAGCCAATGTTTTAGTGAGTTTGATAGTTTTTGACACCTATAATCAGACCAGTACTGGCTTATCTTATGGGGTGATTGGGGCGGTATTGAGTTACCTCTACAAAAGGCGCCTAAACTAGTAACGTAATTTCGGTGTAGTTTTGGGTGTATCTACTTTACACTTATCTCCAACCTAAAAAAATATGATTTCTAAACATATAAATTTGACGAAGGAAAATTAACAATATTTTTTCCTTTTTGGAGTAATTTAAGGTAAGATTTTAAACATTTCTATCTATTATTATAATATAAAAAACGTCCTAGGTTAATAGAGACGGGAGCCACCTCTGTTATAGATAGTTGAATGTATACATGTACATGTACGCAACAATAAACCATTGCTTACAAAAACAATTCTAAATGGAGTTCAGTTGATAGTGATGCTTTGTCAACAATATATTTGTCATTTTATAGAAAAATACAAAATTAAATAGGCATTATATATTTTCTTTAATAATATTTTTTTAATGTTGAACTGATTTTTTCAGGTTTCCTACGTTTTTCCCAGTTTTCCCATGTTTTATTCCGGTTTTTTACGTTTGCTCGGAAAACTCTTGAGAAAATCCGAAAATGACTTCATTAAAGTACCTCCCCACACCGATTTTCTTTCAGAAAAGGTCGTATACTTAAAAATCGGAGCAAGATTTCTGGTAGAAAAGTTGCGCACAGATAAAAAAAAAATTAACATCTTTGTAAAGCTATAAGCTTTTTCGCTCCATTCAGAATCTAAATTTCTTTCAAAATATAAATAGTTGATACTTCTCAAAGTTAGAATATATACTGTTTACAGGGCCTTGGAATATATCGAAGCTTAGTGTAGTCAATTACGATTGACAGACTTTGATTTTCTGATTTGACCTTTCCGCCCACTTTTTTGATTTAACGACTTCTGGATAAATCTTAACTATTCGTCTTTGTCCATTGCTTTTAATTTATATTTTAGATTCTGAATGGAGCGAAGAAGCTTATAATTTTATAAAGATGTTTATTTCTTTTTTCCTTTTATGAAAGGAAATTGGTGTGCGGAGGTACTTTAAGGTCTTTTTTGATTTTCTCCGGAGATTTCTCAATAAATGTTAAAAACCGAACAAAAATTGTGAAAAAACGGGAAAAAAAAAAGAAATGTAGGTATTAGTTAAAAATATTACGTCCTTCTTTTTTCCTGTGGGCAAAAAACATGGGAAAACTGGGAAAAACGGGCAAATCGGTGTAATACAAATATTATTAAAGAAAATATGACATATACTTGTATATTGCTGACAAAGCATCAATATCAACTGAACTGCGCTCAGAATTGTTTTTTCGTTAGCAATGTTTTATCGTTGTTTACAGATATACATTAAATTACCTATAACATTAGCTGCACCAGTCTTCATTATTTTAGGACGTCTTTTTTAAATTTAGTATAAATAACGTTGGTATTTTAGATAATTTTTCAATTAAACCGAATGAAATATCCACTGTATATTTTAAGGTATGATTCGAAAAATTTGGAGGCTTTTAATTAACCGAAAAATTGTTGTTTGAAAAAAAATAAACAAAAAAAAGAACCTAGGAATGATCTCTTATTATGCAACATGTTTCAAACAAAATAGCATCAGAAGATTATATTTTGTATATGCTGTGTATGCTTAATAAAAAAACAACAAAAATAAATAAATAAATAGTTTTGCTAATTTTCGACGTCATTTGCTGACGGTGGTCGATAGGTATTGGAATCCAATATAAAGTAAAAACTTGACGTAAAATGCAATAATATACGAAAACGTACTATTTAAGTAATATTAAATATTACTACTAAAGTAATATTTAGGAATGTTCAGTAAGATATTATCTATTTTTCCTTATTAATATTTACCCAAAATTTTAAATGAACCTAATGATGTATTGTGTTGTAAAGAGTGCATAATAATCGTGCTTGGTTACCCGGCGGGCCTGTACAGGCCTGCTTATAATAAGAGTACCTAATACCTACCTAGTATAAATTACCTCATACATTTTTAAATTTAAAAAATTAAAATTTATATTAAAAAAAAAGTTATGTTTATAATATCTTTTCACATTTATAACAATCAATACACAATAAATAATTAAATATATTACTGCACCTATAAGATGTACCTACAATAAAATATAATATTCTATTAACTTAAAAGTAAAAGTTTAAATTCTTGGCCCGCCAAGATCTATTTTTTTTTTGCGCTCTGTATAAATCTTACTTATCACTGCTTTATGGTAGGTACCTATAACTTACGTATTAATATTATAGTTGATTTGTTAGTATTCAAATAAAAAAATTATACATTTTTAAAAACACATATAAATAAAATAATATATAATATGTCTATTATTTACAGTGACACACCCAGAAATTTGCAATGAGAGAAGATACAGGTTGTATCTAGACATGTATTAAATAATAATTATGTGATTCATGAATAAGTTGCCTTTTGTTATACATAACTCAAAAATGACCATTTAAATCTTGAATACAAAAAATAAAATTTGTATTCAATAACTCAAGCTTTTTTCCAGTAGGTAACAGCTAAATTTTGAAATAGAAAATTACTAAATAAATACTTATACTTATATTTGTTGAATTTGTACATGAACCTTTGTTAACCCCTGACGTCTCTTCCTCTTGTACACGCACCACTGGGTATCTATTTATAATGAAGTCATATTTGAGGTTTTAATTTCCTCATCATCACTTATATAGACTATAATCTACCTATATATGCATATCTAATGAATAAATGTAAAAATATGATAGATACGATATTAGGAGTGGAGGAAATATATTTCAAATTAATTATTTTATAGAAAAAAATTATTCAAGGATCTGCTGATGGAAATAGATGGAAAAAAACGATTTTTTAAAAAAAAGTAAAAAAAGGGTTGTGTGGAAATAATATAAACGAGGCGTGAAAAAAGATGGCAATTTGTGTTAAGTGTCGCGAGAAAGAAACTAAACTAGGTGGTGGGATAAAGAAGTCTGAGAGTTACAATGAATAAGAAAAACAATTTAAATTATAGCAGAAGAACAAGAAGATAAAAAATTAAGTAAAATACAAAATATTAGGTAAAGCAGTTTATTAAACAAAGCAAAGTTTAATTAATATGATTAATGAAAAATAAAAAAGAGAGTTCAGATGAAGTACCAGCGGAAACGCGGATAATGTTACGAAAGTTAAGCATAATCTAGTTAAAAGATTTTTTTTTTTAATAAAGTGCTAGTAGAAATGTCAGATGGTGCCAAACAGTTAGAAAGAAGACTTCGAGAAGAAGAAGAAAAAGAAGAAAATACATTGTTACATACTAATATCGAAATTAACTAAGAGTATAGTAAATTAAAACATACATACATTTTCAATCTTGAGTAAGTAATTCGTTTTTTTTTTCTTTGGATTTTTTTTTTATAACTTTTAATAAACCAAAAAATATGTAGAAGTACAGGAAAATTCAGGAAAATTATATCTTAATACAATGAAATTTTCACAGAAAACTTATATTTGTTTTTTCTAGACGTAGTAAAAGATTCTGATTGTAGCGAAGAATTTATTGGTTTTACAAAAATGTTTATTTTTAGTGGGATTAGACGTATTAGACGTGGTAAAACTGTAAAAACACTTACATGGTTCTTTTGGGAGGTTATTTTTTGATTTTCCAAGCTGTTTTCATAATATTTGGGAAAACCTGAGAAAAAAAATGTGAAAACCAGGATAAACGTAGGAAAACAGGAAAAGAGGTACAGTATTAAACCAATATTATTAAGAAAAAATATATAATTATTTTACCATAATATGACATATATATATTGCTGACAAAGCAACACTATTAACCAAACTCCGCTCAAAATCGTTGCCCATAACTATGTACATTAAATTTCTTTTCTACTACCTTTCCAACATCTTACCTATAACAGTGGCTGCACCCGTCCCCATTATTCTAGAACAACTGTATAATAGGTTTTCATAATAATTGTGAAAAATCAGAAAAAAATGCACACATATTTATAGACGTTACTAATTTCATTATTTTTAATTTTTTCGATTTTGTTTTTGCTGTAATTTGATTAAAAGTAACAAGAGACCTGACATTTTCATAGAATACATATAACATACTGTTTTGGACGTAATAAGATTTTTAAAAAATGCGTTGATATTTAAGTTTTGATATTTTCATTTTTTTTTAGTCTTTATCGATTTAATGTGACAATGTGGGTAAAGTTGTTGGATCGAAGAGAGAACTGCTTGAAAGTTGAAACTTTAATACAGAGTTCATTATAAGTTTACCTAATTATTAAAAATAAAGTTAAACGTAAAGTAGTAGTTCTAGCGCTTTAAGATCATATTTTGACGAAAATTGTGAATAAACCCGTAATTTTGAAACATGTTTTATTCAATGTCATAATTCGTGAGCAATGTTTATTCTAAAAATATAATTTAAATAACTCTATGTATTTAAATGCAGATCAGTATCAGTTTTTTTTTTTAAATTTTTCTACTGAAAATTTTGACTCCAATCGAAAAACAAAAAGAGAATTTTTTTTTTTGTAGATGAGATTATTAGACAAGTCACGTTAGAATGTGCCCAACAGGGCTATATATTAATCGAGATCCGTAACGAAATTAATACGACCATCAACTCGCACCAGAATATCTTCGAGATAACAATGGCTAGAGGGCTGCTTAAGAAGTTACAGGCAAGTGATCTTTTTTTTAGTATCCATACAATTTATTATAATTCAATTTAATTTAACGAATTAAAAATTATTTTGGAGCCAATAAAAATGTGAAACGGCTCCCGTAAATTTTTAATTCTACCACGGTGCATAACAAATTATGTATAAGTAAGTAGAGCCGGTGACAGGAAGATGCACGTAGGTTAGGTAAACACTCTTAAACTTGAAAATTTAACCTACCGCGTCGGTAATTTCCCGATAATTTAATTTTCTATTCGTAAAAAAGTATCATTGTTTAATTTTTTTTTTGTAATTTTATTACGTTATTACCGTTACCTATACATATTATTATTATACTAGTCAAATTTATTTATTTGTTAACTACTTATAAAAAGACATAATAATGGGCAAAAACATTTACCTACTTAAATCAATACATTTGATAATGAAGTAGGTAAATGTTGAATCATACTACCCCGGTGGTTAACTCCGGTTCTGTAATTAGGTATAGACTTTCTACAACACTACGAGAATTGGGTTACCCCTATTTAAAATTTACAGGAATATCTATTTATTTTTGTATGTATTTAGCAATTTACTGGCACAAAATATTCTTAGATACATAAAAGAAAACTACCTAAAGCACCTATATCATAGATAATCTAACTTAACGCGTACCTAATTATTATGCACAATGTATACGTATTAAAATGTTTACCTAATGTTTGAACAGTTAATTCTTTATTTATGTTTTGTTTATCGTACCTATATCTATAATTTGCAGGCAGAAAACAAAAAGATCAATTTGGAAAAAGAAACTGACATATTGAAGGAAGATAACGAGACTTTAGAAACGAAATTAGCGGAACTAAAAGAAAAGACATTTAATATGGAACGCGAGATGGCCGCTGCACATAACGCAGAAATTAAAATCCACGACGAAAAAATGGACGTGCTAAAAAAGTCTAGGCGATCATTTAAAGTAAATAAGAAACTCGAAGAACACAAATAATTTTGTACATTTGTACCTATATCACCTGTAACCTATTCCTAAATAAATTTACTTACTTAAAATATGTTTATGGGTTTCAGGCTCAATTAGAGTCCTTAATTCGAGATGATCCGGAAGATCTGCCAGAAGATTAATTTACTCCAACTAAAGTCAGTTATACTCATCATCATAGTTAATAATATTAGATAAATATTATATTGCTACTTACTGCAAATGTTAACATTTAAAAATAAATCAGACAATATTTTAATGTTATAACGTTGCACAGTTTTCGGCTATTTCTTCTTCTTCTTCGTCTTCATCCCAAGTAGTTTTTGACTTTTTAATCTGAATGGTATGTATAACTGCATAGGTATATATTATAATATACTTAATCTAGCTGACCTAAGCTTATACCTATAATCATTAATATTAGGATATTATTAGGACTTCTCATTCGTGTTTTTTTGCATTTTCAGTTAGGTGTAAAAAGTATTGTTTGTCAAATTGCATTTTTAAAAAAACAACTATTTTAAAATTTTACGTAGGGATTCCCATTTAAAAGAAAAAAATTAGTAAAAAGATAACAATAAAAAAGACTGACATACTTCATACGATGCGTGGATCACTGTTCTAGGTGCGAAGTTGAGAAGATATAATGAGGAAGGGAATTGAATGTATTTTTATATGCAATAATTAATCATTGATAACGAAAAATGATTCTAGTGATTCTGGTGATTCTGAATGTAGTTCGGTTATGTTTTAAAAGGCCATAATATTCATCAAAATTTGATATTAAAAAACTACATTAAAATCATAATTTGTCTTATTGACCACTAAGTATAACTTATAATGAACCTCCGTTAAATTTTAAAGTATTTCTGTTTGGTCGAACAATTTTATCAAAAGAGTACTTACCGAATAAATATTAAATAAAAAACTAACAAAATTAAAATGTCTATAAAAGTTTAAAAATAGCTTAAATGTTTTGAAAATTTTACCACATATATAAAAGACAAATATTAGATTGCTGTCCAAATTTCTAGTTTACAAACATTTTAACCTGAATGACTATAAAACAAAAAAAAACAAAAAGAAAGGTATGATAATAAGGACGGGTACCGCCACTGGTGTAGGTGGAAAATTGGGAAGGTAGGATACAGACAGGAATTTAATGTATATCTGTAAGCAACGATAAACCATTGCTAACGAAAAAACGATTCTGAGCAAAGTCCAATTGATAGTGATGCTTTGTCAACAATATATATGCCATATTATAGTAAAATAATTAAATGGGCTCGATAAATTTTCTTTAATAATATTTGTTTAATGTTGTACCAATTTTCCCGGTTTTTCTACGTTTTTCTCAGTTTTTCACATTTCCAAAGAAAACATAAGAGAAAATCGAAAAATGACTTCTTTAAAGTGTTTCTGCACGCTGATTTGGTGCAACATGTAAAAATCTGACCAAGTCTTCCGGTAAAAAAGTTACGCACAATTGAAAAAAAGTAAACATCTTTGTAAAACTATAAGCATCTTTGCTCCATTCATAATCTGAAATTTAAAATTATAAAAGCTTTATTTTCGTAAATTTTCCCATTTTCCCAACGTTTTTCCTCATGTTTTATGAAAATCAAAAAAATAATCTCCTTAAAGCACCACCCTATCCTTTCAGAAAAGTTACTACACGTGATACTTAAGATAAATATTTCTGGTAGCATTTTCGATTAAAAAAATAAATATCATTGTAAAACTATTCCTCGTACTGCTCAGAATTCAAAATAATTGATATTGTTGATGTACCATTGCTGTAGGATAAATAAGTTTATTTAAATTATATATGTAATTAACGATAAACCACCGCTAACGAAATTTGCTGGCAAAGTTCAGTTTTACATGCTATGGAATTCTGTGATATTTATGATTTTAATCGAAATTTTATTTTCAAACAATTAAAAAAAAAAAAACCAATAAATTATATACAAAATACTTCTTTTAGATTGAACATTTATTTCCTTTCAGAAAAATTGTTATCATTAATAGTTGGGGTATAATTATTGATAGAAAAGTTGTGCATAGAAAAAAAAAATCTTAATATTATACAAATATACTAAGGATATTTATACATTTTTTTTCGATTTTTCGCATTTGATAAAAAAACTTGAGAAAAACGAAAAAAGTACCTCCTCACACAGGTTTCCTTTCTGAAAAAATGTTACATGTAAAAATCGGAGAAAGTTCTCTGGTATATATAATACTTTCGTTAATATACTTACTATGGAATATTAAAAAACAAAAAAAAAAAACCATTTTATTAATAGAAATAACTGTTATACATAATATATTTGAGTTAATGAAGGTTTTAATTAAACAAAAAAAAAAAATCTATAGTTTATTTTATAGAAGTTGCATTACAATTTTAGTAATAAATAATATAGTAAAAAAACACAATGTTTAAAAAAAAAATATATATATATATATATAAACAATACATATTACCTATATAACTTTATTCTAGGGAAATTAATCTTATTTTTAATCTTGCACGATAGTAAAATATTGATATGGAATTCAAGCGTTTTTGCAATATTATATTATAATAACGATAGGTAATAATAATAGTTGAAAGGTACCTATTATACAATTTTCAATCAATAATCAAAAATTGGCTCAATTGTTTAGACTTCAGCTTCTGCGTTGTTTATGTTCCCACTGACTGGCCATAAATAATCTTTGTCCAAATAAATAACCGTTGTAGTACGCTTCCACATTCTATAAGCAAAAACACATTTTTGAAAAGAAAAAATAAATCAATATACAACATTAAAAATTAAAAAATATGATATAAGGCACACCAAATAAAAGAAGACCGCAAAAACTCAAATCAGCCAATATTAACCAGGTATATAATCTACCTATGTACTTGCTAATGCATTCGGGTAAAAGTTTACAACGTGCTTACATTATAATAATGCAAGCATACTCATATAAAGTACAATTTTAATTATTTAATTATAAATCTAATTTCAATAGATAATTGGATTTATAATTATTATAATTTTTTTTAAACACATTTCAATAGGAACATTATAATAAGACATGCATCTCGCATTCACTTTTAAAATTGTAACTAAATATCAATTGGTTTAATAGAACGAGTAGGTAGGTAGGTACATCAATCATAATATTTGAATGTACCTATATAACCTATAAAATATTATAATATGTAACTTGTAATTTTTCTAATTTCGAATTTCATAGTTTTACTTATATTATAAATGAAAACTCCAAATAGAATTTTCTCAAAACTATTCATTTTGAGTCGTGGCGGTCTCATTCTATATTAAGATGTGTTCACAGGACGCCGTATCTATGGAATAAATTGGAGCGATAATTTTTTTGTTTTCAACAGATCGACTAAATTTTTTACTGGAATTGTAACACATACATTTTTTTAAGCTGTAAAATTGTTTAAATAAAAGCTAGAATAAAATACTCCTATAATTGGAAATAATTTAAGATTTGATTAACTACTAAAATTGGTTTATGGTGTAGTTAATTAAAAAAATAATTTTTTTTCTCAATAAATTCCATAAATACGAGCCTGGAGGTATACAACAACTGCAATTGGTAAGTAGATCACAGAGTAGGTACTGACATCGAACATATCACGAGCCAAAACCATAGCATAGCCGACATGGCGAACGTGACGACACACATGAGAAGCCCGTTCCATAACGAATTGTCATCGGTTGTGTCCGAGAAATATTTTACGGTTTTAAATACGCAAATGAACACGAAGAATGTCCATATAGACGAGAAGAACGTCATGATCACGAATCGATGACCAAAATCTCCGCAACTTTTCTTTTTGCGGAACCACTATAAAATATATACGAAGAACGTAATTAATATGTTTCGTTAATTTTAATTAATTCATAATATTTGTATTAAAATCTAACTACAAAATATAACGGTGCAATGTGATTAAGTATTTTGATGGTCGCATAGCGTAATTAGAATAAACAACCTGGGGAGGGTGGGGACTCAACATTTCCAATTTTTAATCGAACTACCCCTTCATAAGCGTAAAGTGATTGTTTATGTGAGGTGGGAGGCTATAGTCCTTATACGATTATTTACATACATATACATATTCGTGTGTGCCGTTACCTTCATATTCCCTTTAATAGCATTAAGTTATTTAGAGGCAAATGCAGATGGAAGTTTGGAAAATCCAAACTCTCCTTCAAAATACGTACAAACTATTTTATAATTTATATAAAAAAAAAGAACGGACATAATTCACAAGTGAACGCAGCCACTATTGTAGGTGAGAGGTTGAGAAGGTAGAATACAGACGGGAATTTAATGTATATCTGTAAGCAACGATAAACCATTGCTAACGAAAAAACGATTCTGAGCCGAATTCAGTTGATAGTGTTGCTTTATCAACAATATATATGTCATATTATGGTAAAATAATTACAACAATGTGTGTTTCCAAGCCAACAATGATTGTTTAAAAAAATAAGATAAAATAATAAAAACTTAATAATTACAAAAAATAAATAAAACGGTCGCCAATGAAAACCTTATTTTTAATCTTTCAATTTTTTTTTAATCTAAAGAACCAGGTTTTTCTCATTATCTCAAATATTAAAGAGAATTTCAAAAAATGGTCTCTTTAAAGTACCACCCGGAGAAAATTTCCTTTCATAAAAAATGCTATACTTGATAATCGGAGTAAGCTTTCTTGGTGGACAAACTGTTCAAATAAAAAAAAAAAAAACCTCATTGTAAATCAATACATTCCTCGCTTCACTCAGAATTTTAAAAATTATGTATACTATTATTTTTATTGAAACAAAGATAATATACGATATGTAGAAACACCCCCTCTTCTTCCTCTTGAAATGTTTTCTGTGTCTTCGTCTTTTAAGAAGACGTATTTGAAGAATTGCGGTAGGTAAATTTTTTGACATTTTTGGGAAAATGAAATTTCAAATATATTCAAAAATAATTGCATGTCACTATCATAAGTATTTAAATATTTTGTAATCGTGAAATTAACGAAAATCAAAATCTCACAAAAAAATAATGGCAACATGCACAGTGTGACGTCGGTTTAAGTTTTTCGATATTACTAGGTATTTTGAAAAAGTTAATCGAAGTTATTCCATAAGATTTTGAAACAATAATAATTTTTTTTGTAGATGTAGTATTTAACAAATAAAACCAATATTGCACAGTGCAGGGTCTCTTTTTTCTGAGGTGAAAAAAAGATTTCCTAATTAAGTCTATAACCCAAATAGTTTTTTCATACACGAAACAGTTTTTACAGTCAAATTACTGTCGGTAGTACTCCATCTTAATTTATTAATTATTATTATATTAATTTTATATATCATACAAGTATTCGTTGTATTGTTTGGAGTACACAAATATGCAATTTTAGATTATACATTATTATTTTGTTTTTTTCCTTTTTATATTTACGGAATTTATCAAAAAAATGCAAAAAGCCTCTGACAACACTTAATATTTTCCTCTTAATGATGATATGTAATAAATCTCTAATATATTTTGTGGAAAAAAAAATAGTAACCAGAAAATATTTTTTTCATGGTCATTTTTTTAGAAGGGTTAGTAGTAAATATAGAGGGATAGTGCCCCCATTTTACACCCATGTGCCCTGTAACTCTAATTACTCATAAAAGTGTCATATAAATTTAAAAAAAATAATTAAATAAATACATTTTTAATAAGGTGACAACGTTGACCAATATACTATAACGTTTACGAAAATACACAAAAATACCTTTTCAAGCGATTTTATAAAGATAAAATATCTGTAAGCAGTGGCAGATTATGCATTTTGTTTTGGTTTCTACTACACCACTCAACTACTCTGTATAAACTATTTTAACTTTAACTGGAAGGACCGCCAAACTTTTGATTGCAATTGTGACTTATATGGATACCTATTTTTAAAACAATTTTTCAAAAAGTGACTGTCTGTAACTTATAATAAATGATATAAACATTATACACTTATACATTTATATACACGCATACATATTTTACTATAACCCTAAACTAGATGCATTTTTCCTGGCTTTTGTTCAAGCAAACTTTTTAATGCGTCTTAATGCAGAAAATGACCTGTCTGTAGAATAGTTACTTGCTGCAATATTTAAGAACATCCTATTTGGAATTTCTATATACACAGAAAAACCTCTTAAACTTTATTTTCAATAATAAATTGTTGCATCTCAAGTATGGCCATGGGTTCAGTTTTTGATTTTGATATTAAATAGTCTTTAGACATTCATTTGCAAATTAACTAGATTGGTCATTTTTATACTTTTTACGTAGTAAATTAACATAATTGGTCAGTTCAACAAAATTCGATTTAGTTAAATAAAACAAAAATCCAAAATTATTATTTATTTCATCGTATGCAATTTTTTTTTCTAATTCGGATGTTAAGCAATCGACAATTTCAAAATAAGTATTCACTCGAAATTTAGTTCTGGAATCTTGAACTATTTCATTTTTTCTTGTTTAATCATAACTCATGAGCAAGTTTTCTTTTCTTTTTTCTATTTTTATCGAAATCCTTAATATTTGATAATAATAATGCTTTTTTTTCATATTGTTTAAACATACTAGTACTTCTCAACTGTTTGACATAATTAATCAAAGAACTATATAAATTGTATACGGTTATTAAATCTATTGAAATGGATTGGAGTTTCTTGTTTATGAGATTAAATCGTTCAAGTACATCACTTCAGAATAAAACTAAAATTGCAGTTTCCAATTTATTTAAATGCAAAAAAAAAATGTTCAGTATCACACTTTACAAATTCGTACACACAAGTATTTCCAATGCGGTCTGTGATTCATGCTATCTGCGCAATATGTATAGTGTACACATATTATTATTTCATTATTTTATCAATTATTAATCTACTGCCTACCAGCCAACGTTAAAATTTACACTTTCTTTACATTAGCTACAGACTATAGTCTACACATAAATTTTGTTTGAAAATAGTGTCAACCCATTAGTCCATTCAGCGCCCTTTTAGATCTGATACCCTGGGGCAGCTGTCCCACGTTGCCCTGTGTGTAGATACGTCACTGCCAGAATGTTAATACATACACACAAACACACACATACAACATCCAGAAAACAGATAACACCAATTATTGTGAAAAACCATTTAAAATATATTGATTACTGATTCAACAAAAAAATTCAAAGTATGGTCGAATACTTGGTATTTAAATTGGGAAAAAAGATAATAAACAAAGTGAATTCGTTGTTTGTGAGTAAGATTTAGGTGTTCACTTTTTATGATCGAAATATTTTCAATGGATTAAATAATTTATGAAATGCCTCCGATTAAAGCTTTGGTGACATTACTACTGCCGTCCTCTAAATAACCTTATCTAAACAAATACAAATTAATGAAGATCATTATACTCGTAAAAAAAATCTCTCGTATCGATCACGTGCAAAAGGCGTTAAAAATTAATGATGTTTCTTAATTTCTCTAGCGCCTTGGTTGTTCGGAAAATCTCTTTCATGAATACTCTATCGAGAACTCTGTAGAGGACACTATACGCACGCACCACCAAATTTTGTTTCGAACAGCTAGTTTCAACTTTAAAAAGGTAAACACTCATGTTTTCTTTGTTATCCATTATTTTTAGTAATTCAACTTTTTTCTGATTTAAATTTAAATATTGACGCCGCCGTTTTAAGTACACATAATTGTATATAGTACTAAAAATTTCAAATAATAATCAGTATTGTTACCACCGTCCGACTATTCCAGGAGCACATTAGGGTACCTACAGGTAAATCTCTAGCGTTCTTATAGGTATGTAATAATAATATAATAATTTATTTCACCTATAAAAGAAATTACTAAAATTTGTATAAAATAATATACAAAAGTATTGGTCTATTCATTAAAGTATGTGGCTGTGATGTGAATAAGAGTTATAATTAAAATATTTAACATGGAAACAAAATAAAAAGTAAAAATAATTAACAATTTATATAAAATTATAGTTTATAACTTTTTAAGTTAAATATTTTCAAAATCTATAGTATTTATGCTACCAAAATAATGTAAATTAATTTTAATATTAATATAAATGATACAGAATACAAATAAAATATAAAATCTATTAAAATTTGTTCGAGGTTTTGGAACAAAAGTTTAACAAATGAACCACTTAATTTTATTTATTGACCTCATCACCATTTTCGGACACACAACTCCGGAACACTCCGACCACCAGAAAGAAATTAATAACTCAATTAGTGATTAGAGAATCTTTCCACATTTTATGAATAATTTTATTGTTAAGAAACCACACCATGAATCAACACATACCACCAATACATGTTTTAATTTGTTTAGATTCAATTCAATTATTTTTTATTTACTTTTATTAATTTATTTCTGTCTTCCTTTCTTGTGTAACGTATTTTTAAAAATATATGATAATTATTATCTATCTATGTATTTCGAAATCTATACCTAATATTATAAAGCTGAAGAATTTATTTGGTTAAGCGCTCTAATCTCAGGAATTACTCGTTCGAATTGAAAATTACACTGGATAACCCATTTATCGGGAAAGGCTATATTTTTTTTATTTCAAAATTACACCCCCAAAAGGAGGGTCGACACGGGATGATTGGTATTTTAAGTACGGAAATCTAATTATTTATGTTAATTGGATACCTTGGTAATACAAATATAATTTTAAAAAAAGAAAATATACATTATATTATGGTAAAATGGTTACAACAATGATTGTTTAAATAATAATAACGCAAAATAAATAAACACGGTTGCCAATGACTACCTTATTTTTAATCTTTCAATTTTTTCTAACCCAAAGAAAGATCTATCCATATTTTTTATAAATAAATTAATCGCTGTTCGTTGCATAACTTAAGTAATCGCATAACTTGATAATAGATAATATAGATAATCAAATTATTAGTTTTATATTAATATAAATTAATATATTACTAAATAAATAAATTATCGGCATAATATACGTATATAAGGTATAAAAGGAACGCCATGCTGTCTGCGAGTGATGACTATAATATGGTACAAGCGCGCTCCCCATTTTCATACGTCCCCACTTCCTGATTCGTTAGGTTGACTTACCTTCCTTTAAAATACACCCCCGCTCCCAAAAAAAAAAAAAAAAATAGGTTTTCACATATTTGTCATATGAAAATCATGAATAAATTTCACAACAGAACACTTTTAGTCCGCTGAAGGTGGACTGCCCACTTTCTACCTATTTGGTTTCATTCAATTTTGATACGGTCAAAACCAAAAATGAATATGAAAAAAAAAATGAAAATGGAAATTACAAAAATTGGCACGGGCTACGCCGGGCGCCGATAGCTAAAAAAACAAATAATTAAAACTATTAAAAACAACAAAAACTATAAGAACAAAATATCGGATCAGTTATTGTAATAATATAGTCACATAATATTATGATTTTTTTTAAAAATTTAAACCAGAAATTAATTACAGATTTAAAAAGAAAAAAAAAGCTAATCGTGCTGATGGGTGCGCTACTATTTCACTATTTTAGGTGGGTAGTAAGAAAGGTAAATTACATAGTTATTTAATTTATTTTTATAAACAATGATAAACTGTTGTAAAATATTATTTTGATCGAAGTTCGGTAAACTATATTTTGAAATGCCGTAATTTTTACGATTTTTGTCAAAATTTGATCTTAAAACTCATATGAAAAAAAAAAAACGAATTCATTAAACTCAATTTTTTTTTAAAACATTAATTACAACCTATAATATTCCTTATTTTATGTTTTCAAGTATTTTTGTTAAGTAATGTAATTTTTTATAAAAAATATCTCTACCAAATAAAAATACATATAGAAAATAACAAATACCTATATAAATAGCCTAAAAATAGCTAGAATGTTTTTGAAAATTTTACTACGTCTACAAAAGGCCAATATAAGTATTTTGTGAAATCTACAGGTTTCTTACAATAATTTTTAATCGAATAACTAGTAAAAACCCAAATGCCGTACACTTTACCGTATTTCCTACGTTTTTCTGGTTTTTCATATTTATTAAACATGACAAATTAAACAATGACGTTTTTAATTACAAGTTAGAAAACATTTTCTTTCGGAAAATATGCTATTCTTGAAATTCAGATAAAGATTTCTGGTAAAAAAGTATAATCTCAAGCATTTTAAATAATGAAATCGCTGCGCCGTAATTTGAAAAATCATCTTTTTGGGGTTTTTCCAATTATTATGAAAACTACTTTAGATATCAAAAAAATGGCATTTCCTGTGAGTAGCTAGATATTAAATGGAATAAAATTGAACTCTTGTCATTTTTCGATTTAAATCAAATTTCATTATAAAACATAGTTTGCAAAAATTAAAAATAATAAAATCGGTAAAGCCGCGGGGCGGCGCGTCATCAATATTTGCCGTTTTACTTATAATTTTCTTTTTAGTTTTTCCCAATTATTATAATTATTATTATATATTTATATATGTTATTTATTTATTAATATTTTATCATTTTTGAAGTTATAACCAATAGTAGAAATTAAAAAAATATAAAAAAAAACTTGCAACTCGCAAAACAATATAACTCTGAAATAATAATATAATTATTAAATAGTTAACATTTTATACAAAATTAAACTTATATTTTTTTATTAGGTATTCAATTTATGAATTTAATTGGAAATCAAATTTAATATATTGAATTTTATAATATTATATAGATATGTTGTATAAAATATAGATGTGTAATACGTAATTTATTATACGTATAATACATTATTTATGTATAATACGTGCCAACTTTGAAACAGTGTTCAATCCTCGATAAAACCCTCATTATCACAAAAAGTATTAATTGTTTTCGGTATTTTTTGGTTTTTTTTTTTTTCGGATAATTTTGTTTTTCACTCTTTTTTTGTGGTTGTAAACACTACCCAATTTTTATTTTAAAATTAATATTTGAATGCTACAAATTACTACTTAATATATTAAAAATTGCATAAATAGATGAAGTTTTAGTTCAAATACATTTTAGTGCTGACATTTTTAATTTTCATCAACCAATTGACAATATATTCAACTTTTAAGTTTGGATAAGTAAAGAGTAACAACTAATAGAATAATATTCAAACGCCACGCGCTGTCCACCACACATATTATGCTCCACTCCACTACTATACCATACTCAAACTTAAAAGTTGAATATCTCGTCAATATAGGTATATGCAACTTAAAATTGGGTAATAGTTTCACCCTCAATAATAAGGGTGACAATAAGAATAATTATAAATTCATAAATTGTCAAAAAAAACAATAATATGATATCTTGAATTGATTACTCAAATTATACAAATTAAAGCCTCCCAAGAAACGGACACTTCTACGAATAGTGGACGTATCTAAATTTGTGAGTGGGGACGAGAATATTTTCTCTTCTTATGACAAAATACAGGACACGATCTAACGGACTCTTTGAGGAAATATAAATGTTTGATTTTGTTAATATTATTTTTATTGAATACAAATTGTCCGGAATTATATTGTAGAACGATTTAGTACCGTCCAACTACGTATGTAAAATACCTTGACCCGCAAAATTACACTGAGCGCTATCATTTTAAAACAAATACTAAAATGAAAATAGTTTCCATATATTATGATTTATGACATTATGTACATACCCGGGCACTTTTATTTTAATACGTACAGAAATGTTCATTTTTACCTAAGTATTTGTAGAATAAATTATATACATTTTCGCTTCAATTGTATCGTGTAAGATAAATATATCTAATAAACAAAATATCTGCAATAATCCATACTAATACATAATATTCTTAATCTCCCATCCCCATTCCTATAACCAAACACCCTATGAATAGTAGAAAAAACCGCTTTACTAACCGAACAATATTTTCCAGAAAAAAACAAATCATAATGAAAACTATAGCTTACTCACTCTCCTCAGAGTTTAAAATCATCATAGCCTCTTGATTTTATACACTTAATAGAAAATCAAAACCAAAACAAATTTACTTATACATTGTATCCGAACATTATTCTGAACTTAAAATTTATTTCCAATCACTAGAATTTTACTGACAAATTATTACACATTATAATATAATTTAACGAAAACTTACTAATAAAATATTATTGTTAAATAGAATTCTATTCAGTATTGAGATAAGACCTATTTATAAATTATAACCACAGCAATTAAATATAAATTACAATATTATCATCATTGATAAAAATATTTAATCAACGATTACAATTTATTACTCATAATTGACTATAATTTTAAAGGATTGAAAATTATCAGCTCTAGGCAATATTGAAAAAAGGAAAATACGTTTTTAATATTAAAACCTAATTCATTTTTGTAGATAGTAACTATTATAATACCTATTATAACGTACTATAATATTGGGTTTATTTATGAAATATTAAAATCGAATGCGTTTAATTGTATTTATATATTTTGCCATGCAATAATATATTTTTTATTGAAAGATATTATTATCATTAGCATACCATATTGTATTACCTAACCAGCTTTCTCTAAAATATGATTAATTTCGTTACAGCGCAGCTATTGAATATAATAAAAAATTGAATATTATACATATATATTATGCTAAATTTAACGAGAACTGTGGTGTTAATTAATTATAACCATCATCATTTCTCCAATATAATAATAATTATACTATACAACAATAAAAAGAAATCAATTCAAACAATAAAGGGAAAAAAAACTTATTAATTGCATAAACAAAAAAATTAGGAACACTCTTAAAATTCGAGCATATCTCAACAGCAGCACCAAAATTATACAATATGATAACTAGAGCCAGTATTTATAGGCAATAAAAAATTATAAAATTCGTGTTTGGTTTATAGAAAATATATAATACAAATATGCTAAAATAATATACCACACAAATATTATTAAATAAACACTTTTTTTTTCAAATGCCCAGAGATTTTATTATTCAAACGACTTGAAGATCTTTATAAACATATTTAACAAGATATATCTTACATACTAGATGTTAATATATACTTTACACGTTGATGAAGTTATACTTCCAATGAAGTGGCTCCTACCCTTACTTTAAATTCTTAAACTAAGTCGTATGGTTTCAGACGCTTAAATAAACACTTGAATACAAAAACATTTCTGTGAAGTCCTTTTTAAAAAAAAAAAAAACTCCGCTTAATAATTAAATATATTAAACTACACCAAAAAAATATGATACTTTAAATACAAAAACATTTTTAACACATATTACAAGAAACAGTTATATGGTTTTTTTTAAAATACTCAAAAATAAACGATCTTCTATTAGACCTTAATATGTTTTTATATTTACTAGAACTCCGTTTGACATTACATGTAACGTAATTTTCAGGTAAGTATCTAAATTATTATTATTATTAATTATTTTAATATTATTAACCTCTTCTTCTTTATCTTCATTCCTACTATTTGGTGTAACCAGCTCTCGTCATAAAATTCCACTTGAGTTGATCTCTACATCCTCTTCACATACATATAGACATGTATATTATATATTATATTTAATATAATTGAATATTTTTTTGGTTATTATTCATTATTGAGGTTTGGACTTAAAAGCAATATAACCAATAAAAAAAGCACTTAAAATGAGAAAAAAAGGTAAAAAAAACATATTTAATTTATATAAAAAGCAATTACAAAATTTACAAAAAAATTAAATTTATTTCTGTTGGTTTAACTAGTTTGTATAAAAAAATTCACTTCCATGTACTTGTTTTGTCTCATGATAAATTGTCTTCAGTAAAACGTTGATGGTATAGGCTCAAAATATATATGTATATAAAAAATGATTTTTCAACGTCTACTGAAGTTGTTGGGGCGTATTTCATACATAAATAGTTATATAAATTAGGATTACTATTTATTAAATCGTCATAATTATCATCGATCATTATTAAAAGAGGTATTTATAAATAAAAAAAAAAGAAAAAAAAAAAGAGCTGTTACTGGGGACGGATGCGGCCACTGTTTTAGATGAGTAGTTGGGAAGGTGGTATACATAAAGCTATTTAATTTATTCTTGTAACCATCAATAAACCATCGATAACGAAAAACGATTTGAAGCGAAGTTCAGTTATACATGTTTTAAAAGACCGTAATATTAACGATTTTCGACAAAATTTAATGTTTAAATTCCTTTATAAAAATAATTCCACATAAAACTAACATTTTCTTTTCGACCATAAAGTATGACGTTCAGGGAACTTCTTGTTAAATTTTAAAACATTTCTGTTTAGTCTAATAATTTTATCCACAAAGTACGTACCGAATAAAAATTATGTATAAAACTCGCAAAATTAAAATATCTATAATTAGCTCAAAAATGGATCAAATGTTTTGAAAATTTTACAACGTTTAGAAAAGCAAATATAAGTTTTCTATATATTAAAACTAAATTACATTAAAAAAACAAAATTAAAAATAATAAAAGAATTATTTTCGTATATTTTCCCGTACTTTCAGTATTTTTTTCGGTTTTGCTTAGTTATGAAAAAAACTACAAAGAAAATCAAAAAAAAAACTTTCTTGTTCCCTAAATAGATTTCAAATACAACAAAAAAGATATCTGGATGTTTTTTTTATTAGAGGAATATGTATGGTATAAAATATAAGCCGAACAAATTTAAATTTTTATTTTATTGTTTTTCGTACATAGTTTTATGATTTAAAATAATGAAATTGCTGTTCCGTAAATTGGAAAAAAATCATATATTTTGTCCGTTTTGGTTTTTCCCAAATATTATGAAAAATACTTTCGATATAAAAAAAAACAATTTAAACTGTCAGTGTTAAAATATTATAAGGAATAAAGTTTATCACTCAATTAATTAATTAATTAATTAATCACGTAATTTTTGGATTGGAGTAAGATTTCTGTTAGAAAACATCGTGTTAACATAATAAAAATAATGAACACGTTAACGCCGCGGCGTGCCGTATAAATATATTCCGTTTTACCTATAACTTATCTTTCAAGTATTTTCCGATTATTTCAGGAACCCCTTGGATAATCAAAAAATGACATCCTCAATGCACCAATGAGAAAAAATTACCTTTCAGAAAAGGTGCTATAGGGTATATTTCGGTGCAACTTTTCTGGCAAAAAAGTTGTTCGCAAAAAAAAAAAAAAACAGCACATCATAGTTAAACCATTAGATCCCTCGCTACGCTCCGAGTCTAATACATCCATCATCTTCGATATTAAATGGAACACATTTTTATTAGCAAATTATTTTTCTATTATTATTATTAAAGAAGGTTTTTACCTTCAAATCCAATCCCTACTTAATAGTTAATAGTATTTCAATTTTATACATAATTAATTTAATTATAAACTTAATATAATAATTGAAATTTCACAGTTTTTTGGAAGTAAAATTTAGATTTTTATTATATACTTTTATTCGGAATTTATACTTGCAAACATATTTTGATTGGTATGATTTTAAATTCTGAGTGCAGTTAAGAATATAATGGTTTTACAATGATGTGTTTTGTTTTGTTTTTTTTTTTAATCTGTGAACAACTTGTTTACCAAAAATGTTGTTCCAATTTCAAGTATAGCAATTTTTTTGAAAGTAAATCTAATTGGTACTTTAAGAAGATAATTTTTTGATTTTCCCAGAATTTTTTATGATAAATGAGAAAAACCGGAAAAACGTAGGAAATAGAGGAAAATTTACTGAATGTATTATTTTCAAATCGTAAATATTACGGCCTAAATTTCGTGTTTTTAAGAGTCGTCGTGAGAATTATAAGTTTCATTTGTGGAATTTGTGTTATTTGAAATTCGAACAAATAACCAAACAGACATACTGCGCACAATGGGCGAGAAGTTAGGAAGGTAATGGAGAAATTTAATGCATAACTATAGGAAAAGATTGATTATTTCTAACGAAAAACAATTTTGAGTGGAGTTCGGTTGTATATGTTTTGAAAAACCGTAATATTTACGATTTGAAAATAATAAATTTTGTAAATTTTCCTTTATTTCCTATGTTTTTTTCGGTTTTTCTCATTTATCATGAAAAATTCTGGGAAAATCAAAAAATTACCTCCTTAAAGTATCATTCTAAGTAGATTTCCTTTCAGAAAAAATACTACGCTTAAAAATTTGAGCAAAACTTTTGGTATAAAAGTTGTTCACAAGAAAAAAAACATTAACACCATTGTAAGAGTATTCCATTTTTAACTGCGCTCAGAATTTAAAATCACACCAATAAAAATAGGAACAGGTAGTAAGACTAGAGTAAGAAAATATTATGTAAAATATGTATACTTAAAATGATAAAAAAAAAATATGTATGTTTGTATTTATGATGTTTTTATATAAATGGTATAAAGTTTTGAAAAAACAAATTCTATACATATCTACAAATATTTTATCGAGTAGGTTTTCGTTAGATTTTTGATAGGTATTAAAGTACACAAACAAAAAAGTGAAATTGAATTGAACAACAATTATGCGTTTAAAAATACAAATATAATATCAGACACGAATCGTAATAATGGCCATACGAGTAAGTTAAAATGTAAAAAGTGTATATATATATGTATATTTTTTTCATTTACCTCGGTCAAAGTCAATGGACGCTCGATGGTCTTGAAAGTGTAATTGCAAATGTCGCAACTGCTCGAGTTGGACGTGGACAGCCACCGTTCTAGACACGAGATGTGGACGCTGGCCAATGATCCGGTACAATAGCACGGTGATATCGTACATTCGTTGCGTTCGTCTAAATCTATATAAACAATAACAGTATGTTAAAAAAGTTTTAAACTTAAAAACCAACACACTATTCGCACTATGCGTAAGCAATGAGTTAGAGTAGGTTTTCCAAATGTTTTCTAATTTTATATAATTTGGAAATTTTGTTTGCATTTTAATTAATCTTTTGGCTATGCCCATTTAAGGAAAAGGGATACGGTCGTTTTTACGGACAAATAACTCGTTTTAGAACGAAAATCCAGATAAAAATGTAAAAATTGGGTTTAAATTAGAAAACGGATTTTGATTGATTAAAAAGTTTTACTAGGTTATGACGAAGGTGGTTTTAAATATCTATTTTGTTCAGCTATAATATCGATCATCATAACACAATAATGATATTTTCGGAATTTGTACCGCCTCTTTGTAAAACCGCCTCTGTCAAAACCTATTTAACTTGTTCATCAATCAACATACAATATATTTTAAGAGATGATAATGGGTAAATTAACTGATGAAACAACTAAAATTCGTTGCCTTTCAAAATTTAACCGTTAGAATGTTTTTGAATACCAAAATATTTAGATTAAATCCGATAATGGATCGTGATTTTATAAGTACATTTTCCCAATATTATCGAGTATAATAGGCAGATTATCCTTGGAATAAATTTGAATCGTGACAAATAAAAACAACTAATAATTAATAAAAAAACATCAATTGCACAAATCGATAAAATTGAACTCTGGATTCGATGGAAATTTAATTAGTGATGTCAAGTTTCGGAACAAGATTCAATGACAAAATATCATCAAACTATTGAGTTTCGGAATGCATTTGATCGATCGTCATTGAATTCTAATTTTTGGAAGACACCCTTAAATAATATATACCTGTAGCCAGAATGATAATATTATTAATGACATAGATTTGACGGACTATTCAATACTAGTATGTACTTGTCAAAACATTTAATATTTTGAAGTAAAATCAATATCTAATTATGATCGTACTATATTACAAACAAGTTAAAATTGTATTTTTCGAATATTTTGTGTTGTCCCGTATATTTATTCTGGAACACGTATATTAACGTTAAAATGGTATTATTGTTTAAAACAAATATTGATATAATAATATTTGATTGTACATAATTTGTAGATTTTACAAATTTACACATTGTAAATATTTTAGCAGTATAAATATCATTAATATTTTATTCCGATACGCGTTTTTAATGCAAATTCGCGATTTCGATTAATTTATGATGATTTGTATTTAGGTACACACAATGTATTTTCCTAGTAGCGTATAAACGAGAGTAGTTATATGAATCACGTATAATACTTACCATCGTAGCAAATGCGGCAAGTTTTATATTCGACATTATCGTTAAGATGGTTTTGTACTATCTCGTCTTCAACGCTGCGGCTTTCGTCGTCCAAAAATTTTTCCATCTGTTCCATTTCTTCGGAGCGCTCTCTTAAATCTACATTACGTAGAAACATAGTATCATTGTATTTTGTTCTAGTTTCAGAATTTACAAATAGAAATAAATGTTCGAAAAAAAAACTATTACAGTGGAAGATATGTATGGGCCAGTAGGATATGACGCGTTATAACCGTAGAGTGAAAATGAATGAAAAACAGGGAACGTTTAGAAAAAAATAATGTTTTCAGAAATCATAAAAAAGAAGATTTTAGTGGACCAGGTGCGTAGAACTAATGTCTATTACTTTATTAGCAGTGATTCTGAAACAGAGTACTTTTGGAAAACTCGAGGATACAGTTAAGAAGATGGATAGTAAAATAATAACGTGAAAGATTTAGGAGATGAACCGAATTTTTAATGATTTTTTACAATGGATAGAAATAGAGCTAAAGTTTATATGGTCTTAGAACTTAAAAGCCGAATAAATCGAAATAATAATAATAATGTGCATTTAAACATGTTTTATTCAAATTTTAACTTTATACAATTATAAAAAAATTACGTTCAACTTTTTTTTTCACCACTAAACAAAATTTTATGATAAACCTCGTGTTAAATTGTCAAGCCAAATACATTTTATAAGTAAGAAACCAAATATAAAAACCAAAAAAAATCTCGACATTATTTTAAATACTATAAATACCTCAAAAATGGCCAGAATAATTTGAATTTTTTATCACGTCTATAAAGCGAGTTATATAGTTGATATTCTATGAAAAGTTCAGGTCTCTGCGATTCGTTTTTAACTGTATTACAATAAAAAAAATAAAAAATTCAAAACCAAGATCAAAAATAATAAATGCCTTTGTCGCATGAATTTATACTCGCTTTTATTCCTCAATTATCAATAAATAAAAAAAAAAAATGACCTTGCATTGGTACTAGCAATAAAAAACCTTTGCTACCCAGAAATCACCCAATCAAACAAATAAACTAATTTCGAGACAAAGTGTTTAAATTATTATTTAAATTTGATTGTTATTATTTCATCTTCAAACCATTTTACGACAATATTATGATATTATGTGGTCGAAAACCACACTATGGCATTATAGGAAATTTACAAAAAAAATTTGTATTCATTACCTCTATTAGACGCCATTTTTGCTCGCGGTTCCCTATGTCTATCCCTGTATAGGTAGGTATACTTAAAAAATATAATATTTCAAAAATGCGACGTAACGAGTGCAGGCGGTGCTACGTACAAATAATTTCGGAGGATTTTTTCGATTCACAAATAACGTGATCGCAACGTGCACCGCAAAACATAAATAAATACACGAAATAAAAACACATTACAAACTCAATTATCGATACATATATATATATATATATATAAAAACCCTTCGAAACGAATATGGAATAATATAATAAATATTGTATAGTAAAGACTACGTCACGTTATAGTACCTAACGCGACGTTATACCGAACTAAACTGAAACGAAGTCTTATATATTGTTATTATTACAATTTTTTTATTTGTAAAATGTTTTACAGAATCGATGCGCGAGAAGAATAATCATTATTACTGTTTGATTAATGTCGACGACGACGTTTATTATTAATTCGGTCACTGTCATATCGGACGCACCACAGTACTGTAATATAATATGTAATAATCATAATTGGGCAGCAAATTAAGTCACTATAAACGAATCACGTTTTTTAAATTTTTCTTTTTTTTATTATTATTATCAGTGGATTTTTAATTACCGCGGTTGTTATAAAAAAAAAACTGACGCACGCAGCTCATCGCACTACACAAGTCTCGCTCAGTTCATCAATAAATAATAATAATAATAATAATATATTTCTTTGTACATGTATTCTTTGTGTATGTATACGTCATTCGCATAAAAAAAAAAAAAAAAACGTGTGCGAGAGAATCGTTTTTTGGGCATACATTTTTTTTTATCATTTTCGATCTAATTTATGTATTGGAGAGGTCATTTTTTGATTTGTCTTGTAGTATTCCTGATACGAAAAAGTGGTATTCGTTTCTGTATTATTTATATTTGGTTTCGGGATCACCTTAACTATAAGTTAAAATATATGACCTAATAATACTCTGTTCAGAGTCATTTTTCGTTAGTAATAGTTTATCCTTGCATACAGATATAAATTGAATGACTTTATTCGGTCTGTTCTTTGGTTTCTAAAATAGTGTCGCACCCATCAGCAGTATGAAATTTTTTTTTTTTTTGCTATTTTAAAATTATAATATTATAATAATAATATTGAACCTCTTATATTATTATTTAGACATTGATATTTTGATTTTAATATTATAATAATTACGTGGACAGAGAGAAAAAATTATCAATATTTTTAATTTCAGCAATTCACCGACATTTATAATGTTGTAATATACGTATATTATATCACGTCACTATTAATTATATAATAAAATATCAATTATTCTAATTATAACTACACATATGGAAATCAAATTAGTATAATATATTATATTGCTTTCAACACTCATGTACGTATATTTTATCTACGTATATTATATTCGTGTTGGAAATATCGACTTGACTTCAATATTTTCTTATTCTCTTACATCATTTTCCAAACTTTTTGGGGCTGGCCACTCACGCCAAAACTTTTCAAGCATTTCTGTTTAGTCTAAAAATATTCTCCACGGAGTGGATCCTACTATTTTTATCCTACCGAATAAAAATTACGTAAAAACCTCGCAAAACTAAAATGTCTATAAATAGCTCAAAAATCGCTCAAATATTTTGAAAATTTTATCACGTCTAGAAAAGGCAAAATATAAGTCTTCTGTTCTAATTTCAAGTTTCCACGAACATTTTGAATTAAATTATAATAAAAAAAACCAACCAAATTGAAAAATAATAAAAATATTATTTTCGTAAATTTCACTGTTTTTCCTAGTACTATACCTTTAGTACTATGTAGACAAAATCTTTTTTTCAGATATGGTGCTACACTCGATAAATCGAAGCAAGATTTCTAGTAGAATTTGTGGACACAGTATAAAAAGAAAAAAAAGTATTTGTAAAGACTTACAATTTCAACAGAAAACTTATTATTTTATAAACTTAATAAAATGTTCAAAATATTTAAGTGATTTTTGAACTATTTATAGAAATTTTAATTTTGAGAGTTTTTAAAGGAATTTTTATCTGGTAGGTATTCTGTTGACAAAATTATTAGACTGAACAAACGTGCTTGACAATTTGACAGGAGGTTCATCATATAAATTTTACTTAGCGGTAAAAAAATAAATGAGTAATATTTTTGTTTTCTTATAAGAGTTTTAAAATCAAATTTTGATGAAAATCTTAAATATTACGTACTTTCAAAACATGTGTAACTAAACTTTGCTCCAAATCGTTTTTTGTGAGCAATGGTTTATCGTTGTTTACAAGTGTAAATTAAACAGTGGCACACCAGTTCCCAGTATTAGCTCTTTTTTTTTTTTTAATATTTGGCTTTGTGTGTAAAATATTTCAATATTTTAAATGCGCATTTCTTAATATGAAATATGAAACTCTTGATAAATGACATTTTTTTAAAATTATTATTAATTAATTTACCATCGAAATAAGCAGAAATAACAACCTATAAATGTAAGTACATTTTAAATCGTTAAAAGAAAAATTAAAGTAGTAACAATAAGCAAAAAGACTATACTATAAGTCTTTGTAGTCCGATTTATTACTAGGTACTTTTATCATTATTATGTTTTTTTTTTATATATAATTTAACCATTCGCGTTTATAATTTGTATTTTAAAGACTTTCTAAATTATACGAATCAAAAACAGATATCACAGATACCTAATAATGAACATATTCCACAACGCTATAAAAGAGTTATTAAATATTTATCGAACTGATAGTAAAATAATATATAATAATGCCCAATTATAGCTAATATTAAGATTTATTAAAACTCGTAGTAAATAAAATCTATAAAATTAAATATTTATTCCCAGTTATATGGAATTTGGATAAGTAGATATTAAAAATATTATATAGATCAACAATGATAGCCCGTGGTCCGCAAGCAAGTTTATCAGGGCGATTCAGTTTCATGATGACCGATATTTAGTTGTGAACATATAGAATATACGTAATTTAATATATGCGCAGTGTTTTAAATGTCATAATATGCAAACCGAAAACGATTCCGAGCTTTGATCTCATTTATCTAACCTAAAAAAAAAATTTAACTCAAAATGCTTATATGTATAAAGAACGCCTTTAAATAGCTCCAAAATCGCAAGAATATTATGAAAATTTTACCTCGTCTAGAAAAGATTAATACCTATTTGCACATAATACTTGGTGTTCTGTGATTTCAAGTCTTTGATTATTTATTAAAAAAAAACCGATTCTGAGCATAGTGTAGTTGATAGTGTTGCATTGTTAACAATATAAATGTTATATTATAACAAAATGATTACAACAATGTGCGTTTTCATGACAACAATGATTGTTTGAAAGAAAATTTGAATAATAAAAACTTAATAATAACAAAAAATAAATAAAAATAGTTGCCTCTTATGAAATTCACTTTAAAGTACCACCCAGAGAACATTTATATTCAGAAAAGGTGCTACATTTGAAAATCGGAGGAAAATTTCTGGTTGTAATATAGTTGACCATAAATTTGGTATGGTATCTTTTAGAATACACAAATACTCAATGTTGATTTTTATGTTATCATTTCTTTAAGTTTAGTTTAAAAAAAATAAGTAATTGGTGACGTAGAAAATTGCTATTAATTACACGAAAAAACTGATATGTAACTTAATGATAAAATTTTTTAAATGTTCGGAAACCATTGAAAAAAAGCTCTGAAATATTTATAATTAGATAAACTTAGAATCTTTAACCATTGTTTAAAAAAAAAAATATGGTTTTTCTGATATTTACATAATTTTTTACTTGATCTTTTGATGTATTTATTGACAACGTATCTGTTTAAATACATGAAAAATAATATGATTTTGTGACAATGTATCTTTTAGAAGTCGGACACAAATTGAAATCATTTATGACTTCAATGATCTTAAATTAGTCTAAAATAGTTAACTTCATACTTTTCATACTCATGTGTCTAGTCTTACAAAGAGTTAATAGGCAGAAAAAATAATGAAAATCATAAAAATATAAAAATTTGTGTACCAATTATGTACAAATTGAAATTTCAATTTATTATTACTAAACTAAAAAAATATGAATACTATTATTTATCAGTAGCATATCTGGAAGGGAGATGAAGGGGTTGCAGCCCCCTTCCCGAAGTCTACGGAAACCTTAAGTAATTTTTTCAACATTTTTTTTTTTGTATATTTAATTTGCAGCCGTCATGGTTTTTTTCGTAATACGATATGTAACTGATCAATCATTCCCCTCAAAAAAAAAATTACCAGATTCGCCACTGTTATCTGTTAACAAATTTCTCAGCAATATTTGGTGGGTAGATTTAAGTAGTTGCCTGCATATCCGTTCGGAAACTTGTCTAGACAATAAACCCACGATAACGACGATGGAAAATTTGTCTTGCAAGTCCCGAATTATTATTGGTACCTATTCGATAATGTGGTAACGTCACCGCCCACGTTAAAGCCGACCAAGTTAAAAATATAAATTTTATGTAGGTCGCGAACTATACACAGAGGAGGTCATTGTCGAATATTTGTCGACTACGAGACGTCACACGCCGAAACCGATGTCAGATAGCGGGTCAGTATACACAAACGTAGTATTTTTATTTTTTAATGAATCTGATCATCAGTGACGTATCCAGTATTTTCAAAAGTGGGCAGGGTTAAACAAATAATTGAAAATGAAAATAAAATATACACTGATTAACAATTTTACATATTTTATACAGGTATGGTAATACTGAGAGAAAAAAAGGAGCATTTCTGTATTACATAAAAACTTTTTGGAATTATATATACATCCTAAAATGTTACATGATCATTATTTTTTCATTTTTAATTTTGAGATTGAAGCGATTACCAATTTTTAAATGCGTTTTAGTGTTGACATTTTTGATTTCTGACAACCCGTTAACGAGATATTCTACTTTTAGGTTGGGTAGGGAGAGAGTAGTGGTCATCATCAATCGTGTGGCGGCACAGCGCATGGCACTTGAATAGTGAACCACCACTTCCTCCAGCCCAAACTTAAAAATGTTATTATTCGTCAACGAGATGATGAAAATCAAACATGTATTTAAACTAATACTTCTTTTATTTGTGTAATTTTTAGACATAGTTTTCATTCAAAAATCAAAAGTAGTTAATAAGTCCATCCCCAAAGATAAGGGTGATAAAAAATTATAGTAATGAACCATCGTAGAGTTAATTGTTTCTAAAATTGTAAAAAAAATCCGAAAAACGTTATTACTTTCCAAAATATCACAATGATCATATTATCTCTTCGTGAGACACCTTGTATAATGACTAGAATATGTGTTACTGTATTATGGTTATCTCAAAAATAACTTAACTTAATATGCACTACGTTTCTTAAAAATAATTTAACCCCCTCTCCGACAGTGGGAGGGGTTCATGACTTCCGTATATTTTAATTGTGGTAACTTACGAGGGTGTACCCAAAAGAAACCGAACTGATGTTGTGTGGGACAGAGTTTTAGTAGTATGGATTTTTTTCCGGTAGGGGCGTATAAATATATTTCTCAATATTCAATGTGCCAACGACCGTCATCGTGGAAGGTTGTGTTACGTTGGTATGATATTTTTTTTAAAAGTTATTTTTCGTACTCGTCGTTTTTGTAATGGCTGATTTGCGTGAACAGCTCGCAGCCATCAAGTTTTGCTTCCTGCTCGGGAAAACAGCCACAGAAACCCTTAAGATGTTAAAAACAGCTTACAAAGGTGATGTTTTAGGGAAAACTCAAGTATTTGAATGGTTTTCCCGTTTCAAAAGTGGTGAAATGTCGATAGACGACCAAGCTCGCTCTGGACGTTCTTCGACAGCGCGAACCAACGAAAATGTAGAAAAAATTCACAAAATTATCCTGGAAGATCGACGGCAAACCATCGAAAAAGCAGTGGAGAGATCTGGTGTAACACGGAGTTCAGTACAGAGAATTTTAAGTGAAGATTTGGGGTTGAGACGGGTGGCTGCAAAATTTGTTCCTCGACTGCTTATTGAACAGCAAAAACAAGGCCGCGTGGAATCATGCTCTTCTTTGAAAGAAGAATTTCAAAATGATCCAGACTTCTTTTCCAAGGTCATTACAGGTGACGAATCATGGTTCTATGATCCTGAAACCAAGCAACAATCGAGCCAATGGAAGACTTCAGCATCGCCTCGCCCTAAAAAAGCTCGTCAAGTGAGGTCAAACATTAAGACAATGCTCATTTGTTTTTTTGATGTGAAAGGAGTTGTCCATTCGGAGTTTATTCCACCTGGTCAGACAGTTAACCAGGCATTTTACTTAGAGGTGTTAAAAAGATTACGCAACAGTTTGAGGCGAAAAAGACCTGATTTGTGGCAGTCAGGAGACTGGTTTTTTCATCACGACAATGCTCCTGCTCACACAGCCCTTTCTGTACGACGGTTTTTGACCAAAAATATGACCACTGTGTCCCATCCACCCTATTCGCCCGACCTATCTCCCTGCGACTTTTTTTTATTCCCCAGAATAAAAAGGAACATGAAAGGAAAGCGTTTCGCGGACATTGATGAAGTTAAAAACAAAACGACGGAGGCGTTGGCAGGCATCACAAAAGATGACTTAAAAAGTGCTTCGAAAATTGGAACAAAAGATTGGCAAATGCATTAACTCCAACAGAGAGTACTTTGAAGGAGATTAAATGTTTTTTGTAAAAAAATTAAATAAATAACTTTGTACAAAAATAGTTCGGTTTTTTTTGGGTACGTTCTCGTATAGGCTATATAGGCTATATAGGCTATTTAATTAATATGTTTTTTTTTTGTTATGAAAAAGATCTTTACACAATTGTACTTTCTTAAGTACAATCTGTAGTAAAAACATTAAATTGAAAAATATGTACACCAAAAAGATTACTGGGGGTAGGTGTGCCATGGTTTTAGGTGAGTTAAAAAACAGTTGAGACCCTGAGTTATATCTATACGAAACGATAAACTAACTAAACCTAGCTTTTCTCAAAATCTAAAACTATGACACTGCATATTGTGTAAAAAAACAATACTTGTTTCTTGCTCCTTCGAATACAAAACAGAAAATGTCCAATACCCGTAATATATAAAAATGTTTAAAATAATTTTTTTTTAAAATCCTGTTTTCAGAACGTCTAATAATTAGGCGTTTTAAACACGGAATTTTCAAAACACATTAATCGTATCGGTTGTGCACGGGTTTGATATAATCGAACAGGTAGGTATATTAGTAATATGCAGGTAAATTATTATTGGTTTTTCGGCAGTTCGAATCAGATTTATGATAACGGGGTAGTAAATAATAATAGTAATTATATTATACCAAGTGTAAGTACATAGGTACATGCGAGAAAAAGGTCGCACATACCAAATACTTAATCATATTATGTTACGTGTACTGTATACAAATTAAAGGCATTTGAGGCCGAGGTAATGACAAATTTGCGAATTTCTATTTTTTTTTTTTTTTTTTACTCCAATCCGAGATTTTGATTATATTATTTGCATGCGAGCCGAAGAGTCGGCTCGTCGCCATGGAAATTTCGGCCACCACACAGAAGTGTCTCAAGGTCGAATCCAATAGATTCGTACTTTCTACAGTAATATGTGTGTATTACCTACATGACGTGTTCTACTTTTCATTTTTTTTTTCCAACGTGTCAACCCTCATCGTTTATACTTTCGGCCGTCAGGTTTTATTATTCTTTTTTTTTTTTATGTATAAATTATAATGATACATACCTATAATACCTCTCTACAGAAAATCAATTATCGTGAGATTTATACCGTGGTTTTATCGCGAAACCGCTGAGCCTACCTAATTATTAATATTATCATTATTATTATTAATTTTTTTTTCCCCAAAAACTAAATATAATAGTGAGTAATATATTTTATAGGTATACACGCAAAAGTCGATGACAACGCTATGACTAATGACAAATAATTGACATTGATAACCGTTTTTTTTGTTTACACCTAATATTGTTATTACCGCGGTTCGTGCTGCGATGGTTACCCATAGTGTATATATTATTGTACCGCAATTTACATTATTGTAATTATTCATTATATGTATATATTCATTACCGTACATTATATTATATTTGTAGGTTGGTTTTCGCGTCAGTTTCACGAATTATAATTGCGGGGGTGTGCCGTTCGCGTGATATCATTTTTTTAAAAATACAAAAATTACTTCGCGGAAAACTGTGTTAATCGTAGGGAAATCCGTCGAGTCAATAATTATAGGCCTACTTATCAGTGCCGTGTTTAATAGGCGAAATTATAATGATAGATCTCCACCATTTCGATGAAAATCGGTAAAACGTTAAACAAATATTATTAAAGAAAATATATATAAAGCCTGTTTTATTATTTTACTATATTATGGCATTTATATTGTTACATTTATACATTTATATTGATACAAAGCATGATTATCAACTGAACTGCACTCAGAATCATTTCTTCGTTAGCAATGGTTTATCGTTGCTTACAGATATAAATACATTAGATTACCTATAACAGTAGCTACACCCGTCTCCATGATCCATAATTTTTGTTATTCGATTAGAAACGTGAAGGGCTGTAATTTCCACAGGATATTTAATAACGTTTTCTTGGATATAGTTAAAATTCTACCGATTTTTAAGCGATTTAGAGATATTTTACATGTTTAAGATTTTTTTTTTTTTATTTGGTTTTATATAGGTACAATTGTTTGGCCAAACAGAAATACTCGAAATTTTAACACCAGATTCATTATTAATTATACTTGATGGCCATAAAACAAATTGATCTTGATGCAGTCGATTTTTCGATTATTTAAGATCAAATTCTGACAGAAATCATAAAGATTTCGGCAAATTAAAATATGTTTGACAGAACGTCGTCTGCGGCGATTTATCGATGAATATATGCACGGATGTATTTTTAAAATTTTAATTATTTATTTTATTTCGATTCATCATATTTTAATCGCTCATATAAGTATCTTTATAAATGAAGCGCGTGCAACGAAAATGTGTTTTCAGCGGTTTGCGCATAAGTACTCGTATAACTTACATAATGTATTATTGAGTCGATTATAATAATATTGTTGTTTAATCGGTACACCAACAATACAATTTAACGCTGATTAATGATAATGATTCAATTCAATGATGTAATTCGCGATTCAATAATGAATCGATTGTCTGCTCGAGAAGCTTAGACGGCCGCTACGATGTGACCGCTCTATATAGAGTACAATGGTTCTTACGCGAAAAAAATTAAAAAATTAATTAACAAAAAGGCGAACCCGCCGTCGTCCTCGTCGTCATCGAATTATTACTGTTTTTGTTATACGTCAGAATCGTCTAATATATTATTACGTATACACTTTAACGCAGTGCAGCAAAATGTTTTTTTTTTTTTGTTTTGTTTTCTTAAATTTTATATCGCACGTTAACTGACCGTTATATAAGAGAACCTAATATTATTTATATCGTATGGCAAGGTGTCCTAGAGAGGAGTGAAGGGGGATAATGAACACTGCGGTGGTATTAGTATCATGGGGTTTTAATTTTTAAGCACTTTAATTTCTACCAAAAATATTACTTTAATCAAAAATACAAATTTGTTTGGCTTATATTTTATACCGTACATATGCCTCTAATAAAAAAAACATTAAGATATCTTTTTTGTTGCATTTTTAATCTAGTTGGTGAATAAAAAATTCAATTTTTTATTTTCTTTGTAGTTTTTGTAATAATTGAGCAAAACCGAAAAAATAACGTAGAAAGAATGAGAAGGTTTATCAAAATAATAGTTTTAAGATTTTCAATTTTCTGTTTTTGTTGTAATTCAGTGAAAAATATTTGTAGATACTTGAAATTTAAAAAAAAAAAATTATACTTGCCTTTAACATACGCGGTAAAATTTTCAAACCGTGTATGCTATTATATATATAGACATTTTAATTTTGCAAGTTTTTACGTGATTTCTATTCTATGGATAAAATTGTAAGACCAAATAGAAATACATTAATATTTAACAGGAAGTTGATTATAAATCGTATTTGGGGTCAAAAAAAAAATATTGAGTGTAAATGAAGAATTTTAATTTTACATTTTGACAAAAATCGTTAATATTACGGCCTATTAAAATATGTATAACTTAACACCATTTAGAGTTGTTTTTGTTAACAATGTTTAATCGTTGCGTACAGGTATATATTACATTTCTCTCTATATCCTACCTTCCTAACTTTTGACTCACGATAATGACCCACCTATCGTTTAAAGTATGTCCGATAATTTTTTTTTTTGTAATTGTTGGAAAATCAATCAAAAATATTGGGCTTACAAATCATGTGCCTGTAAACGAAATTCGCTCAGAATCTTTTTTCGTTAGCAATAGTCTTTCGTCGCATACAAATATAGATTAAATAACTTTATGTATCCTAACTTCCCAAGATCCGACCTACAATATTGGCGCACTCATTAGCTATATCAGTTATTTGTTTTGAAATATCGTATTTATGTGAGATATATAGATTGGAATATATATAAAAATATGTTTGTTAGCGTAATATTTAAACCTGATATTTGTTTAACCAAAATCTTATCGAAGTCTTCATTTAATACATCGCAGTTTGGTATTTTAAATTTTACAAAACGAATAAGAATTTATTTTGGCGTCATATACATAATCGTTGTAAAACATTACTAGGCAATGTTACGTATCACATCGAACAAATCATCGGTTTTTTTTTTTAATGCGGTTTCTAGAAATTGATTTCCTAGCGTTCCAGTGTAAACATAAAATTATGTTTGCAGGCACAAATTGTTATATAATATCATAATATAAGATAATTTTTAAGCCAACATTTTTACATGTTAGTACCGGGGGACGTGCACAATTCTACTGTAGTTAATAAAAAAAAAAAAATAATAATAAAAAAAGTACCTATGCGCGTATAATATTATAATTTATATTAGTTAATAGTTAATAATTTACCGACATCAGTACCTACCATCGATTACCATTCGTCGTCGATTACATATTATTTTTTTTTTCATCTTGTGTAGATCGGGACGGGGCGATGATGACGAGATGAAATAATTTATTATAAAACACTGTACGCACTCATCGAAACAATACTCACCAAAAAAAAAAAAAACAACGAAACTCACGGTTAATACGGGTTCGGCGTTCGCATGATTTTATTTATTTTCGGCAATTACTGCGGATGAAGAAGAAAAAATGAAATGACGAAATAAACTAGAACAAATTAATGTTAATAATATGTAGATACCTACCCATAGATAAGTGTAGCTATAATAAATGTACCTACCAACGATATGGCTTGCACGAAAAAAAGATACACGGATTCGATAGCGTAAAATATTACAATATTGCCATAGATTAAAATAATCTATGATAATGAATGGCTGTTACTGTTAATGAGTATGTCATTGTTTTTAGCAAGGATGTTGTAGAGAGGATGTATTGTATTCAAAGGTGAATATAGGAACTAGGGCGACACAAGAGACAAGTACCAACTTTGTTACAAAAAAAAATAATACTTTATTTAATCGGTAAAATTTTATATGTATCGTATTGTATAATGTACAAACAATATTTGATGTCAAAATA